GCCCAGCAGAGAACAGACAGGTTCTTCCATTTCACAGTAGCCACTGAGTTAACAAAAAAGGGAGTGAAAAAGAGAATGGCAACACCGCTGATGTAGTCGGGGTTCTGCCCAGAGCACGGGAGCCAGCCAGAGTCTCGGAAAGATGACGAGGAAAGGAGCCCGGAGCTGTTAACAGTAACATTTAACTACAACATTTACAGGTAGCGTGTTACATGATGGTGGTAGCATCATAGAAGCTCTTCTTGACGGAAGCATGATGGGAGCTTCTGGGAGCTTGTGAGAGCCTGACGAGCGCGCGTCGACGCTCGCATTTTATGTCCTGTCCTTCCCAGGATTCCCTGCAGCAAAACAATGAAGGCCAGAATAGTCCAATGAAAATTGCCATATTCACCTCCGCCCCCAAAAGGGTAAGGTGAAACGGCGCCTTCTTCCTAAACCACGAAAGGGGGAAGAGGCAGGCCCAGTTCAGCCCATGGCGAGCGAGAAACACTACACACCACGCATGACACAGCACAGCATGAAGACGTTGAGTCTTACGTGGAAGTCAATTTCGCAGTCTATTGCAGTGATGGCTGTGCGGCGCCAGGCAGACCACAAATTGTGGAAACAGCGGCATCAAGGCGCCACAGAAAACGCGGGAAAAGAATCCGCAGATGGTTGTCACGCTGGGCCCTTTGCCTGGGGCACCTTGGCAACAAAGCAAGCCGCCTTGACGGCCAACAACTCTTCCTAATCCGTCAGTCGCTCAGGCGTGTCCAAAGGGTTTTCCGGGGGGCACCGATGACCTGGGATAGCTAAAAGAACGATTTCTCTGTTGTAGCCGCTCTTGGTGCATCTCTGGGAGCCCCGACTCAGAAGAAATCAGGGTAGGCTCAGTCACGATGTCTCATGCGACAAAGCGGCGTCAAGCCAGGCAGGCTGATCATGACACCACAACACAAATATCCGGTGCGATGACAAAGAATCGGGGGCGAAATCACGCAGTGGCAGGCAGTAGTTTATACTCGCTCTGCGTGGCACTCTCCTAATCACACCCCGCTTACTTTGTCAGATGCATGTGGGAGAGTTCCCTTCTGCACGAAAAAGCCAACTTCTCAGGGAGCCTCGCACTGCCATATTTTTCACATATGAAGTGTTCGAACTGCTTTTGTTTGATGTAGCCATTATTTCTTTATGCACTGATGTCAAAGCATTGCCGTGTTCCGAAATAGTTCATTATAAAGGACCTGAGTTCGATATTGTCAGGTTTGAATGCAGTTCGATACAACAATAACTTTAAATACAAGATATATATGTGGAGTTCAACGTCCCAAAATCACTGTATGATTATGAGAGACGCCGTAGTGGAGGGCTCCGGCAATTTCGACCACCTGGGGTTCCTTAACATGCACCCAAATCTGAGCACAGGGGCCTACAACATTTCCGCTTCCATCGGAAATACAGCCGCCGCAGCCGGGATTCGATCCCGTGACCTGTGGGTCGGCAGCCAAGTACCTTAGCCTCTTGACCACCGATACGGGGCGATCTTTAAATACAAGATATGTTGATCTGAGCACTGTCTAAAAACCTTATATACCCCCAAACAGTCACTTTGGATGGGGAAAGATGTTTTTTCCTCAGTGGAAGAGGGGGGGTGAAGGGGGATGAACAATGCAATTGACTGATAGCACCATAATAAATTATTGCACAACAGCTCGTTATGTCTTGCAATTGTCGTCCCTGGTTGTATAACTTGATGCATTACCTAACAAGGGGCAGGCTGTCGACTTTAAGTGTACTAACAGAAATTGCAACATGCTGCCGAATTCTTTAATGTGGGCTAAAGTTTCATATAAGCGCAGTACTATAGCATACATTTGGCTGTGACTTTCTCAGTTGTTACAAAAATGAATTCAATACCTGCGGGTTTGACTGCACTTGAATCACAATATTATGCATTTAGCTTCGAACTTTCTCATTGAAATAGGGCCTCTATGCAAATGATTTTTTTTTTTAACCAAACGAAGTCGAAACAACTTTCAGTAGTAGCAAGACTTGACTTTCGGTAGGATGCAAGTGATAACCCGTAAAATACGTAACATTTTAAAATTTATTACACGTAGAGCATGTAGGCAGTCATTACAAGCTCTTAAGTGCAATAAAATGAAGAATTGATTTGAGGGCAATATTTTCACTTATAGAGGCCTTGCAACATTTTTTCAAGTAGCCATGGAATGGATTCACTAAAGTATCTTATCGCCTCACAAATTCACCCCTGCAAAAATTTGTCAAGCACTCCAATTGATTGATTGATTTGTGGGGTTTAACGTCCCAAAACCACCATATGATTATGAGAGACGCCGTAGTGGAGGGCTCCGGAAATTTTGACCACCTGGGGTTCTTTAACGTGCACCCAAATCTGAGCACACGGGCCTCGACATTTCCGCCTCCATCGGAAATGCAGCCGCCGCAGCCGGGATTTGAACCCGCGACCTGCGGGTCAGCAGCCGAGTAGCTTAGCCACTAGACCACCGCGGCGGGGCAAGCACTCCAATTGCATTCTCTCTTCTCGTACCGACGAAAGCATTGGAAGCTAAGCAGAGAGGGATGGAATGGGGAAAGAAAATAAGTCACGTGCACCTTGTGTCCTTGAGCACTTTCTTTTTTTTTCTTTAATACACAACATTTCAGTGTGCTCGCGCGCGCACGTGTGGAAAAGTTGCGGTCTCTTACAGCTATTCCTGTAATGACGGAGTGCGCCATGTTCAAATCAGCCAGTGGCTGATACAATGGCTGTGACAAAGTGATTTTTGAGCTTATAGTGCTATTTGCCGAGAGAAAAGAGCAATTTTCAGCAGACCGAGAATATATTGTGAATTTCAGGCCATGTGCTGCGCTATAATATTTGGCTCCCGCATTCTCAGTAGCATCGACTACCGATTCTCTGAGCATGCTCAAAAATTGTTGCAGTGCTCCTTTTAGTTTGAAGGGGGCTTCGTGGCAAAGTGTGTTTCCCCTGGTATAATAATTTTACAACTTAGCGCCCATACACTGCAGTGAAACAACCTTTACAGGCAATTGCATGTGGAATAATATTTATTTATTCGTTCATTGTGGATACTTTGAAATTTTCAAAAATTAAAATTCGAATCGAAACGATTTCGAATACTCGACAATTCATTCGAATATTCCAAGCATGCAAATATCCGCACAAGCCTGTAGAGAATGTCATTAATATTTGCTCCCGTGTCAGCGCCTCCATCAGCGAAGAGGAAAAAGTTAAGCATATCCTCAAAGGCATCGAGCACGCCCGTTTCTCGTGTACCGAAACTTACACCCAAGCGTATCTTTTTTCTCCTCTTCACTACACAGGAAATATGAAGTACGAAAAAAAAGCTACTTTGAAATTGATGACGTCCAGCACAAATATTCCAGCACGAAATTTAAAAATGAAACTTTCTCCTTGATTTTTTACTTCATTAAAAAACCTGTGATGGGGGAATGAATGCTGTTAAGAGTTTTCAGGGTACGATCTATCAATCTATACAAATTCATCGCTTCACATTAGCGTCTCTTTAAAGGATTGATGGGGCACTCCAGATATGTCAGCTTCGGTGCATTGCACAGCATTCAGTTATTCATGCCTCACCGAGGATATCGCCATTTTATTCTTCGGATGTTTTATTCCGACATTCTGACAGTACCTGAGTGCAGGCACACACTAATTATAAAAACAATGAATGTGGTTCAATTTCCATCGATAGCTGCACGCTTCAAATAAGAAAGAAAATATTAGGCTTGTGCGAATAGTGAATTTCAGGGTAGAAGCGAATAGTGATTTTGGTCGAATAATTTCGAATCGAATTCGAATAGTATGTATGACATATAAAAAAAAAGGAATATTTATCATAATCTAACTAACCTGCACGATATTTCTTTTGAATTGAAATAGGGGCTCTATGCAAATGCCTTTTTTTTTCGTTGAAAGAAGTCGAAACAACCTTGATTAGTAGTTTCGGTAGGATCTGAGTGATAACCTGCAAGATACACAACGTTTTAAAATTTATTATACTTACATAATATAAACCATCATAACAAGCTTAATAAAATGGATTGATTTGAAGGTAACATGTTCCTTTAAAGGGGCCCTGCAACACTTTTTCAAGTATCCATAGAGCCAGTAAACATGATTGTCGCCTCACAAATTCACCGCCGCAAAGTTTCTAGAATCGGTCCAGTACGAGCGGAGTTCTAAAAATTTGTCGCATGCTGCAATTGCATTCTCCATTCTCAACCCGTCAAAAGATCTGAAGCTAAGTAGGGAAGGATGGCACGAGAATAGAAAAAAACGTCATGAGCGCCTAGCGACCTTGAGCATCTTTTCTCTCCTTTTTTTCTTCGAATACCAGGCCTTTCAGTGCGATCGTGCACGTACTTGTGGACAAGTGGCGGCCTGACGCGGCAGTCAGATAACAACGAGTGTGCCATGCTCAACTCAGCCAATGACTGTGACCAGAGCCGTATTTTCTTTCTTGGCTGTGACAAGTGATTTTTGAGCTTGTAGTGTCATTTGCTGAGGGAAGAGAGCAATTTTTAGCTTTGAAAATTTATTGTGAATTTCAGGCCGCGTGCTGCGCAATAATACTTGCCTCGCGTGTTCTCGGTAGCCTCTACTACCGATCGGCAGCGTTTTCTGACCATGCTCAGCAAGTGTTGCAGGGCCCCTTTAAATCTGAAGGGGGGCTTCGCGGCAAAGCAAATTTCTTTTGAGTAAGTGTTTTTACGGCTTTTGCATTTCTACATTGCAGTGAAACCCCCTTTACAGGCAGACTAATGTACGTTTATTTGTTTATTGCGAATACTTCGAAAATATTCGATAATTTAAATTCGAATCGAAGCGAATTCGAATACTCACCTATTCGTTCAAATATTCGTAAGCATTCGAATATTCGCACAAGCCTAGAAAATATGCATGCTTCCTTCCTCTATCATCCCAAATGAGAGTAAAGACGCAACAAACCTTCTTCCATAAGAAAATAATTTATTACTTCATTGCGTACAACAAAAAAAAATTAAACGAACTTGCAAGCCTTGAAATGGGTACAAAGTGTGTTTTTAAATCTTGGATTAATATATAAAATATAAAAAGCAACAATTCACGTATATATGTATATATGTATGCGTCTTATGTACATTATAATTGGCTCTGTGCGATTTCCATACTGGTTAATATCTTTGGGTCCACAAAACACCCTGAAAAATCATAAAAATACCTGTAACATTACAGTACACCTGCATAGCAGACAGGAGATTGAAGAGTGCCTTACCAAACGTGCGCTCAAAACTTGACAGCAGCAATGACAATGATGGCAACCATAAGAAGGACTATAACAAACCAGTACCCTGGAAGTGAAAAAAAATACTTTAGACCGCAGCTCTGAAACACAAACCAAGAAGCGCGAGAATTTGTACAAAAATAGAATAATTACAGTACAAAATTAACAGCACTTCTTGCCCACATCCGAACGAAGAAATCCGCTCACCCACTGCAACGGAGCTGCACCACTTAACAAGACGTCACATCTACTTCAACCACCATTGCCCTGTGAACACCCCAGAGGGACTTGGAATGGGTGATGGGAGTATTTATTTTGTTCCCAGGGAAGGATAAGTGCTAATCCTTCGCAATGTGCATCTGCTAATCAGTGACCCATGTTCGCACGGAAAAGTGGAGTCTCACCAAAAGCAACATCATAGATGATCTCTCTTTTTATACTGGTTATCAACCTGCCTCGTGAATACCTCATTACATACAAGGAACACTAAAAAAATAAATAGGAAAATTGGTGTGCTTCTAGAGTCTGGTTATATCTTGGAATGATAGGTCAAGAACACCAATGATGGGAAGTTATGGCAGCAGCTCATATATGTCAAGGTGACCATTTTACAGTGTTTATGATGGTAAAAGCTGCTGTTCAGGTATGATAGAAAAGCAGGACTTAATTTTTGGATAGATTGTAGATTTTAAGTAATCATGTGGACGATTCACATATCATTAGTGTATGCTTTAACACTGTTCCCAAACATAATAATAATAATAATAATAATAATAATAATAATAATAATAATAATAATAATAATAATAATAATAAATATATGGGGTTTTACGTCCGAAGACCAAGATGTGATACGAGAGATGCCTCAGTGGAGAGCTTTGGAAATTTCGACCGTATAGTATTCTTTAATGCTGCACCTTTAATGTGCACAAGGACCCTAATCCCAATACAGAGTTGCATGCCAGCGGTTATATATACATCAGCAAAATTATGTTTTTACAATTAAGAGTCACTCTAATTGATGAGAGGGGAAATGAAGACCTTGAACCCATTTATTTCAATGCTGAATTTTAGAACATCACAGTACTGTATTTACTCGAGCTTAACGTGAGTTTTTTCCCAAATTTTTGCTGACTGAACTCGACTCTCACTTCACAATAGAATACCGAAATTCAAGTTGGCCAAAAAGTTCAATATGCACACAATTCTTTTATTATTATTTTTTCTTGGAAAGTCACACATCGAGTTAAATTTCTGGTTTCATTACAATAGAGCAAATACGATACGTGAAACTCGCTTCATAGTTTTTTCACATTATTTATGACAACAAAAGAATCGAGAGGAAGCAATGGTCAACAATCTGAGAAGTTGACTGCAAGCACGCCATATAATCACTTCTAGGGAATGTGCCACCCCCACAATTTTGCCTCAAGGTGATACAGAGAGAGGATGCAAAAAATAAATTGTCATTTTGAGAGTAACGCTTGCCTTCTGGATGTACAAAAGAAAACCCATAAAAAACGGTTTAAAATTTTTCAACTTCTCCAACTATGAACTGTAGAAAGTCTCTCAGCGAAACATTTCTGGTGCCTCACAGTTTTCCCAATGTACTCGAAATTGGCAACGAAACGTGGTGAGGCAAGCCTCTATTATGTAGTAATGTAATGACAGTGCTAAAACTTAGGCATTAAAATTGTAAAAATACTTACAACAGGTTCCAGACTTCTTATCCACAACAGCAACATTTCTTGTTTCTCTTATAAGGCGTTCCCTCATGCGGTCAGTGTGCTCAGATATATCATCAATGATCTCTGAAAGAGTGAGATATCATAATGGCATCTTCTATCATTTAGCCATGTTCCTGCAAATTTACACTATTTATCAATTGCTCAATGTTGCAAATGCTAGTTCCCAGTGTATTCAGCCAGATTTACCATTGTGAAGGTTGAGCTCTTCGTTGAAGCCAATGGCCATTTCTTTTTGCCGACCCAAAACATGTGAAAGACCTTCCAGACCTTTGTCTTGTTCTGAAACATTGAGAAAAAAGAGCAAAACTTGGGGATTTACATGTTACATAGCTTAAAAAAAAAACAGCAAGAACACACTGATGCGATCGATGAAACAGAATGGGCTTGTAGATTATTCCCCTTAGATGTAAGGCAAAGTTCAATTCAATAACCAGGCTACTGAGCAATACCATTAAATGAACTTCAGCACTCAAGCCGAAAGCACAGGTAATGTTACCACAGTTTCACTAGAACACCACTGCGTGTAATATGGCATTGCATTCCTGAAAAGTGATGGTATCATTGACTTTTTATGTCTAAAGCAGTTCTAGAGTTTACAATAGCAATTATCAAGTCAACTTTCTTGCCTTGAGACCAAGCACACCTGTGTCTATATCTCTGAAAGCTCCACGGTATCCTAAACAACAAAAATTAATCGATGTTCCTCAGCTAATAGACAAGAAAACCATTGAAATAAACACACAGCTAGCAATGCGTCTTTAGAGACAATATTCTAGTAAAAAAGAATAAGTATGCTGACATTTGCAAGTGTTACTACAGTGCTGCACATGTGCTAAAAAAATACCCCTCTCCGATTCTCCACTGCTAGTACTGTGTACTACTGTTTTACCATTTTTTTATGTGATGCCACTTTCTGGAATGTATCATTTTAAAGAACAATATTAGAAGCAGCTACCTGAGAGTTATTAGCTGCTGTGTCAATCACAAAACAAGAAAAAGTCAGTATAGTATATGCACTGAAAGCTTGCCTCCATGGTACAATATCAAGCACATAAATTCAAATAAGCATAGCACTATTCATTATTCAGTATATCCAAGTCTTCTTAGAGATTCATGAATTAAATAATTAAACATAATTAACAGCTATTGAAGCCATTCGGCACACACAGCAGAAAAAGCGACATACGCGTTGTGAACCCTGTCACTGAAAATTGTCCCACTTCCTCATTTTGCGAAAAAAAGCTTTCAAGTACCTCTAAGTATCCTCTGTTGTTGTTGCCTAATTTCGCCCACAGAGAGATTCTGTGTGGCTTCGGTTTCCTCTCCATTCCAACCACCCTCACTCACACTGGAAAGTTCAGTGCCAAAAAGCTCTTGCCTGGAAGTACGAGAAAAAGAAATTGTGTAGCACTTAACAAGAGTCCAGCAACCTTTAACCCTTCTCAGTCCGAAACTTTTACCCTCTTTCCAGTTCTACCGGTCGGGAACAATTTTGCCAATTATCGGCAATGCAAAAAAAAAAAAAAAACTCGCACTGTGGAAGAAAAACTCATGGGATATTTGTTTTTGCTCCTGCACTCTGCAGGCAACTCATTTAGTGATATTTGTGCAGCGTATGATACTGCCCAGAGCATTCTCCTGGGTGCAGGCCATGACTGTTACTTCAGGTTGTGCAGAAAACTACAGTCAACAGAAGTATTCTCTCCACTGCCCCCGTCTTCGTCACTCACTTCTGTCGAATCACTGTCTGGTGGAGGCCCGTAATTCTCTTCCTCAATTAAGTCATCGCCACTTCCACTAAAACCACCACCGTAAAACTCGGGCAATGAAAACGTGGTCGTGCTTTTCAGCGCACCGTGCACGAGTGGGCACGCTCTAGACTCCAAATTACCATAGTGCTGCATCCTATTGTAAATGTAAACCTCAAAAAACAAAGCTCACTTATTGCTTAAGAGATGGCGCTCAATGTGTTTAAAAAAATGCTCATGGCTTGAAGTGAAAAAACCGCAAAATTTAAACCACGAACACCCTTGTCGGGCGGTGCCCGACAGTGCGCCATTACGATTGTGTTGCGTTGTCGGGCGCTGCAACGAACCGCAAAGGGAAAGACACACAAAAAACATTTACTTAGCTTGGCCTTACGATTCAAAGCAATTTACACTTCAAAGAAAATGGCATTTAAACCTTTTAAAGAGAGACTTAAAAAAATTATTGAACTCATATTAGTAGGTTATTCTTGCATAATACCAAAAAAAGACTGCTCTTTTTGCAAAAAGATACTTGGTAAGCCACAAAACACACAAGAAAAGATACTGGTAGCAATGCTGCCTGAAGGTTTTTACCACGGTGCAAGAATAAATTGGGTGATGACAGTGCGCCTGGCACCGTGTCCAGATTGTGTTCGTCGCCTGGGCTGTTTTCGTTTGATGCAGTAGATGGCGCTCGCGGAGGGTGGACCAAAGCGCTCACTGGTGAGTGACTCGATCCGTGTGTAGAAGGTTATTGCTGAGGAGCCTCACTGGTTTATTACACTCGATATACAGATATACATGGATGTCAATAAATTAATACACCGTGACTCAACTGTAAAGAAATTAATTTCCTAGTTTGATAAGCAGCTTATTAGCTAACAGTGTCTTTGTGATATAAATGCATCGACTGCAGCTAACGTTGGCCCGTGGAAAGCAGTTGCATTTTGATGTGACAGCACTAAAGATCGCGTTTCGTTGAAATTGCATCGGCATCTTTGGCTCAGAACAAAAAGCAGCGTTGTCCGTGAGAAAAAAAAATGGCAGCATATCCACGGAGTGAATGATGGGGAGTGGGGCGAAGCATTCGTCCGTCCATTCGTTCTTGCTTCCGCCCGTTCCTGCGTACGTCTGTGTAACCGTCCATGCGTCCATCCACCCGTCCGTGCGTGCGTCCGTCCCTGCATTCGTCCATGCATCCGCGCCTGCGTCCGTTCATGCGTCCATCCATGCATCTGTCTGTGTGTCTGTTCATCCATCTATTCAGCACTCAAAGTACCACCATCTCGCATCTTTTCATCATATATTCTCCATATAGAAGCACCGTCATCCAGCGGACATTTCAAGGACTAAACGGGAGGTGGCACATGCACACTTTCTTACGGCTTGCGCTTCGGGTTTACTTCCCACCTTTAAGCACCTCGAGTTCATGGTATATACTAGTTCACTGTATTCATGGCTATGCGGCCCAACGCTCGCTAAACCTTTCTAAAACCAAGGAGTTACACCCAGCGAGTATAACGTAGCAACCCTTTCTTGTCAGATCGTGCTCAATGTACATGCCAATAGCTGCTAATGGGGATCGCAGCGTGCGCGTTACCTAAAGGCCGAATGCTCCTGTCTCTCATTCCCCCTTTGCAGCCATTAACATGTGCATTGAGCACTATCTTTTATTGTTCAACAACGCACAGAAGAAATCTCTCACCGGAACCACCTTGGAGTTCAAAATCGTAAGGACCGCTATTTCGGGCATGTGCCACTGGTGGTTACGTTCTACGAGGGACGCACAAGCCACGCCATAAGGAGCTTTGCCCCTAAAAAATTTAGGTGTTTGCAATAAGGATAGCAGCTTGAGGGCAAAGGCGCTAGCTATTAGGAAGAGCATGCACGCTCTCACGCACCCCCTCCCCACACGCACGTGCGTGCGTGTGGGGAGGGGGTGCGTGAGAGCGTGCATGCGCGCACGAATATCACTATCGTGTTTTCTTGCTAAAAAAAATCAACGAAAAACTTTGTCATAAAACTTTCAACTCGTGTATCAGGAAACCTTCACGCATTATATCAAGAACCTAAATTGATACGCTGCCCAAAGCAGTTTCACTGTTAGCTTGACGTAGATTTCTGCCTTTGGCAGTGTATGCAGCATGATATGGTGAGAAAGCTTCATTGGGTACTGAAAGTCGACCCTGGGTTGACCCGTACTACACCCATGTTGGGGCTGTTGGGCCGGTGCCATTAGCCATACTTTGCGCTATTTTATTAGGCCATGCAGAGTTCAACTTGATGAAGTGCTTATGAGACAGTGGATGTCAGTGCACTACCTAATACAGTATATCCTGTGCAGCTCGACCCATACGCCACCGACGCGGGACACCAACAATCATATTCCGCGTTTGATGAGGCATTTAAAGATATCTAAGGCTTTCGCCTTAATGAATAAAAGGCGTTGTATCATAAGTATTGTAATAGGAAATGTGCCTGCAATGTTGCAAGACGGTGACAATGAAGCGCTAAATACCCCTAAAAACGAGTTGACCCACATGAAGCATGAAAAACTAATTATAATCACTATGGCTGCATCACAGAATTAGTGTGTACAATGATTTCTGCTCACTGGTTACACTACATTTAATTTTGCTTGGTCCAAATAAGCACAGATGAGGCATCTCAATTTAAAACAAGAAATTACTATTCCTGGGTGATGAAGAACTTAGTTGGTAATGCACAGGCCCACATTATCAGGGTCATGTTGAGAAGCATCCTCCTTTTATCATGGAGGAGGCCCATTGTCGCACCTAAGTCGAAGCGCTACCTTTTGCCTGGTATTTATCATCACCATGCTGTGGAAAAACTGTCTCTACGCGCAATAAATTTGGTGTTCTTTTAGCGGTCGTGTCAGGCACTTCAGATGCAGTTGAAACTCTTGGCCCCTGCCGCTTCCAAGGAGTCGGCAGTAGAGCCAGCCGTACTCGCTAAGTTTTTCTTTTTTTTTTTGTGCTGCACGGTCAGGTATTTTAGGAAGTTCGGTAATCTGGCAGGCTCGGCATCTGAAGTAGGTAGGTTTCTTTGGTGCGTGCAACAAGACGGTTAGGTTCTCTTGTATTCTGCACGATATGTGGCAGAGATCGCTTCTGGGAAATGCCTCGCGCCCATATGGTCAGTACGCTGCAAGGCTCCGTCAGCACTTTGAATCGCACGTCGCCACTTATCCAAGGGCTCTGGTTCACGCAGAGGCTTGAAGAGCGAGACACGCTCCATAGAAATTCGATACCCCTACCTGCAATTCGTAACAAAGCACCACTTGCGCATTTCGAGGCGCAGTCTGCGACAAGGCCACTGACGCGTACTCGGAGTCATATGCAGCACCGAGGTCTACGTGCACTGAATCACAAAGCCCGAATCAGCTGAACGAATGCACTAGCAGGGCTCACATATACAGGGCAACACGCTTCGAATTCACAAAATCCCATGCACACAAAACTTTCAGGAAGATTCTTTTCAGCGCGTGTATTTCAGAATGAGCGCCGCACGAATACCTGGCACGCCATACAGTAGCGCCATCTAAACTCGCGCGACGGCAACTACTCGTAGCTCAAGGTCATCGGTGAACACAATCTGCTCGTGCCCGCTCCTTGCGCAGAGCTGCGAGTGTCAGCACCTACCTTATTTTTACACTGTGGTTCCCACACCAACTCACCATTAATGCTACAGACTTTAACAGACTCCCTGTAGAGCCCACATAATTCATTAGCCAGAAATGAATAGCACTGTGTTTTAGAATAGCCACAGGCATAACATTGAAAGTCTGAGGTGACTATATTGAGCCAACGTGGAATAAAAATAAAAACAGAAAAGGCTTCAAGATCTGCAGTGTCACTCTGGCATACTGACCCTGGTAGTTTATGGCGTGAAATCCAAAAATTTTATTATAACTCAATTGGCGTTTTGTTATTGCCTATACAACCACATATTTCACAGATTTGATGAATGAACTTTTTGCGAAGTGAGCATTGTTGTCTCTTTAGCTTACATTATTGGCTGCGCTGAGCGCATTAGCAAGCATACTGGCAACAAGTTAATCGGCAGAAATTGGAAAGTATTGCACGCTGAGATATATTTCTTTTTTTTTATTTGGCAGCAATTTTGACTTCTAAACAGCATTTTAAAATGAACACAAGAGTGCAGTATTTGTGGTGCACTGCAGTGTGCTGTTGTCCACATGGCTCAGTTTTTCTGCGTGATGGTTTGCCACACCATTGCACCTGGTTTCACAATGAAGACTCATGACGGGCCTTCAGGGCGTGAGAGTGGCAGTAGCACCACTTCGTGCCCAACACGTGCATGTGCATTTATGCTTTGCATTACGACCCGTATGCCAGAGAACCTCACACAGCACGATCGACATAGAACACTTTATTTAGCGAAATATCGAACTATTGCACAACTGAATCTTAATTAAAATGGACACGACTTGTGGTTGTAGCTTGTAAAAACCAGAACTCGTTATAACGCATGAAGACGCCATTCACATACAGTGCGCTCATGCCAAAAACGGTATAGCCGCATGGCTTGAATAGACATTACGATAAGCATAGAGGCTCAGCAAAAAACTCACTTGCCGAAGTATTATCGACGAATTCTCAACAAAAGCTTCCAGACAAATGCCAAACACTCAATAACAGAGGTCACATGCATTTATTTTAGGTGGTCCAATTAGGCGGGAAACGGATTGGTGGAACGAGGGGAAGTCAATTTCTTGGCAATATGGGCGTGTGTATTTGGTGCTAAACCAACAATATTTTGACCAGAAACACTTCACTCCTGTTTAAGCAGGCGAAATGTGAACTTCGGCACAAATCGCACAAGATTCATTTGAATGGGTGCAATAAGGCGCAAAGAGATGTAATTGTAACAAAACGGCACAAATGACGCAGTAAGATCACCACTGAAATATGGGAAGCTTAGTGAGCAATGGAGAACTAATCTGCAGCCACTACGACCAGGCCTATGCAAAGACGTCATTTTCCAAGATGCCTTGGCCACAGGTGGCTTGTGAACATTATCATAAATGCTGCACAAGGCCGCATCTATGACGACTAGAGTCCAGTAAGTGATGTACGTTAGAAAGTCAACATTATGTAAAATACAGACAATAAAAGTTGCTGCGAATTTGTAGTGCAATACAACCTTCCAGGTTGGCCAGGTGCTTTGCTGTTGAGCAATGCATCGAGTTCACGCCCTTTGTTTAGTAATGAGTTGGCCATGTACTGGCGCCGCTCCACCTCTCCAGTGGTGCTGAAAATGCGCGTCAAGGAGAGAATGACACTTCACGTGAACTGCACTTTTTTTAAACTTCTGCTGTGAATTAAGGATACATTAACAGCGTATTCCTGGATAGTTCTTCTTGGAGTTTGGTTGCATCCACCATGTACTGCCGAATCATTTGGCGTGCCTTGGCAGTGGTCTGAAAAGAATGGTGTGCACGTTATGACAGTGGCAATAGAGATAAGACTGGTGAAGGTAGAAAACTGGAGGCACTACACCAACCACAATAAATATTTATAATAAACACCCACAAGAAAGTGTTGCAGTTCACACACGGGAGTCTTGCTCACAAGCATGAGGAAAAAATGAAGTCCTAGCAACTCGCTTTAACAACACTTGAATATGTCATGCAAACAGCGCACATATACTAAAGACAGATTACCATCGCCACTGTTGAGAGTGAGCAGAGTGGTTATTATGAAGCTACTCAAGATAAAGAAACCCTGGCAGTCCTTTTTCTCGAACGAGAAAATATTACTTACCCAGTTAGTTGCATATCCCTTCGAAGCACGCTCAACCAAACCACTGGGTTTGACATTTCCTTTCCCGTCTGCTCAGATTTGGGTGCACGTTAAAGAACGCCAGGTGGTCGAAACTTCTGGAGCCCTCCACTACAGCATCTCTTATAATAATATAGTGATTTCAGGACGTTAAACCCCATATATCAATCAATCTATTTCTTCACATCATAATTTACCGTGATGGGAATGGCCAAAAGTGTTCTTTATCAGGTTTTGTAGCAGGAAAAATTATGATTTCTAGCAACTGCCCTCAATTTCGTAGCACGTTGCAAAAACAAAAAAACTGATCAGATGGCATTTTAATGCTTTTATTATACAATAAATTGAAGTATTAAATACAGTATTAAATACAGGTTCAGTGACGGCACAACTAACGCAAGATTTAAACGAAGCCCAGGATCACAAACATATGAGGACTGGTTGGCACAAAGACGCAGGTACACATACATGTATGTCACTTGCATGAAACACACTAAGCTTTCTTCCCTTTTTTCTCTGCATGCAAGTGTGACATACACTCGGCCATCTTTTTTCATGCTACAGTGCCACCAGGTACCGACACTACACAGCGACAAGCCTACGCACTACAGCACGTGCGGCCGCACGTGGACACACGGGCTAACAATAACAAACCCACGCCACCCATGCATTGGATTGTATTGAATTGGCTCTGCCTACGAATGACACGAGAGGCGGCAGCCTATATGCCACCTGGTGTTGCTGAAAAATCCCCTTGACGGTGGCCTCTAAGATGAAGCGGAGCATTTCCAGGTAATCTTGGAGGCTATGCGTAGCAGCTTTGGAGCAGTTCTGCTCATTTGTAGCATAGACGTAGCCGCTTTCACAAAATGTAGCAGGTTGGAGCAATGGTGCTCATTTGTAGCATAGATGTAGCAGCTTTAATGAAATGTAGCAGTTTGGAGCAATTGTAGCAGCTTTCCCATCACTGAATTTAGCCGTCTTCAAAAGTCACCAGTTTCGCCAACATACAAATAGTGACAGTCCGCGTGTGGGACTCTGTACACATTTAAGAAACTTTTCTTTAAGCAATTTGTTCTTAGCATTGACAAGCGAGTGTCGCACTTTCTGGTCTGGAACGTGTGCCACTTTCACTACGTAGGGACACAGAACACGGCTTAAGGCTTTGCTTATGGAAGGGATACATGGCATTTCTGCACTGTTTGACCAGAGGCAGCACATGGTAATTGCAGACGTGCGATTTGTCGTTCGACAGCGTTCAAGAAGGAAATTTAAAGGCCAAAGACTCAGGAGTGGCTCAGGTTTTCTACCTTCACCACGCATCGTCCAGACCAAAAAACCTTCCATCAGACTTTGGGGATGGGCTAAATTAAAGACTGTCCAAATGAGGCAGTACAGTGACATTTTGAAAGCAGTGAGTGCACCAAGACAAGGACAGTGAAAACATGACAAAGCGCTACTTCCAACTAATATTTATTGCAACAAAAACACGCCACATAAATATTAGTTGCAATAAACATTAGTTGAAAGCAGCGCAATGAGTGTCGTTTTCCACCGACCTTGTCTTCATGCGCTCCCCGCTTTCAGCGATAGGATTGTAAAAAATACAGAAACGCGGTTGTAGCCGTAAGCCTCAAATTAGAAGTTGAAATGATGATGCGGTAAGCGAACGAAACAATTAAACTCCACCGCCTAGTAACATAATAAAAGGAAGAGCAGCGCAACAAGCAACGCCTGGCGAAGAACACGCACAGCGCTGCGAGTGCATTCTTGGCTACTCATAGCTTGTTGAGTTATTACTCCTATTACATGTCCAAATTTTCACCCTTCATCCTTGTAGAAGTTTCGACACAAGCCCGAAAATCCGGTTATCCATTCGACACGAGAAATCGCCCCTGAAGAGCCTCGTTTATGTTTAACAAGGGTGCTCCTGTATCCCCTAAACTACAGCATTCACCGACTGCCAATTTCCTGATCAATGTTTTCAGGTGCATGCGTCAGAAAGCTCAGGCTACGAGGACTGTAGGTAATTCATGTCGCATTGCAAACATAAAAAGTGCAAGTAGGAAGACACTTCGCACTCACCTGCACATAGGCAGCGGTCTGCCGCCCGTGCTGGTTTCTCTGCATGATGAGGCCCATGATTTCTCTTCTTTTTGTCTCGCAGCCATCGTAAGCCGTAAGCCTGAAAGCAAAGATACTCGCTTAAGTGGAAGCATACGATTTCTGTGCAATGAAAGACGTCGCGGGAACGCCTTAGGGCTCATGTGACTGGGTTGACAAAGATATAACGAGCATGAAGCACCAACACTTCACTCGGTGATGACAATACGCCACCAGCTCCTGTAGTACAGTACTTGACAACGCTCGCTTGGGAGGGGGACAAACAACCACAATTTCCCCTTCAAAAGTCATACGCAGCGTTAGCTAAGGCAACCGCAGGAACAGAATATCGAATACCAACCACGGATCGGCCCCACTGAGCGCCATTTTGCACATACGCTGTCAGGCGTATAGACAAATGAAAAAAATCAGCTGACTTCTCTCTGCTTCAGACTCACTTTGCGAATATGTCTTATCTCTCTAGGCAGTCATTTTTCTCATTTTTATTTTGTCCAACGTTTTCGCGGCATATACAAGGTGAGCAAACGTGTTTTGTAGGTTAAGAAACGTTCGAAAGGTATTTTGACTTGCTTGGCTCTAGGTTAATGACCTGCAAGATGCACTCGACAGTTTCGTTACTGAGCCCTGGCTTGCGAGACTGGCGAAACTACGGGCAGCTACGGGTGAGCGGCACAAACATCGCCTCTGGAGTGAGCTGGACCAGTAGGTGTTCTGTGGCTGGACCACGGGAGCTGGACCCTCCACAGTAACGTGGTAGGTTGACAAGAAGAGAAACCTAGTAATGGTGTTCTGTGACTGTCCAGAGGGAGCTGCGTTGGAGCTTTACGCTCTTCCTCCTTGTTTCCTCCGTGGCCCTCTTTGTAGATTGGTTGGTTGGTTGGACCCAGGAGGATTGGGTGAACCCGCTACGGGGGATCAGCCATGAATCGCGCGGCAGTGGGATTTCGGGGAAGGAAAAAAAAAGGGAAAAAAGAAAAAAAAGAAGAGGATGGATGGATAAATATTTTTTATATATAAACGAAAAGCTTAGTTGTGCTAACAGGCTAATATAATTGTTTAAAGGGAAAACAATTAAAAATATGAAATAAATAAAAGTACATGTAATAATACATGAGATAGACTAATGACAAAAAATAAGTGATGAGTATGTACTTATGAGATAGCATGGTAGCCGTTTTGATTCTTTTATATAGTTATATGTCTCTGTTGCAATGACCTAGTGCCAAGCCCCTAAGGAGAGTAGTACCGTTTCAGATAGCTCAAGCCCGTGTTTTTGGAAAGCTGGCATTAGAAATGTTTGCCCTAAATTTCGATATCGGCGGCATTCTGTGAATAAGTACTCGATAGTTTCTGTTTTTGTACAACAGTGACAATGGGGGAAAGAAAGAAAACCAGGTCTGTATAAATAAAAGTTTAAAGGTGGAATCCTGCATCAGAATTTAGTGAATGTCACTTCGAATTGTATTGTTGCACACCATGCGCTGTACCACTGAAACTTAAGGTGCTGAAAATCTGCACCATTTAGAACAGAAGAGTTGGTGTGTTCCTGCCGTATACAGAAATTTCGGAATCGCATGATTGTATATAGGCAGCAGGGTCTTAGAATAGTTTAGGACGGGGTCTTGAATTGATTCTGCCGCCAGTGTGTCCTGCAGCTTTATTTAGTATTAGTCCCGCGTGACCTGGCACCCAAACATATCGGATAACACGAACAGTGACTGGGTACATACATATGGAATTCTAATCAGCAAGGCGACATCTTTGGTACTGTCAGAGCCATGCAAACTGACAAAGAATCAGTCAGTATAACAGGCGAGAGATTTATGTTCATAGCTTGTGTATGGCCAGAATCACTGCCAGTCATTTCTGCTTGGAATATTGGCGTAAAATCAGGTAGTCGCAGTGAATAAGACCAATCTAATTCTGTTGAGTAGATGCCCACTTTTGCTTTCTCGGCATTACCGGAAGCATCTGTAGCAATAACGGAACTTATCTATAGGCTATTCAAATTTTTTATTGCAAAAGTTTAGCATTTTTTGGAAATATATCGCCAAACTCTATTCTTACCGTAGGATTCTGTATCTGTGAGAAACTCACATCGACGGATTTTCACCCTAATGGCTCTAAGAGTATTTGCACATAAAATATTTGAGGTCAACGTAGCCAAGACCACTCACAATCAAAAAACATGGAAGGCTCGCTATAAATACATATTGGGAGCGTCTCTGTGGGGAGGCATAAATGGTCAGAATTGTTTGCACAGTCAGTATGCGAAACCTGGTTTGTAGAGAGGGCAGATATGCTTCATGATAAAGAACATTAGTATCGACAAACTGAGGGAGACCTAAACATAGGCGCCATGCCTCACGCTCTATAGAAAGAAGAGGACGTAAGTTATAAGTGGGTACCTCACAGAACAATACGCATCCAAACTCTAATATTGGGTGGACACACATGCAATATGTCATCAACAAAGCTCTTCTATGCATTCCAATTCAACCATTGCTGATGCCTTTGAGCAACCCAATCGCACATAATCCCTTACAATTCAACCATTGCTGATGCCTTTGAGCAACCCAATCGCACATAATCCCTTAGATGCAATATACTCAATATGTGAACTCCTATTAAGATTTGCAGGGTGTACTATACCCAAATACTTTAATGAGTCTGCCTGTGCGATGAAGTCCTGTCTGTACATCAATAATATTTTCACAGGAGAACTCAGTGGAAATAAAAGAAGAGCACTTTTCTTAACATTAGGGACATGCGCAGGTCCCTGAGCCATACTTTAATAGCATTTAAATACGACTGGAAAATGTTGTACAACGAGTATATGTCATTGGAAGCTGAAAAGAAGGCTATATCGTCTGCGTATACATATACTTGCACTTTATCGTGAGTAGGATAGAGCCTAATAATATATTGAATAAAATGGGTGAAAGAACCAATCCCTGAGGAACTCCCATTGTCTGTTTGTATTGTTGTGAAGATAGCCCATGCGAACAATAGCATGTATGTCCATTTGAAAAAATTGAATACATGCAATTATATATTCGGTAATGTTAACATTTCGAAGTTTATTAATCAAGATGGCGTGCTTCACACTGTCATACGCCTTAGCAATATCTAAGGTCACAAGAGTGGCGTATTGCTTTCTGTGCCGAGCAAGTTTAATTCTAACTTCCAGGTCAACATGTGCACATCATATAGAGCATCCAGGTCTGAATCCAATTTGCGATTCACTCAATACATTCTCTTGTTCTATCCATATTTCAAAATTTCAATATAGAACCCGTTCTATTAGCTTTACAAGATTAGAGGTGAGGGAAATAGGTCTAATGTTGTCTATATAGCATAACCAGCTCCTTGTTTTTAAGTAGTGGTGTTACTTTAGCAACTTTCTAGTCAGGATGCACCCAGGCATTTTGCTACAGAAAAATTTATAAAGTTAACGAGATTGCTGGGAGACAAATCAAACATAATTTTTATCATCACTGTAGTTATGATATTAGGGCCTGGAGATGAAGTTAGTAGTGATTGTATTACCTCTGATGTCTCTTCTAGTGTTGTTGCCTTGTGTTCATTACCTGTTTCTGTATACGGCAAAGGGTGGAGTAGCACCGACGTAAAACTATCTTCTAAGCTTTTCCTGATTGCTTCTAATGACTGCGACAATTCTGCGGCCACAACCTACCCATGCAGAAGAAGATGCGTGCATCGCGTTCGATTTTGACCGATCCCTTTTCAATGCTGTTTTTTTTATCCGCTGGGCTTTGCGTTCTGGAACGGCAGTCAGATTTTCTGAACTCGACTGCACGCGTGCCTGTAGCTGAGATAGCTCTGAGCCCATGGTGACGCCTTTGAGCGTGCAGTCTGTGCACATAGTATGCCATTTTCGTAACTTTTGGACGTTACATGGCAAATCTATCTCGCTTATTGAGATACGGGGTAGCGTGCTGTATTGGTGTTTCCTTTCTTCTATGGAAAGGGAAACACTACAGAAAAAGGGGGGGGGGGGCAGTCATTCTTGTGGAGAACTAGGCGACTGGCTCAGTAGTTTCTTAGAATGCAAAGCAAGTTGCTTAGTGTGCACTAAGCAATTGTTGCTTAGTGCATGAACGTCTCATGTTTGCAAATGTGCTTTGTTGTTGTAAAGTACGTGTGAGTGGGGTTGAGTCGTTGCTGGTCGGTTGAATATTTGTTATTGCAGAGGATTACTCAACATAACTAATTTCATATTAAATACATACCTGAGCACATTCCTGCCCAAACTGCCAAATCATGTGAATGATGCCCAAACTGCATCATATCTAATCTGGGCCCACGTTTTAGAACTCGACACATTAAAAGCTAACCATTAAACGAATGCTATTTACCTTGACTGCAAACCTATCTAAAAGCAAAGCCTCACTTGTTTCCTTAATTCGTTTTCATTCCAAACCACCTGTCTCGAGCAGAGTAGAGGACTCGATAACTGCATTTGCTGTAGGATCTTTGTTTCGTTTTCTTAATTTGCCTATAACTTACGTAATGTACTGCCTTAGGCGTATGAGCCGGGGCGGTCAAGAGGCGCTGAGCCCCCCCCCACTTTTGATAGTGGTCACTCTTGCTGTGCGCTGGGGAACCCAACATGTAAGGTGAAGTTTTCCATCACAATAATCACTCAGTTATGTTCTTACGGTAAAATAAAATATAACGAGGCAATGTTACAACATAGTGAAATTTTCCCATCATTTCTTCTGTGATGATTTTCCTTGTGGGATCCTTGCGGTGCGGGTCACCTATGCGATGCCTTTGGGTCTTGTGCTGTAGTATTTCAAAGCAGGTAAGTGCTGAACAGGGGCCCTATGATATTACATCACTTGTTCCTGCTTTTATTCTGCTGTGACTTGTTGATGAAGTTACGGATGGGAACGAGCAAACTTTTTAGACTGGTGAAAGCATTTGCTGCTTCTGGAAAATCATTTTCTTCAAAAAGGATATATCATCACCGCTGCTCTGTTGAAACTGTTGTGAGCCAATGAATGTTACGAATCGTTCTGGACACGGAAATTGGGCTAAGGGCACCATTCCTCAGTTAAACTGAGATTTGAACTTTGTAGAACTCCTAAGAAAGCGAGTCTTGTCACCTCTGTGTATGCAAATTCATATGAAAGTCCGATATATATATATATATACCCGGTGTACGAGTGAGTTAGGTTTGCCCCTTCCCCCCCCCCCCCCTCACGAAAGAGTTGGTATGCCACTGTATACTGCTATTACCGTTTAGGTGCTTGAACATAGTGTAGTGTCACCTCATGTGTGCATGTTTTGTTTTGTTCTTTATTTGTGACTTGGCTAGGTTCGGAAAATTGTGTAGATGGCAACTGCTTCGCATGCTTGTATAATCCAGTTTTTGTCATACTGAAAAAAAAGTTCTCACCTGAATACATTGAAGTAAGGGTATCGAACATTGAAATGTGGGCATGGACGTTAGTGCCAAGCATATAGGTCCGCAAAAATATTAGAACTTGCTTATACTCACTCAAGAAACATATTTTGCTCAGAGAGCTCTCTGACTCAATCTCCGAAATTTTCCTACCGGACTCAGACTTCTCCACACTTTTTCCCAACCAGTCTCATCGAACTCAAACACACCAGTGTATTACCTAGGTCGACTCACTCAGACACAGACTAGCAGCTTCACCTGAGTCTGAGTAAGCCCCAGTGTGTCAACTCACGAGTCCGTTAACTTAAAGGGCCAGCCAGCAGGCTCTGAAATGTGCAGGAGAAACTCACGCATCTTTCGTGCGCCTGACCAACCTGCTTCCAGGGGCAGTGACGCCAACTCAACGATCGACGACGTGATGCAGCACACAGCTAGTTGATTGGTTTTGCAAGTAGCGTTTTGCATCAGGTCTCAAAAAAGAGTAATAAAGTCAACGTCGTCGATTGCCGAGTTCACGTCACTGCACCTGGATGGAGGTTGGTCAGGCATATGAAAAAAATGCGCGAGCTTCTTTGGAGGGTGTAAAAAAAAAAAAAATCTGAGCCTGTTGACTGGCCCTTTAAAATTACCTTTTCCGATCATGGTGTATATGTGCTCAGCAGTCAATATCTCACATAATCAGTGCCCTATGATACGCCTTTTGATCTTATACCTTCTAATACGAGTTATCAGAGGGGTTGCTATCCACGTGAAATTTAGGGCTCACAAGACATATCTCTATCAAGAACATCCTGCGAAAGAGTTTTCGGGGGGGGGGGGGGTCACGGCACCCTTCTAACACCCACCTCCAATCAGCAAACATTGAGCTAGGTGGCGCATGCATGCCAGTGCATTGAGATATGTGCAAATAGACTCCATTGTATAAACATAGGCTGATATAATACTGACAGTAATTCTAATAGAGGAGTAAATCAGACCATAGGTTGGCAATAAAAGGTAGAGCTCACTCAGACTTACTCAAGAAATGTATTTTGAGCTTAGAGCTGACTTGTACTCGAGCTTTCCAATAATTTCCTCGACTGGATTCACACGGACTCAAGACTCACCAAAATAGTACTCACCCGGACTCACTCAGACTTGTCTTGATATGAGTCTGAGTGATTCATGACTCATGAGTGAGTTTGCCGACCTATGGTTCCAAGAGAGGATTATTTCTGAAGCTCTACCGAGGAAAAATGGATGTCAGTGGCGAGGCATTGTTGTGCACTTTCTTCACGACATTGCCGTTAGTGTAATCGCAGACAGACTGGATGTCTTGTAGCACTACTGAAAAATGATCTGCCATCAATATTGCATTCTGCAGTAGTTTATGTTAGGCCTTTATTTTTTTTTCAATGCGGTAATGTACTTGTCGGGTTTATGTATCGTGTGATAACCTATAATGTGAAATAGACATTGATTGCGTATTATTTGGGAAACACTTCAATAATTCATGGAGTGACAGCTAGCAATCCACTGTTATATAAGCTCAGCTGAGAAATAAGCTCAGCTGAAAAAAACATATTGGCTGATGCAGGACTGTTATTGAACAATGAGACTTTGCCAACTCTTCAAAATGGCGTGCATGTGGATAGTCCAGAAAACACAGGGCAGCACCTTTCACGAATGCATTGCCACAACATTAGTGCTTTCTTTGTATATGCACACCTTCAGGTTGTTATGTACTATGGCCTGTTTTAAGGCCATAGAGCTATTTGGGATCTTTTGCTACTGTCGTATTTAACTCTAACTGCGTCTTCATGCTTTACATTTTCTTCTATGTATTACTCGGTTGCTGGTAACTGCCTATTTTGACTAGACATTTTTCACCCACTATGTAGCAAATGGGTTCAGACACATTCACAGCTGAGTCACATTTCCATATTGTCATTCATTGGTACTCTGTCACACATTATAACTGATCTGGCACTCTTCGGCAACACCTGGCCTTTCCATTATTAAACTCCATACATCATCATCATCATCATCAATATGTTGGCTAAGGTGAGTATCGGTAAGCGAGTTGCGATTATAGAACACAGAGTTCTTTAACAGCTATTGTCTGTAGGTGTTCTCAGATAACACTTCTAGAGTAAATGAATGCATCATGTGTCTCTTTTGAGCAGGTCTCTTATTAGTAGGAAACGGTAATTGTTGTTCACACGGACTTTATTTACAGTTCACAGTTTTCAGCAGCATTCGATGCGGCTGATGCAACACACTTGAAATGCCAAACATACTGCACACTTCCATGATGTTTGATGTGTTGAGGAGCAGAGAAAGTAGCATTTTGGCAGCGAGAGGTCGTCATGGACGCCACGCTTCCAAAATGGTGAAGGGAAAAATGAGACCTTTCATTCTTGCATAGCTGATGTAAAATGCCCTACGTGCCGCTTGCTCCTCCAATTCGAGAGGCAAGCAGTCTTATCATACTTGGACCAACGGGCAATTTGAGAGATCTGCCACTGTGGGCAGTGGTCAGAACTTTGTCGCTTCACTGTTCAAATCGTGTCTTTCTATTGCTGGTAAGTGACTGGATCTGCGAAGGGCAACCGCAGGCGATTCATCACTGATGAAGCCATTCTTTTCTGTTACGATAGATGTGTCAGCAGGCCTTTCTTGCTCAACTTCTGTCGACTCATCACACTGCTGTCGTGCAAAGTTCACAAAGACCTGAAATATTTGCGAAGGGGTTAGTACAGGAGTAGCAACCATTGAATCAGAATGATGTTTCTTGCAAACTGCAAGAATAATAGGTGGAAAACTATATTGCAGAAGTACAGTTCGTTATTGATGTGCAAACAAAATTATTTTTTAAAACTTAATCTTGCTATTAGTCTAAAAAAATTAATGCAGTTGCTTTCGTTCTATTTATTTGTTCAATAACTTATACAGTATTACAGTAAAGGTACACTAGGCAAAAACAGAAGCCTCGTTACACAATCGTTGCCCCAACTCTTGCCATCCCAGACCCAAACCAACCATTTCGTGCTCTGAGCTGTGTGGTAGTGTTGAACCAGTTGTTGGCAGTTTCCAGCCAAACCCATGCTGTTTATCCTTTAGCCCTAGTCCTACTGCTAAGTGGCTGACCATAGCCACCTCATATTAAAGAGATACTGCAGCAAATTTGTAAAAATTGATGAAAATCGTAAATTTCTACATGGGAAATGCCACTATTCTGACAAACAGAGTTAATTGCACGTAGTTTCTGAACAGCTGGCTATATTTTGGCAGGATGAAATGTGACGTGCACCCTCCAAGCACTTCGGAAATGCTTGCAGGGTGCACGTCTTCCTGTCCTCTTCTTCTCTTTCTCCACCTCCCCTTTCATTCTGCTCTCCCCCTTCCACAAAAGCAGTGATGCCTTGCCGTAGCAGGGCATTCGCTGCTGTTGTGGTTCTGGGAGTCTTAATGGGAGCCGAGTGGGTGTAGAGACACGGACGACAGCTGGGACTGTTGGGATGCCTGTTTCCTATGAGTGTAACACCATCAAACACACCCCCTCTAGTTCACGGCATGGCCACCAGATGCGATACTTTGTGAAAAACTAATTAAATTAATTACTTTTTCTATAGCTTTCTGCCTTAAATAAGGTTGTGTCTATTGATTTAAACACCCACTCTTTCAATATGGCTAGAAATCTTGGCGGCAAAAATTATGTTCGGCATCCTTTAAGAACACCACCACTTTGCGGTATTCATCAATGACACACTTGAGCATGTTGAATGTGAGGACATGGCATGAAAGATCTGACAGCCTGTCAATTACTTTCAATGAAGTGCTTCCTCCACCTCATTTAAAGTGTAAGTGAAACACTTATGACTGGAAAAGTTACAAACACAAGGCATGCGAGTCCTTACCTGATCTAACGTCGTCTGAGACACGGAAAAGTCCAAGATGCTCAAATCACTGCTGTTCTTTTCTAAGAATTTAAACACAGAGGAAAGTGATGTTTGCTTCGAAGGCAGGCTGAACTCCATGATGTTGAAGTGTTGTGCCTGCAGAGGAGACAAAATGCAGTGAGAAAAAAATTAAATCTATGACTCAATGATGTACCTCGAGCACGAGCTGGCTTTGACTCAGAAGTTTCAACATGTTCTTTACGATATTTAGAAAAGGAAGTACTGAGATAGTACTTATTCTAATATTTATCTATTGACTGTCACATTGTTAGCCCCACCGCGGTGGTCTAGTGGCTAAGGTATACTCGGCTGCAGACCCGCGGGTTGCGGGATCGAATCCCTGCTGTGGCGGCTGCATTTCCGATGGAGGCGGAAATGTTGTAGGCCCATGTGCTCAGATTTGGGTGCACGTTAAGAACCTCAGGTGGTCAAAATTTCGGGAGCCTTCCACTACGGCGTCTCTCATAATCACATGGTGGTTTTGGGATGTTAAGCCCTACAAATCAATCATCAAATCATCAGTCACATTGTTACTTTATATGTGCTGCTTCAAATTATGTAAAAGTTAGCTTTTGTCTCCTCTAGCTCATTCTTAGTTACTCAGCCTGCATTGAAACTCCATATATCTTGATCCATACCTTTAGTGATGCTGTGGGGAAGTGAGTAATTAGACATTTAATTGCTTGCTTCCAGTCCTTGACATTTTCAGCCATGCGTATTGTGACGGTAAATCCTGCTCCAAACCTGCAGAGAAGATATTTTGTTGATGTAGATCCAGAATTGCTAATGACTGAAAAGAATTACTAGCACATGAAAAATGCTGACATATGTACCAAATGTGCAAGGACAAACTGCTTTTGTTGTGGCTTTACCTTCGACTAAACATCTGCTGTTGTGGTACTCATTAGCCGTGAGCAAAGAATATTGCATTTAGAGATTTGAAAGAAATAGTTGGACCAGACAAATAAGAATACTATTAATTGTACACAGATGTAAATATGGTCTTATTCGTCACATCAGTAAGTGATAAAGATATGCTTACTACTAATATCAAATTAATGATGCATATTTTTGGGCCATATTCAACTTGATTATGGGATTTCACTAGGGTTGACGTGAAGTGTGATTGGATAAACTGTACAATATGTCAAATGTGATTTTATTTTCTGCTTTTATTTTTCTTGCCTTGTGTAGTTGCACTGATTCAATTAAAACTAAGAGTTTATTTTTCCTTCATAAAAATAAATTATTACAAATATTAACATTAATGTCTCCCCTTGAGTCATCGCTCCAAGAGGGACAATGAAAAACACTAAAAACTTCTCACGCTCTCTGGTTGCTTTCACAGTTATTGTTCGTAGTTATCTGACTACAATGCTCAGGAAATGACTAAGAGTTGCATAAGATGCAATTTTTTTGGTCCTTGGTTCAGTTGGTGAATTTATTTTTGCGCATTCAAGAAGAAAACATATTAATCCAAAATAAAATATTAAAGGTGCCCAAACTCTATACATATAAACTATTCCTTGAAATTATACGGCAGGTTAAGTCTGACAAACAATCCTTCCAGACTAAATACAGTGTGAAAACGATAGGCTATAATTTAACAAATAGTTTTGTGTCTACACCACATATAAAAAAAATTAAAGAATTATTATTTTCAGAGGACTAAAGCAAATAAAAGAATAATATAGTTCTGTATCAAATGTTATGTACTGTTTTGATTTTCTTTCTTTTTCTCTGCTCACATGTGGCTTGTGAGCCCTACAAGTTGTTCCTAGTTCTTTATTTTTGTGTATTAGTATAATGCCATTTTCATTTCCTGCTCAAGAGTTGTGCGTGCACATTTTTTGTTAAAATTGTGATCATGTTTGTGCTACATGACTGTGTAACATTGAGCTGAGGTGTATTATCTGATTTTTCTGTACCCTTTTATATTTGTAAATGCCTTTTCCTGCTGCTGCTGTATGGGTGGCATGGCCCAGCCAGGCAATGTTTGCCCTTCGCCGTGTCTCCTTGGACAATTCTGTAATTGTTCCTAATAAACTAATAAAGAAAGAAAGGAAAAAAAAACACCTGGACATAGCAAGAAGACAACACGAGCACCAACTTTCAATTGACATCGTTGTTCACTAAAAAGCAGACCTAGTAGCCACGTAACCCTTCACTGCGCAGAGTACAAATGTGCACCATGTGTTGTCTTCGCGGCGTCGTTGAAGCACATGAGACGTTGTAGTAGAAGAATAATTTAATAAACTCCCAAGAAACGCTGAAGCTACACAGGCTACAACCGCCACACAGGCGAAACGCACGTGAGTGTCTCTGACAATGTCGCCGTTCTCTTTCACTAGCTACTTCAGGGCATGTGCATCTAGTGCATGCTCTCGCTATTTTTCAACGAGCTACTGTACTATTTCAACACGGTGGTTGAACAAGGTAGCTGAGGCTTTTTTCATTGCAATTTTAGATGATAAATGCATAATCCACTCATCTTTATCCCTATCTGACAATAAACTAGGTTTTCTGGCATCAGGGCTGTAAAAAAGAAGTGAAATTTCTGATTATGTTTATATAGTTTTTGTGTTGTTGGACGGAGTCATTGTGCATGACCAACTGTTTTCATGTAGTATGCATGTTCTCTTTCCGAAAAAATAAATGTCAGTTAGAAGATAGCATCCGTGTTGTCTTCTTGCTGTGTGAACGCGTTTCTTTTGTGCTATTTTACAACGCATTACCACCCAGCTCGGCTTTCCGTACTACTTAAGAACGTTTCCATCTTCTTTCTCTTGTTTCTACTGCCAAAGCAGTTCCACTCAATCTGTGGTCATCGACTGCTCTGCTGTGTTGTATATTTCGTTCTTGACTCTTGGAGCTACTCACTTGTGTTTGAGATACTGTGGGCTTCCTATACAGCACAGTTGTCCATTCACCATGATTGCGAGCCTTGAACAAAGTAAGTCGCATTCGGCCATGCTGCATCGATGACGAGAAGTAAAAAAAAATTTGAAAATGTTACGCTGGAGCTTCTCAAAACAATTCTGTAATGCAGTCCAACAATAATCACATTTCATAGGTGTCATTATTCTCCAAATATATGTTTATACTGGCATCCATGCTTTGTAGAGATGGACTTTTTTCACTTTCTGCTTTGCGGAAATATTTGAGATGGGGCGCATTACTGCAATACTCACTTTCTTGTTTGCAAATAAAAGGTGCACCATGGATTTTAAAAAGTTGTGGCGCATGGGTTTTAGACCAATACTTACGAGAATCTTTGTACATACACTTTTTGCATGTGGCTCACTAAAGAGCCCATCAGTTGTTTGCTTGTACATACTGGTGCAAACCTTGACTATGAATCGCACTCTGAAAATCCGTGCATTGGACTTATTAAGCTTTTTATTAAATCGTATCCACCGTGGCCTTTTGGATCTCCAAATCATAAGCGTGGGCAGGGTTCTCCGAGGCGAAAGTTATTCATAGCACCTCCTCTCCCTATTAATTAAGTCAACGTATAAGACAGACTCTACACCTCCCTCGTTATGAGGGCAGCCGGCCCTCTCCTCCCCCGCACATGCCTATGCCCATAATGAATTGTGAAATTACTTTGCTAACAGTTACATATTATAGCACCTAAAGGCAACACTGCCAAACAACTTGCATAAGTTTAACACATTCAAAGCTTTTATTTATTTATAATAGGAAAAATAAATTAAAATCAATTGTTGCTTATTATGTGCAAGGGTTCTAGCTTTATTAACTATAATTTTAAAGCTGATAGATAATTTTGTTTAGTCCCACTCATACTGCACTGAGTGCAGATGCTCATGCTCATATAATGTTTCAACTAGAAGCATCATGCAAATTGCTGCAAGTGAAAATGTCCAGATATCTTGCCTGTGTGATGTTAGCAAGACAGATCGCTTTTCTTGGATGGCTTCAGAAACATTAGACCAAACCAGTCTACGAGTAACAGGATCCATTCCACTTGTTGGCTCGTCCTGGAATTCAGTGAAATAAACTTGAGAAATAATGTCTTACCTACCATAAAAACTTTGGTGCCCTCAAAAGTAGGGTAAACCAATAAGCTGCTTTTTATGTGACTGCACATTGAGTGTTATGGATGGGCGTGAATCGTGAGCAAAGAATAAAATTGAGCACGTACTCAGCTTTGGGTGTTGCAGCTTATTTCTTGTGCATATCTTATAATTGCACATTTAGAAACCTGCTAGGCCTCAGCCTTGTCACTGTGTTCACAGTATGTTTGGCTCTTACGCGCTTCTCAGCGCAACTTTTTCTCAAACTGGGTCAGGAAATCTCAGTACGCGAAATTTTCATTCTGCTGCAGTATTTTCGAATCAGTGTACTGACCGCCATACTATTTCTTTTTATTGTATTGCAAAACATCTTTTACAAAACAGCTGCCTTCTTTAACATTTACTATGTGCCAATCACACCTGAACAAAACCCAGCTCAGTTCGTATAACTTGTGCTGTGGCCTGTCACTTTAGGTGAAATCAATAAAATAAAGAAAAGGCAGTACCGTATTTACTCGATTCTACCGCGCCCTCGATTGTAACGCGCACCCAATTTCTGTGACAAAAAAAGTAAGACATCGATTACAACGCGCACCCATTTTTCTCGCTGGCCCGCAGGATCACACCACTAGAAAAAAACGACTCCTTTTGGGAGCGTCTTCCATTTAAATATGAGGTGCGGGGGAAGCTTGTGCTCATCAGACATGTAACAGAGCATTGCCGTCACTGTACTTTTACCGTGGGCCAATGTCAGCACGCGAACTTGCTCCGCCTCCTTCTTTTCGACGGTTGTGGTGCCAGGCATTTTGAAGTAAAGAGGCGTCTGATCGGCATTCCCAATTTGCCCAAGCAGGTAGCCGTTGTTGTGCTGCAAGTTTAGGACGAACCTGTGAAAACTGTGAAGCTTTTGATCGTACCCCTCCGCAAAACTTTTCGCATACGCCCGTTCACCTTCGGAGGGAAAAGCCTTTCCTCTTCATAAAGTTAGTCAGCCAGCACCTGCTCGCTTTAAACTGGCTCCGCATAGACCTTTTTCAAAGGCTAACTGCATAGCCTGCACTTATAGCAGTTCTGTCATCACGGGCCACTGAGCCGCTCGCTGCTCAAGCACATACTCGGCGAGCAGCTCTTCAATTTGCGGAAACCGACCCTACTGTGGTTCACTAAAGCCTTTGCGTGAAGCTTTGCTGTCGACAATCTTCTGCTTTTGTTTCCGCCAGTACCGCACGCACGTTTCGGGAACTCTGAACGCCCGTGAGGCGGCCCGATTTCCGTCTGTTTCTGCACACGCGATGACTTTTCTTTTAAAAGCGGCATTGTGGTGCACTCGAGTTTTCGGAGTCGGCCCTTCCATTCCGTCGATGCTAATAAACTACAAGATGAACTCCTCAGCACACGTACGAAGTGCCGCACATGGAAAACACATAGGCAGAAATGGCCGACGCACCATGCCGATGCACGTAGGGGGCGGCCATTTTGGAAATGCTGATGGCAATATAATGACCGTATTCATTTTTTTTTTTCGTACTCGATTCTAACGCGCATGCGATTTATGAACTCGCTTAACCGGAAAGCAGGTGCGCGTTAGATTCGAGTAATTACGGTATGTGCATTGCAAAGATAACTGATTATGTGAAGGAGACTAACCAAGAGCACAATTTGTGGATTCCCGAGCATTGCGATGGCTGTACAGACTTTTCGTCTTGTGCCACGGCTGAGTGTTCCCACTTTGTAATTGGCATGTGCAGAAAGCTGGAACCTTGTGAGGGCTTCCTCAACAACCTGCAAATAACATTCATTGTTGTAAACATTGCATAATGTGTGATGTAAAATATTTGAAAGAATGGGAAGCAGAAAAAAAAATCGATTGGCATTGTTTTGGAAAGTGGTAGCGAATTAAGAAAGTGCACATTAGAAAGTTGTGAAGGCTATGTGAAGATGTCTGCATTGATAATGTTATGTGTTTAAATGAAGAGTTGCCCAAAAACGCTACCCATTAGCAATTGTGTAGTAGCTTCCTTGAAAAAAAGGTTATGTCAATTCGGATTAGCTTCAATGCTGTCATGATGAATCTGTGCACTGTTTGAGATATATATTGGCACAGCACCGCACATTTAAATATCTTGTACAGGCATTCAAGCTGTTATAATTCGTGGTGTTTCTGGATGTTATGTCTTGTTTGAAGCTCAAATTATGCAAGTTCTCTAAGCTTATTTATGCTATCAACTACAACTGCATCTACACATTGTGAAATGCAGCTTTTACTTCTGAATATATGGCTGTCTTAAATTGCTGGTTGCTACACTTGTGTTTAGGGGATACATTGTTCACTTTGGTACACTGTACACAAGAGCCACAAGAGGTGAGCCAATAGAGCTCAGTACTGTCTACTGTGGCAGTCTTTTCACTTAGCAGTTGTGAGGCTTACACAAGCTGTGCACACCCTCACTATCACAAGGAAGCGTTAGTTTTCGGTTTCTTTCTTGCACTGGCAGTAAAGTCGCTGAAGAATAAGGCAATCACCTCCTGGATCTCACTCTTTGGTATCCCACGCATCATGGAGTAAATCACGAGGTGCTCCTTTGGAGACAGCAAGTCGTCAAGTGCATCAGCTTGGGGACAGTAGCCCACCAGCTGTGTGCCTTTTGCAAACACTTTGTCCAATCTGTAAGCAATGTTGTTCTCAGTTCAGCATATGTTTAAACCTACACATGTCAATTTATGCATCGTGTGTGTTCTAAGCAGGGCTACCTTGTATCTTGAACGAGGGTGGTTCCCTGTGTAGGCTGAAGCTGTCCGGTTAAGATGCGAAACAAGGTTGTCTTTCCAGCTCCATTTACACCGAGGAGTCCAAAGCACTGGGATAACATGATTAAAAATTGATGAAATTGAATAGTATACAACATTGCTTCTGTTATAGAACTGTTTCCTAAGTATGTTAGGATAGTAAACTAGGTTGTAAATTCGAAATCAGCTTAGCATCAGATAAATGTAACAAAAAACTGTGAAATTAATCTCATATATCTAATACAGCTACAAGCACATTTAGTTTTAGTATCTAAGGGAATAAGTACTGCTAGACTACTGTACTATAGTAATATACCAGTACATTACTAAATCATACGTCATTATTACAAAGCCTCGTGCACCAGGTAAATATTTTATCACGCTCCATATCAGTTATGAACTTGTATTTAGTACTTGTTGATGTCAATAGAAGTGATTTTAAATTTAGTGCTTTGTTACATTCAGTACGATACAAAAACTTTATTTAAAGATCTGGAGAAGTGTCACCCTTTAGGGAAACACTGCGGGCCACTCCCACGTCGAGATGGTTAGACCTAACCTAACCGCTGCATCGCAGGCCCTCTGAACACCTCTGAGTTAATGCTGATATTCCGAGCTTTTGAGGACCGAGCAACATTTCTGCTCGCACAATCCCCCGTAGCAATGCGACTTAAAGTGACTTGGAAATAGACAGTGCATGAAAGTGAGATTCGGATAAAAATTAGTCTAACATCCTGACAGTCATCTCCTGTGGTTTCGTGAGATTTCTGTGTGGTGGAGGAATTACCCTTCTTTTCAGATAGAAGTGTTTTGTGAATTCGTTAAACGTGAATAAAGTTTTTTGGAACTCTTGCACCCTGCACTGTGGCAAGGCTTCTCCTACACGGAGAGTTAGTATGCGTGCTTGGGAGTTGGCAATGTCGCTCGGGTTGGTGAGTGAGTAGAAAGTTTGGCCTAGGTGTGCTGGGAACCAAGTGATTGTGTACATAGTTACATTCAGTAATCAATTTTAATAATTTTTGCTATAACCATGTTCATGATATTGATGCTTTACTTATTTTTTGCTTGAAAGTAATATAATAATATTTTAATACTGTGATGTAGCTAGTAAACAATGCCATCTTGTGCTCATATTATTAGTATGATGCTTACCTCGCCTTTTGGTATGCCAAATGAGACATTGTCCACCGCTTTGTGTTGTCTTTGATAAACCTGTGCCGAAAGCAACTTTGTTAATAGAGCACCTATGATTGTAAGTGAATGAAAAGTAGAAAATGACGGCATTATTAGGTGTTTGCCTGGATAGAGCGATGTCACAACTTCTGTTTCACCTTATACAATGATGCTAGACATATATCATTGTATCATTGTCATGTGCACTGAAAAAGTCAATTTTCTGTGAGCACATGTGCAGATGTTTGACAACTTTTTGCAAAGAAATGATCGTGTTTTTTGCGCACCAAAAATACTGGGTGTTCTCACTATTATGCAAACATAGGAAAGACACAGCATAATGCAACCTGTCATGAAGATACAAGGTTAACATAAAACAAGGGACGAAACTCTTCAAATAATGTACAAATGAAATGATATGATCCTTATTTACATGCACCCAATAAACTGTTGCTGTTTATAATAAGTGAGCAAGTATTTCTTACTTGTTATTACCCCTCAACCTGCAACGCAGCAGAGGGTGCTAAGAATCTCTAAATCCGGACAGGCCGCCATTGGAACCTCAACTTGGCAACATTTAACGCTAGAACCTTATCTAAAGAGGGAAGTCTAACTGTACTATTCGAGGAGCTAGAGAGTGTTAAATGGGATATAATAGGGCTCAGTGATGTTAAGAGGACAGAATGGGCACGTCCTTTGCTATCGGGGCTTCAATGAAAGAAGAGAACTGGGAGTGGGGTTCCTCATTCACAGAAACATAGCTGGCAACATAGAGGAATACTATAGCATTAATAAAAGGGTGATAAGTATCGTAATTAAACTGAATAAGAGATACAAGATGAAGGTGGTACAGGCCTACGCGCCTACAACCAGCCATGATGACGCTTCAGTTGAAAGCTTCTATGAAGACGTGGAACCGGCAATGAGTAAGGTAAAAACACAGTATACTATAGTGATGGGAGACTTTAATGCAAAGGTAGGGAAGAAGCAGGCTTGAGACCAAGTAGTAGGAGATTATGGCATCGGTACTAGAAACGCCAGAGGAAAGCTACTAGTAGAATTTGCAGAACGCAAAAATTTACGGATTTTGAATACCTTCTATCGAAAACGAGGAAACCACAAGTGGACATGGAGGAGCCCTAATGGCGAACATAAGAACGAAATAGACTTTATAATGTGTGCACACCCAGGCATCGTGCAGGATTGTGAAATGGTTAGCAAGGTACGATGCAGTGACCATAGAATGGTACGGTCTCGAATTTGCCTAGACTTGAAGAAGGAACGACAGAAACTGATACGCAAGAAGCCAATCAATGAGCTAGCACTGAGAGGGAAAGTACAGGAATTCAGAGTCTCGCTTCGGAACAGGTACTCGGCTCTTAGTGAGGAATCCAACCTTAGCGTAGATACAATGAATGATAATCTGACTAGTATCATTATGGAGTGTGCAGTGGAAGTTGGAGGCAGGGTAGTTAGACAGGACACTGGCAAGCTTTCCCAGGAAACGAAGAATCTCATTAGGAAACGTCAAATCATGAAAGTCTCAAGTACAACAGACAAAACAGAACTGGCAGAGCTTTTGAAGTTTATTAATAGGCATAAGGTATGCGATGTAAGAAAGTATAACGTAGAGAGAATTGAACACGCTCTGAAAAACGGAGGAAGCGTCAGAGCAGTGAAGAAGAAACTTGGGATAGGCAAAAATCGGATGTACGCACTAAGGGACAAAGAAGGCAAAATAACTACCAACGTGGATAGGATAGTTAAAATAGCGGAGGAGTTTTACAGAGATCTGTACAGTAGCCGGGAGAACCACGACTTTAATACTATAAGAACTAGCAGTAACCCAGATGACGCCTCACCAGTAATGATATAAGAAATCAGAAAAACTTTGGAGAGCATGCAAAGAGACAAAGCTGCTGGTGAGGATCAGGTAACATCAGATCTGCTGAAAGATGGAGGACAGAGTGTGTTAGAAAAACTAGCCACTCTGTTTACAAGGTGTCTCCTGATGGGAAGAGTACCAGAGTCTTGGAAGAATGCTAACATCATCTTAATACATAGGAAAGGAGATGACAAGGACTTGAAGAATTACAGGCCGATCAGCTTGCTCTCTGTAGTATACAAGCTATTTACAAAGGTAATTGCTAACAGAGTAAAGAAAACATTAGAATTCAATCAACCAAAGGAACAAGCAGGATTTCGAACAGGCTACTCAACAATCGACCACATTCATACTATCAATCAGGTAATAGAGAAATGCTCAGAATATAACCAACCACTATACATAGCCTTCATAGATGAGAAGGCATTTGATTCAGTAAAAATATCAGCCGTCATGCAGACACTGCGGAATCAAGGCGTCGATGAAGTATATATAAACATCCTGGAAGAAATCTACAGGGGATCAACTGCTACCATAGTGCTTCATAAAGAAAGCAACAGAATACCAATCAAGAAGGGTGTAAGGCAGGGGGACACAATCTCCCCAATGCTATTTACCGCGTGCTTACAGGAGATTTTCAGAGGCCTAGAATGGGAACAGTTAGGGATAAGATTTAACAGAGCGCACCTTAGTAACCTGCGCTTCGCCGATGACATTGCATAGCTGAGTAACTCAGGGGACGAATTGCAACTCATGATTACGGAGTTAGACAAGGAGAGCAGAAAGGTGGGTCTTAAAATGAATCTGCGGAAAACGAAAGTAATGTACAACAACCTCGGAAGAGGGCAGCGCTTCGAGATAGGTAATAGTGCACTTGAAGTTGTAAAAGACTATGCCTACTTAGGGCAGGTAATAACGGCGGAGCCGAACCACGAGACTGAAGTAACTAGAAGAATAAGAATGGGGTGGAGCACATCTGGCAAGCACTCTCAAGTTATGACAGGTAGATTGCCACTATCCCTCAAGAGGAAGGTGTATAACAGCTGTATCTTGCCGGTACTTAGCTGCAGAGCAGAAACCTGGAGACTTACAAAGAGGGTTCAGCTTAAATTGAGGACGATGCAGAGAGCAATGGAAAGAAAAATGGTAGATGTAACCTTAAGAGACAAGAAGATGGCAGTGTGGACAAACGGGGGTTAAGGCTATCATAGTTGAAATCAAGAAGAAGAAATGGACATGGGTCGGGCATGTAGCGCGTAGACAGGATAACCGCTGGTCATTAAAGGTAACTAACTGGATTCCAGAGAAGGCAATCGGGTTAGGAGGAGACAGAAAGTTAGGTGGGCAGATGAGATTAAGAAGATTGCGGGTATAAATTGGCAGCAGCAAGCACAAGACCGGGTTAACTGGCGGAACATGGGAGAGGCCTTTGTCCTGCAGTGGACGTAGTCAGGCTGATGATGATGATGATTACCCCTCCCAGTAAAAGATTGAGACCTTTGCTGCTGTTGTATGGATGGTCATGTTGAAGAATATAACTTTTCTAGTCCACCCTAGAAAACAAAAATTGTCCAGTATGATATACACCTGCATTTAATTTTTTTGAAGAAGTAACCTAATTCCCAAATCAGCTCGTACACTTCAGGGAAGGGTAGAATTTTCACTAGATCTACAGTTGTTATAATGTGAAAGTTTAGGGTTTCATGTCCCAAAACTATGATATGATCGTGAGAGACTTCATAATGAAGGGTTCTGGAAACTTGGAACACTTGATGTTTTTTGTACCAGAATCTATCTACATTTGCAGAGACAAAAAAATGTTGACTAGAATACTGTTAAATTGGCAGTAGCACTTGTTTTAATACTAAATGTAGCAGTCGCAGCACAACGCACAATATCAACGGTTGGCGATTGACCTGATCTCATGCAAAATTTATACACACTGTAATGATATCAAAGGAAAGTATGCTTGCGCTTTTTTAAGCTCACTCTTGTGCCTACTAATATAGTGTTTTTGCTACCATAAGTGTGGAACCCAGCTACTGAAGACTAGAAGTGGTTATGTGGTGATCACCTTTACGACATCCAGCACTCTCAACACATCATTCTTGCCACTGTCGCCATTCGCACGCATTTTTTCTGCTGTAACATCCGTGTCCTCAGGCACCTTGGATTGTCTTTGAGTCCTGAAATGAATTTATAGTGATTTCTCTGAACCAGAAACTTGTAAACCTGGGTATTCTATTCTGTCATTCAGGCTCTCCTCATTTTTTTTTTTTTTTCATGAATTGCGTCGACTTGCCGAGAAGTAACTATGTAATACAAAATTGTTATAGGCCCTCATTGTAATGAGCATCAATAATAATTGGCTATAGCATTGTAAATACAAAGTTTCTTTTTAAAATTAGCATTTTATATAGTGTGTGCTTATAAAGGGATATGAGATGCAACAAAATGATTTTTGTGTTGATTGTTATTTCAATAATATTTCTTCCTGCTTTCAATACTGGCTTTCAAGCAGTTACTATTTGGTAGAAAATGTTTAACAATATCTGGAGGCTAAATGAAAGCACATGCTTGCTTTTATGAATGCTGTCTCAATAACCGAACTTCATTTACAAGTAATATAGGTACTGCTTAAATAAACAGGTGAGCCTTATCATTTCGGTCTAGCATTGTATGCCTGTCACACAAATATGCCTTGGCTGCACAATATGCCTGATAGATTGTTTTTCACTTTGATAGGCTTGTTTTGTCCACTCATCACTCCTCTTTCAGATCTCTTTCTCGCTGTATTTGAAATTGGCTCCCCTTTTTTTCTATATTAATTAGGAGTAAATCTTAACACTCCTTGATGACACATTATTTAACTGTAGTGCTCATTGAGATGCTTGCACACTCAAACTTCGATATAATGAAGCTAGATATAACGAAACACCGGCTATAATGAGGTAAATGAAAAAAAGTTTTACAACTGATGTACTGTTGAAATTAAACCTTTACAACAAATTTCCAGCTATATCGAACCAATTTTTGTGTGAGATGCAACTTTGTTATAATGGGGTTTGAGCCTATATGAACTAAAGCTGTGTGCTGCCACATCTACAGCAAACAAAAATGAAAACGGAAACGTAAAAAGATGTGGGCTAGTCCATTAGATGGTGTTACTAATATGAAACAGCACTGAAATACTGCTGTCATTTGGCATCGCTGTCTTTGTTCAAAACATTGTTTCATGGCCGTGCATTTTTCACCTGTTGGTAAGTGACGCAATGTCATATCTGGAAGGCTTTATGGCTACCTTATTCCCTCACACATATAACAAAACTGTTGCACGTATGCTACAAGGAGACATGCTACAAAGCTCTTACCGAAGATGTTCAGCACACTTTCACATTTCTTGCATGCTGTGTGGCAACACTAAATACATATGGAACCACTGTTACTTTGCCACTTTTTCAGAGCTAGCGTCTCTTTCCACCTTGCTGCTAGCTTATATTTCTCAAAAGGGGCTGCTACCATTGTATACTGGGTGGCAGTATTTGTGGGTAAAGTTTATTTTGTTGGTACCTGCAATCCCACTCAACCTTGCCATACATGCCACTTTGTGTAAGCACATATTCAAGGCAATCAAGGCTTTTTACTACCATCATAACTTGTCTAAAAGCTATATTTCAAGTTGACAATTCAGTCGCAGTACTGTATACTATGATAGATTTTTTTAGTTGCTACTTATATGGCAGACAATTGTTTTTATGACCTCTGTTGAAGTGAGCAGATGAGAAAGCTTACCTGGAATGCAACGGTGCTTTCAAGTGACACTCTAGAAAGAGGTTGATGCAGAAGAAGACTACTCCGACCAAGAACATGGCATAAAAGTTGTAGTTAAGGACTTCATTGCTGAATGGGTTCTCGTAGGTGTCTTGTCCGTACCGAGCATATATATCAGCCTGAATGTGATTCTTGGCGAGGCTGACAAAGCCGCCTATCAGAGCATACTGTGGGAAAACGAGTGCAGCATTCTGGAGACCAGTCATGAGTTGACGATTGCCCTGCAAACGGAGTCATAAGATGTGGCTTAGGATAACTCCGCTAAAGCATTAAAGCATAGGCAATAATTGTAAATGCATATGGGAGCACTTTTAGGTCTCTCCCTTGTCAGCTAAAAATTAAGACGCAACGTATTTATGTAGCTGAAAAAAGACTGTGGCTTAGAAATGTGCATAAATATTCATAATTTATGTAAAAAAATATGGACTTACCTGCTATGTTCTTACCGCGGCAATTGTTTAATAGTATCATATCCTTAAATGTACTTACCGAGCTTATCTGGATCATGTTGAGGACAAGCATGACAATTGCTATGTTGAGACCGATGAACAAGTTCACACAGTACAGAACAACAAATGAGATGCTTGCTTCTTTGAATAGCCGTGACAGGCAGTACATGAGAGGTGTGGTACCCCACCTAGAAAGCATTGAACAGCCATTTGTATGCATATATTCAACGGATACGTGTTCACGAGAATTTTGTGCTTAGTAAATGCCGCGGTGCAAAGGACAGGGAAATAGATTGTGCAAGATGATAGGGTGCCACGTAACATTATTTGATTTTTGAATTTCATAAATTGTGTTTTTATTTTTGCTGTTTCTTTATTATTTGTATTGTAGTGGAAAAAAAACACCCATACAAAGAGATTATATAAACTGATTTATATTTCTCAGCTTAAGAAAAACAAAGATTCTAGAAAGGTTTGGGCATGTGACAGGTAATTTTGAAGTACCCTTGATGATAAAATATTTTAGTACTTTTTAATTACGCGAAGTCATGTGTGGAAAGTGAGCAATAGAATTGGAGTTTACCTGTACTAGTTATTCAGTGAATACCAAAAATTACTGCCATCATAAGAAAAAGCGTTAGTTAGCAATAATGTATGCAAAAACAAATGATAGATAATAGCTGTATATTGGAATTGCCACTCCAGGGCCGCAATTTCGTGAAATTCGGTAGTATCAGCTAGGGTCTAGATAATGATTCACGAAACTACGTTGTGATGTAAAGAGTCATACTCTGAACTTTAATATTTTCGAAAATTTTATTGCATCTCAGTGGCCCGTATCACTGTTCTCACACTTGAAAAACCTAATCAAACTAAATTGGCTTAGTTTCGATATGTTGATAACATATGACTTGCCATTAAAAACTGGCCTTAATGTTTTTTGTGTGGAAAAATTTTTTCGCATTCTGACTGCCATATTCAAGGTAACGATGAGGCTGTAGGTGGGCTTTATTGATAAGTTTTTTTCGGCTGCATCATACTTACCCAAACAGAATCATGAGCAGCAGCACAGCCGGGAAGTTGAGCTTGCTGACGTATACAGGGAGCCCAAACGCGATGATGATCAGGGCAGAAAGGGCAACCGTTGCTAGGACAATTCCCATGTCCCAAATAAATGTAGTCGTCCAGTAAAGCAGCGTTCCGACTCCAGAGATGCTCTGAACCTGTTTCTCATCACGTATACGTTCATTCACGACGTAGACTATCACTCGCGATGGTATGAATGCCAAGCCCATGAGCACTACCATGGCAATGCCTACTTCGGCAACGTGTCCAAGTCTGTATAAGAGAAAACAGCATGCCATACAAGATTTTCTCGTGAGATGCGAAGCTGGTAAAACACTCGGGGAACATAGCATTTGTTGAAATATAGCACTTGATCCTCTATTAGCGAAGCCGAGTATAGCGAAATATAGGTTACAACAAAGTAAATGAAGACTGGTTTCGTACTAGACATAGTGTTAGAAAAATACATTTATAACAAATTTTTGGATATAACGTACTTCTTTTTTATTAGAGTGCATCTTTGTTATAATGAGGTTTGAGTGTCATGTACAAACTATAAATTGCACGTGTAAAGAAGGTATAAAAGTATGCGAGGTATAATGTAAGATTAACAGTGAAGAAGTGCTTATTGTGATGAAATGTTGCAGATCTGAGTGTGCATTGTTTTATTACAATAAGTAATTCTCTGTTGTGAATAATCTTGAATTATGGTACAATCTGGCTGCTCTTGCTGAATAAGTAGCACCTAGCGTTGAATGTAATCTGTCTTCGACTTCTATGTTGTTTTAAATAAATTCATGGTACCTTCACCATGACTTGACAAAAACAGCTGCACAATACCTTATGACCTGTACAGTTGTGCTCATTGTATGGCCATTCTATAAATTTTAGCATATAAAAGTAAATTTGAATGCGGCACAATTTGTTTGCCTGAAGTGCAAGACAGTGCTGATAGCACAAACTGACTTGGAATGCATGACAATGAAACAAACACATGCTTGAAAATTAAAACTGTCTGCGCCTTTGTTGTGCAAGTGACAAATTTTTTAGTACTTTGTGACAAGCTACAAAAAGCTCACAGAATATTTTCGTATAACCACGAACCTTGCACGTAATTATCAAATGTTGCTACCACTGATGCAAATATTTCCATCAGTCATGAATTAATGTGCATAATCATAAAAAGTGTGCATGAAGATCGTAAGATCGAACCCTGGCTGTGGCGAGTTGGAGCAAAATTGCTTGAGGCCCCTGCAATTAGGTTGAGGTGCATGATAAGGAACCCCAGGTTATTGGACCCTCTACTACGGTGTCTCTCATAAACATGTCTCCACCTTTGTTTTACTACGTGAAACCCCAGCAATTATTATTATTAATAAATGTCAAAGTTGTATCGTTTCAATCCATGATGCTGCGGGCTCCAGTGGAGGCCAGCTCACAGGTTGAGCTTTCGCAATTTGGAAATAATTTCACTAACATCTAATGTAAAGTATTCACTCGTGCCACATTTAATAAGTGCATTTGAATCATGGCCTCAAAGTGCCTATGTAAATTTATTTTTGACTCCAAGTCTTGAGAAAAAGAAGGCCTTTTATTATGGCTTATGGAACATGGCATGACCAATAGCTTCTTTATCGTGGAAGTGCTTAGTTGCCGTCTAGCAATGCTTTGTACTCGCAAGTGAACTGGAGTAACATTGTATAAGCTGAGGGTTCTGTTGATTCACAACTCAATGCCCCGCTTTTTTTTTTCTTGCCACTACGATACAGAATGCACAAAGGCAAGCCACACACACACATGAGTGCACCACAACAAGAAGGGTATTGTTCGTAAGAATAAAAGGCGAGGGGTCGAAGAACGGCGATCCTGTTAGGTTGTTCCACACCCAGCCACGCATGCAAGTTAGCCATAGAGTAGTAACATGCCAGTGGCATGCACTGGAAAGCATTCACTTACATTGTCTGTTTCCCAAGCTGTTCGGAAGACAAATGAAGAGGGTGGTTGTACACCGTGATCCCTTCAATCAGAAAAATTCATAGGGAAGTTAGTGCCATATCGCAAACCACCAATGTGATTCTAATGAAAAAGCATGCAGTTCCAGTACGATGCCTATTGCTTTTTTATTTTTTTTCTTTCATGCATCTATTAGTTGCACGTAACTTAGGTAAATAGCCATTATGACTGCTAAACTTACCCACTCTGGAGGCATTTAGGGGAGACGTGGAGTGGCTGATGGCAGACCTGAGAATGGCGTTGCTGAGTGCATTTTGATATGCAGGCATCGAATGGAAACCTGTGTTGTCGTACCATACTTTCACCTGATTCGTCTCAAAAGTCCAGCCGCCATACCTGCAGTGTTAGGAATTTCATTAAGATGCACGTGCACTTATCATGACAAAATCCAGTGTAACGAGAATTTTCACCTGCTAGGTGAGCCATCATACGGTGTATAAAACTAGGCTTCAAATAAAAGGTCACCACTTCTTGATTGCTCCATGAACTGTGCTTGGGTTGCTTATTCATCCAAAGTGAATCCTTGTGTTGAGGGCTAGTTTATTATTTGCTGGATTTTTCTAGGTATACTTAGCAACAAATACTGTAATATTTACAGAGCTAAACTTGGGCACACACTCTTGTGTGTGTACAGACGAGTTATAGTTGAATATAATACGTATTTGTGTATTCTCCAAAAGCATTACGTAAGATGAAATTCTGAAGTAGAGGTCTTAAGATCCTGTGTCTTTTAAGACTTAATATTTTCGTAGTTCATGAAATTTAGCATGGTACTGAATCATAGGCACAGTTCGTCTTAATTTTTTTAGGTACAGTATGCCTGTGGTCAATGTTAAGTCATCGTGTACAATTAGTCAAGATGGCAAATTGAGCGAGTTGGTGCAGATTCATTGTGGCTAACAGCGTGAAGACCCAGAGTAGAAGTGAACATGGAGTAGAAGTGGACTTGGCGTGGACACGGCACACTGTCATATCCATGCCAAGTCCACTTGTACTCTACGTCTGGATCTTTGCACTGTTAGCCACAATGTACAATTAGTGTCCATATGTAGCCGACACCACAGAACATTTTCACTTTGAAACTATAGCTAAAAAACTTTGTCATCTTCCTAAAAGCCTTAAACATTACCTTCTTTCTATGAAATCCGGGAATGACGATAAGAGATAGTTTGGTATGTTGAGTCCTGTTACGTTATACACAATGTCAGTGGTTTCTGTCATAATAGTTTGCCCATTTCCCCATCCTTCTTGAGTTTCTGAAGTGTGGCAGGTGTAATGGAGCGCTCCCTTTGGTATTTTCATGGCATTGCTTGCCATGCCAGTTGTGCTCATGCAGTGAGACCTGTGAAAATAGGATAAATGTAAGATATGTAAGGGCTTTGATACAAGCGTCCAAATAATTTGTCATTATTGTGCCTGCTTATTGCGAACAACTTGTCCATATTACAGTACACAGGGTTGGGAGGAAGTTCTCTAGATAGAAGCAGTACTATTTTTAAAATATTTCTTTCACACTGCAGAATATAACCATTCCATTCCTGTGTAAGCTATATGAAGTTCAGTATTGATACAGTGAACCAGTATATAACGGACCATTACTTAAAAGAAAGTAAACGTAACATTATTACAGAAATTGTTATTCATATAATAATTGACACATATAACACACACCTTCATATCGAATGTGACTTTATAATCACCAGATTTGACTAATACTCATCCAGTGTTTCATTTATATAATCATTTTTAAGTATAGTAAATATGAAAATAATGTTGCACAAAAGGGCATCAAGCTTATATATCCTCATGTTAGTTGCAGTATGCATAATACAAGAACGAGTTCACTTACTGTGGTGCATTCCTTTCTAGGCATGACGAGCCTACTCCAGGATAAGAAAGCATCCTTCCAGACACATCGGTTGGTGGTATCTCACTGTAAAAGTGAATGAATGAATGATTAATTCAGGTTTTTAATGTACTTAACGTGAAATATCTTGCACATGCAGTAAAAAATGAAGTTTCAGCAACAGCTTAGTACAATTTTGCTGTGTCTGCAAGTACCTCAGCCGTCTGCCCAATAAACTTAGCATCATGGTCTTTAACAGTTGACAGGATAACTGCTTAAAGTTATCTCCATGCTTTTAGAAAACTAAGAAGGGATCTCACTACATACCTTATAAAACCAACTGCTCCGGGCCCATACAACTGCGTCGATAACCTCAGCGATGGCTCGGGTACGGTTCCTGGTGCAATCATGGTGAAGCCCATGGCAATGGCGATGAATGTGCATGGAAGCACAATGCTAAAGAATATTGCTTTCCAGTTGTTCACGGTGTGATGGAAACGTTTCAGAATAAGTGCCTTGAATTGGCTCACTTTTAGTTTACGTCCCATCAGAGGGTTTACAGTTCCCAAGGAATGCCTGAAGTTGGGACATTCTAATGTGACATCTGCAAAAGTACAAGGGTTGGATTTAATTGACTGTAGTGTAGCACAATTCCAGTTTTCATTTGTTATGCTTGCATACCATTGATTACATATCTGTTCTGTGCTTGCTAGGTTACCACTTCCTCCACCATTCTTTTATATATCGAGATATAGCTAAGTACGTTCAGTAAATTGCAATTTATGATTGCTTTCATAAAGCACACCTTGTGAAATTCTTATTTTTGTCCGTAAAGCTTACAAGCAGTGGTAGTTGAAAAAATATCAGGCATGGGTGGGTGTCCTGGAATTAATAACTGTAGCTGAAACTTCCATGTGGGTCTTCCATGTATTTGTTCATCAACATATCAGCTACAGTTATTACAGCTGTAATAATAGCAGCACACATTAAATGTTAACCAACCTAAGCCCAGCAATGTTACAGGAATGATATCGGCACTTGTTGGCTTAGCAGTCTACTAACCTGTGTGACGATGCCTGTCACGTCTGTCAGAAATTCCATATCTCGCCGTAGTAGGTAGTGTGTGGCCTGACTGCACTGGTTTGCCTGCATCGCACAGGGCACAAAGGGAAAGAAACACTTCTTCGAGCGTTGTGCTTGAGAGACCGTAGTTTCCAAACCCAAACTCGAGCATGCGTTCGTCGAGGAGTGAAAGGAGGTGGGAGTAGGAGTACAGGACGTTCTTCTCTGGATCTCGTTGTGGGAGGCTGATCACCACTTCTCCGCCATTGTTTTCCACCACTTGAGCCGGAGGGACAACACCTCTGATAACGTGAAGGATGCCTTCAATATCTGAGGAGTCATCTGAAAAGGTCAAGCGCAGCAGTTCGATGCTCAATTCATTGAACGCTAGAACTCATGCACAGATGTATAGCATGATATGGCTGTGCATATAGCAACAATAGTTACAAGGTGACAGGTGTATCACCTGACCTAGCCTAGGCTAACAAGCCCTTTTTTGCAAATTCTCGATTTTCAGCTAGTAACTTTCCTGTAGTCTGATGTCAACAAAATGCATACAAAATTTAAAATATAAAAAAAAATATCTAATAAAAAGGACTTCCTCTTTCTCCCATCGTACATAACTAGCATACCATCAACACTTGTTCTTGACACATTCGATGAGTGTCCAGAGTCACTGTCTTTGTTAGGTTCCGAGCAGCTTCTTGTTAATGACAACTTGTAGCCGAATCCAAACTTGCTCTTCAGTAGAAGTGGGGAGCCTTCGCACAACAGTTTGCCCTGCAATAAAATGAAAAGTGTCTCATTTTTAGTACACTTGCTGTAATGCATTCATAACATAATGTTTCGAAGGGAGCATACCTTGTGTATGATTGCAACTTTGTCGCTGAGCACGTCGGCTTCATCCATGTGATGAGTTGTAAGCAAAATTGTCCGATCTGGTACGGTAGACAGAAATCCAGCCATTATTAATGTTTATTTCTCTTATAAAAATGCTATATAATTCAGGTTTATATGCAATAAGTTTTGCTTAAACCAAATAGTTGTATGTATAGGTGCCCTCACCGTGTTTTTAAAGTATACCTTGAAAGTGGAAATCTTGCTTTTCTTTTATTTCAAGTCTTTTGATGTTGCTAAAATTATTAAACCACAATGTATGCCCTTGTGTATTTGCATGGGATTCTTTTTTGTTGTTGTTGAAGAAAGTGGATGCATTTGATATGCAAGTTTGTGCTAACTGGTTTGATCTGTATATCATTGGAATCCTCAGAAACATTATGTTTAACTGGATTTATGCAGTTGTACTACATATCATGCACGACAGTTGTATATGGAATAAGAAGGAAGCATTGGAGATTTTGCATGCCAAATTCACATTTTAGAAGCAGTGGAATACAGTGCCAAAACAATGACGCACGGAGTGCAGCAAAACATGAAATTACCATGCTTGTGCTTTAATATTAGGTCCCATATGTTCCGGCGGGCCATAGGATCCACGCTGCTTGTAGGCTCATCTAAAATGACGAGTTTTGAGCCCCCAACAAAGGAGAAGGCCACGCACAACCTTCGCTGAAGCCCTCCCGATAGATGGCATGCCTGCTTGTTTTCCATATGCTTCAGACCCATTTGGCATAGCAGCCTGCAGGGAAGCAAGTAGAAGAACACTTTTTTTTTTTGGTCAAGAACAGCTTTAGAATCCAATCAAACAGTTAATAAAAATGAGATATATGTGAATGTTTGTCAAAACGTCAGTCAGCTGTCATTGTGTGTTCAAGGCTTTGTGAAAGTTCAACGTTCTCTGGTGCCATCTGCGCAGTTTGATTTTCTTAATATGCTAGTGTAGCTGTAAAGTCAGCATATCACTCCATTCTTTCTTTTTACACAATAGTTATGTACTTTTTCTTGAATGAAGAATACCTCTGTCATATTGCTGCATGTGATTTGTAGATCAGTGCATTTTCGGTGCAGAGTGCAGATAAATAAAGAAAAAATTTGCACCAGCATAACTTTTTAGAGGATATGCAATACCAACATAACCACATGTTCTACAACCAAATTTCAATATCACCTTTCAACATCTTTCTCTACTTCCTCTGGGGACAGCAATTCTTTCAGATTGCCGAAGAAAATAAGATGTTCCTTGACAGTAAGCCTGAAACACAGCATTGCATACAGGTTTTAGTTGTTATAAACATTTCTACATTAACAATAGAAGATGGAGATGTCAAGGGAGAAATAATGAGCTTACTTTCCATACAGTGTGTTGTACTGAGGACAATATCCCAAGTACTTTCTGATTTCTTTTGCTGCATTGTTGACATTCCTTCCATAAACATACACTTCACCAGAAGTTGCTGAATGTTGACCAGTCAGTACCTTTCTGTAAGTGAATAAACCATTTTAGGCATTTCTCATCAAGTGTTGTTAAAGAATGAAGTGTAAATTAAAGTTAATAAATTTTAACAGGCTTGCTTCCTCACATGGTACTGGTCTTTCCTGCTCCGTTCTGGCCGAGAAGCGTGTTGATGTGGCCCTCGTCAAAATTAAGAGACAAATGAGACACAGCTATTCGTTCTGTGCTCTTCCCGCTGTTATAGGCTATGCACAAGTCCTGTATGGATATGCCAGTTGATGCCATTGGCGCTTTGTCATTGATAGTGTAAGGAGCTATGAAAATGAAATATGAATGCATGTGAATTTTTATAGATTGTTGGAGGGTATATCAGTGCTTAACTATTTGGTAGCGAAAAAATACATACCTTTTAGAATATGAGGTGTTATGCTACCATTTACAGTGTTCTGTAAGTAGTACTGCGTCGCTGAACCACTATTCTTAGTTGAAAAAAAGGCCAGCAGTTTTCTTCGTGAGAGAGACGCCTTTTCACCTGGAATGAGAATATAGTAGATGTAAACATATATCAATAGAGAGTTGTCGCATGGGAAACAATGGGAAATAAGCTTATTAACTTAAGCCGTAGTGTAGAGGATTCATTTAGTAGAGGCACTAGATCTTCTAGCTATATAAGGATGCAGATAGACAGATTACAGAAAACTTATACTTTTATCCTAGCCTCGTAAAGACGAGTGGGTCTCTAAATAACAGTGATGCTTAGGATGTGAGTAGGGTTTGTTAGCCCTGTAGCAGTGCTAATTAAAAGTGACCAGTACACTTAATAATGTGGCATCTACAATATTGCACACACCATTTCATAATGTATAACCTTAGTGTGGCCTTAGCTGTGTGTGCTGAACTGATCAGTAATAAAAGTAGAGCTGTTGAAGTGTTATTATAAATCTTGAATGCAGATAAATAGTTTCTGTCATTTGGTTTATATTCAGTGTGAGAATTTACTATCTGAAGTCGTATAAATGAAACCCGCTAGTTGCATGTAGAGGAAGACGGAGTGACAAACGTAATTAACATTCTAAATGATTCTGTTGCATGATAGCTGAGATTGTTGATCGAGGTCCCCAGTGTACATTTGTTCACAAAAAGTGCGGCCGCTCTTTAATAAAATTCAGTGCAGTGCTAAAGCTTAATCCATCCATGAAGACTGCATTCCACTTACCTAAAAATATATTCGACATTACAAGCCCTATCGTGAAGTATACAAGGCTGTCGATTGCCATCATTACAATGCAATATCCCATGTTCATGGTGTCTCCAGGAATTGGGCTTTGCCATAGGTATTCCCATTGCACACCTAGGCCTTGTTCTTCAAATCTGCTAATGTAGAGGCAGCCATAGCTAAAAGATGTTGACATGGAGAGGCACTGAAAATACAAAAATCTAGTCAGTTTCTATAGGTGGAAGGTATGCAATGAAATTATATGGAGACGAGATTGGGATATGGAGGCGAGCTTTATAAAGTCCTGATAATCTCTCTCCATGGTGGCATTAAGGAATCCATGTAATGAAGGTATAGTTAACATCTGCTGACCGACTACAGTATGCTCACACTTGCAGTTAAAAAAGTACACAGTGCTTGGTGCTACTATGATTACTATTGCATGCCACTGCATATGGACTTGCCACGTGGTCTATTGTACCACTTTTTATGCATGCAACAATAGTTAATGTAGAAACCGGATTTGGATTACTGGTTACATTCAGTTAAAAATGTGCTTGTACATTTTTCCAGTTTTTACCAGTACTGACTCCTTGTCAGGCAAAGCACTTCTCAGCGACACTATACAAAGCTTTCTCCGCATGCAAAAGCACACACATACAGACATAGAAGTGTGGAAAGTCGGGGTGGGGGGGGGCACAGGGGGGCAGCCATTTCTAGTCCACTTATGAGGAGGTGTGCAAAGGCAGCACCAAACATTGACATAATAGGGAGGGAGGCACTGTGACTCAGGGGGGTGGGTACAAAATCAGCTCTATTCATTGACATATTGGGAGGGGGGTGCTACAAAGAACCTTCTTTCCCCCCTGAAAGGGAACTCCGCGCACACCTATGTGTACAGATATGTGTGAAATCTGTGTGCACGTGTGAAATACACACAACTGAAACACGTGCAAGCATGCACACAACAGCAATTATATTTATGCAGATGTGTCATACATTCCTTGATACTGCATGTGAAAACACTTACCAGAAGGAGCTTTTGTTTGAGTGAAAAGGTTGCCTCCATAGACACAGCTATCACAAAGGGCAGAAAGCTGATCAGGTATCCCACTATTCCAGTCAAGGAAGCCACAGTAGCTGACTGGAAGAATATGCTGATCATGTAGCTGAAAAAACAAGAAGAAAAACTAATGGCATGTGTCATTCTTGTATAAAAGCAGTAGACATTGTAGCAAGGGCAAATCCAGCCGCTCATTTTAGAGGGGGGGGGGGCAGTCAGCTAAAGTAACACCAGAGAGGGGGGGTGTGGTCATGACTTTTTTTGTTTCAGGGGCGAAGCTCCTTATGGCGTGGGTCTGTCGCTTCTCCGTTTGTATGTATGTATGTATGTACCACCAGTGGGTATGTGCCACCAGTGGCACATACCCACTCTAGAGTAGGTACGTGCCACAGGGGTTGCGAGATGGGAGATGGTGGTACTTGGAGGGTTCATTAGATGGACGCACGGACGCGCAGATGGACGGATAAATGGACGTGCGAGCGGATGGATGCATGAACGGACAGATGAACGAACTCGCAGACGGACGCACGGACTGACGCATGGATTGATGCACAGATGGTCACGCGGACGGACAGAAGCAAGAACGAACGGACGGACGGGCTGGGGGACGCTTCGCCCTACTCATCATCATTCACTCCATGGATATGCTGATTTTTTTTAGCAGCAGAAAAACCCCTTCATAGCACAAATACTGTTTATGTGTTCTTACAGTGGTTTCACTCATTTCTCTTAAATAGTGATAGAAGGTGGACTACGAGCACTGAATTGAGGGGGAGGTGGACTGACAGAGATTTGGGGGGGGGGGGGGCGATCACCCCTACAGCTCCCCCTCTGGATCCGCCGATGCATTGTAGCAGTCTATTTCCATAGAACAATGTTTGATATCATAGGCAGAATATGGAGATCACACAGCAATAAGTAGAAATATGGATGTTGAAATAACATGTATGCAGACATATGCAATTCTATATGACAGAGCACTAGACAGACACATGGTCTTTTTTTGATACAAACAAAATAAACATATCTTCAACAAAAAGTACGAAAAAAATGCTTAAAGGTTGCCTTTGGTTCAACACAAAAATGAAAAACCTATAGCTTATTGGTGAAATTTAAGAACCAAAGGCTCTCCAACACAAGGACAACTATTGCCATCTTTGAATTGTTTGTTGCTAAAGTATTCCTTTAGATGTCATGTCAGCAGCCACCTGCGCAATCTAAAGTGTTTATTCAACTTATGAATGAATAGTTAATTTAACCTATTAGTTGTCAAGCTATTCTTTAGTCAGGCATATGTCAACAATGCTTTGCAAATGACAACACATTTAAAGAATAAATTTTTTCACACTGCATGAAAGAATTGTCCTTGCTACTTACCAGAACATGATCACTGAGAGTGCAAAGGTTCCATAGAAAATGAAGAGGAGTAGAGGATTGCTGTACGGTAAAATGCCTCCGTAGCAGAGAATGGCAGTTGTGCATGCCACGATGCCAATAGAAATGAATATGCTGATCAAGAACGATGCACTCCAGTCAATCCAAGGTTTCAGGCCCATAACTTGCATGATCTAGTGAAAGCCAGGGGGAACAAGAGGATGATATATAAACAGATTTCAGGAAGGCAGATTGGCCATGGAAAATTTCACAGTAAAAGGCCTTTACTGTTTTGACGTAGGACATAGATTCAACATAAATTTCAATATGTATGTTTGTGCATTCACCAGCACTGCTTACATATGGCACTCTTATATTTAGCTTTACTGCTGGTGCCACCAACAGTAAGCAACATTGTTAGTTACCCAATGGCACTTATATATCTGAAGGTGTACGTGACCATACAAATGAGAAGCCGAACATGATTGATATGTGGGGTTTAACGTCTGAAAACTGCGGTATGATTATGAGAGACACCGTAGTGGAGGGCTTCAAAAATTTCGACCACCTGGGATTCTTTAACGGGCACCCAAATCTGAGCACACGAGCCTTCAGAATTTCCGCCTCCATCGGAAATGCAACCATCGCATCTGGGATTCGATCCCGCGACCTGCGGCTAAGGAGAAGCTAAACATGAAAAGCTTATAAGGCGCACTGGAAATCTCTAGTTAAAGCATTCACAAAACTGGGGAAGCTGGTTATCATCATCATCTTAATTATTATAACATCTCGACTGAGTTGAAAACTGTTGCCATAGCACTTGCACAGTTATGTCTGAAAAACACGATCTTAACTTTCATGGTGATATTAAAATGACTCCACGCAGTTTATGCTGAGTCTGCCTAATGAATATTTTAGTGGAAAGGAAGCATGTTAAGAAAAACTCAGAGTGTGGAATCCTATTTAATTCTTGGGCAACATCACAATCGTATAAGTATTGTACTGGACATCGGATATGCCAGGAAAAGCATCAAATATGCTTTTTTAGCCCAGGGAATATACATGGCAATAAAATAACCTGAATATTCAACTGCATTAATAGTGCATAAAACTGCGAACAATGTGCTCTGACGCATATCTCTATGGTGAGACGCACTCATATCAGCATTGCTCCGTCAACCACTTTCATTATTTTCATTGATGTTTTTTCAAATTCACTTTGCACGTAGTTTCTGCAAAAGTTTAAAATGCTGAAAGAACTGGTTTTTATAGAACGTCTCATTATAAACTTTGTAAACTTAAAATATAAAATTAATACAGTCTCCTATAGTCCTAAATAATTTTTCAAGAGACATGTGTTTTGTAATGCATGCACTGGCATGTTGAAATGGTACATAATATGCGATGTTGAATAGTAAATAAGGTGAACAATTTTCTTCCTAAAATAAAAGTAGAATTACCATATTTTCATTTGCTTAGTGAATACAAAGAATTATACACATTTTAGAGTAAAAGCTCATTAATTCAAACTCAATGAATTTGAACTTACAGTCAATTCGAACTGATATCCTAGTCTCAGCACAGCCCTGTGAATTTCTACCGGAAAAAAACTCTCAGAAATTTGAATATGTCAATATCCATAATGATCCATTTGAACTGGGAGTCCCTTGTTTTCATTGCTCATCAGAGATGTCAACCCTAAGTGGCTTTACGAAATTTACCATAGGATACAAAAAAATGAAACAGTAGCATATCTTAGCAGATGAAAATTCATACCTTGCACTGAAGTTCTCCAGTGAGGTGCTAATGATGCTCATGCAGTCGCGACAGAAGAAATGCAAGCTAATGCAAATTACTGATTAGCTTTAATTCTGATTGTACTAACTCTGCAATGTAAATAAACCCATTTTGGAGCATAAATAGCATCACTTATTTTAATTCAAGCTCAGAGCTAACATGAATACATGACAATGCTTGTTTCTGGCATTTCACAGACTGATAAATTAATTCTGTTCTCTGTTAAAGCTCCATGAACTAAATTTATGAACTAACCTGCCACAAATGTGTAGTAGCGTCGAATTCGCTACAACGAGTCAAGATGAGGCTTAACGCAGTGAGGTGCAATGTTCATTTATTCAGTGCCCTGCCAACTGATTAACAATTTTATAATTCCCTGTCTAGTTTGAATTAGCAAGCTTTTACTGCATATTCATGAGGTGATACAATGAGATATTTTTCTTCAGGACGGGCTACATACTGCCCTGTGTTAATGTGCTGTTGTGCATTTTTCATAGATTGGACTACAAATCTTCATTTGGGCACTTACTTCTTCCAGGTGCAATTCTTTCGGAAGGACCCTTTCTCGTACGAAAAAGGCAACCAGAAAAATCCAAGCTAATGTGAATACCAGTGGTAGCATTGCCTTGATATAATACCCCACTCTGTAAAAACAAGAATCAATTGGCTTAGCTATATTTGATAGAACCAACAAGAGGAATATCATGCTCATTAGAAATTAATAATGATAATAAAATGACAAAGATTTTTACCTAAATTGAAATTCTTCATAACAATGAACATTGTTAGAAAATACCTGCATTTCATTTTTGGTACACATCCTAATGAGAAACCTATGATCCAAAGGCTAAAAATAGAGAATTTAAAAAATTTTGATAATGTCTTGGTATAGTACCAGAAATATTGCTAAGTGCTACTGTGCTATCTGCTTAGCCTACTTGATGACGAAATAAGCTAATATAAATCAATGAACATACAAAACCATTTTGATTTGTTTTATTGCAGCAACGAATACTGCATTCTTGTTGTAACCATTGCTGGCCTTGCTTGAATCTAGTGGATTTCATCCAGTTAGTGTTGTTAATTTCCTTTGTTCATCGCACTTATAATCTCCTATAGTCGAATAAAACTTAGAAGTTCGAAGAGGCCACACGCAGATAACCGAAGCACAGCACCTGATTGCCTCCTCGAATAAAGAAACAGTTCCGCTCATACAGTCGACAACATTCTCCAAAGACGACGTCACTGGCTGTTTAGCTAACGATGTCAGTCTGTAGTGCACGCCCATTGGTGTAGGCTAGAGTGCATTGGCCTTTGAGGAAGAAATGCTGTGGATTTCCAAAGCTGTATCTGACCATAGAGGTTAAAATGTGCGTAGCTGTATGTGTCAAAGAGCTTTGGCATCTGAAGTTATCCTGCTGTTTACTTACGAGTCCTTCATGTAGCAGGGATAAGGGAACTGTTGCAGATAGCTTCGAGGATAGTGAACTGACTCTCCCACATGCAACTTGGTGATTGCCTTGTCTATCAGCTCTTGGAAGTGTGCAAAGCCTCGTAGGTATCGCATATCGTCCAAGAAGTCGTCGTTTGCACCTGGTTGCCAGAACCTGGGGTAAAAAAAAGATCATGCGGTGTCACGTCCAATTGTATCTTCAGTCTTTCTGGCTGGTTTAAAACTTGTTGCTGCTTCATCACAAATGTAGAATCAAAGAGGTATTGAATATTTCTTGATAAAACACTCCGTAAGTGGCATATAATCATTTTTTATAGAGTACATGTATAGCAGCTGACATTGTGAAGCACAAACATCCTTCCTAGATTGTGACATTTATCTTGCCACCTTTCATCCTCTACCATTTAGCAAGTGTTCTGTTATATAGTAATGAAAATAAATGAAATGAAAACTATTGTGCAGATTCTTTTTAATGAGCAGTATACCTTTAAAACCATCGAGATGGTAATTTTTGTATAGAAAATGTCAGGAGTGCCGAGCTCATAATCAATCGCAATCGTTTGTGTTTTTTGTGAGTTGTAAGCTTATTAAAATTTTAAGAAATACAGTTAAATAGTTTGAAGGATCTACTCATACCTTGATTTAACAGTCTTTGTTAGAGGAACATTATCAATGTCCATTCTGATCTTGTACTGAACATCGGGGGGGAGCAAGGATTTCACAATAGATCCATTCTCCAGGCGCAGCTCCTTATTTGTATCCAGGTTGAGGAAAACAACAGCTGTGCACAAAACAATGTTTTTTGTCAATGCAACAAGCAATGTTTAGCTGTAGGTATTTGAGCACATTGAAAATGAACCTTAAACATTCCATGTGTTGGCCCTTCCCTTTAAAAGAACTGTCCACCATGTCCACTGCACATTGAAGGTCATGAAAATTTTCATTCATGTTTCTAGCCAAGTGAGTTTCTTAGCTGGTGAAAGTTAACTGGACTGAATACATACTCATTTATGCCTTGTACAGTGGAATGCCTGTATAACAAAATGATCAGGACCTTCAAAATACTTTATTGAACAGGTCAATATATTGTGAAGAAGCACACTGTAATGTTCACAATGTTACCAAAATGTATGGAATAATTTGATATGAAGCTTATTTCTTTATAGAGGCCTTCATTTTAGAGGTGACAATTTTAATATTGGAGGAATGTCTATATAGAAAGTCATTTTGTAAGAAAAAAAATACTATAGTTAAAGGCATCATTACATGAAATAGGGTTAGTTTTGAGTGATGTGTTATTATAAACACTGATGGCTGAAGTTCAGCAGCACCGCAACAAGTGTTCAAAAAGAACACATTGTTTGATGTGTTAGTGTTCGATTAAAAACATAACTGCAGTGCAAATAGTGTGACCACACAAAAGACAATAACATATACCGTCTCCGACATCTTACTGTTTTCTCATTTCTTACGGTACTACTTTTACACCACAATACATTATGTTCCATTAAGATCGAAACGCACATTGTTACCACTTTTATTTAGTCTACAGAATTTGTCTACTGTATACAGCACCACCTTTTGTTGTTGAAGGAAGGATTATGCAGCTGAAAAGGTGATGAAAACAGAAAGTGAATCTGTAACTTGCCTAGTATAAACTCCCTCCTGGCACCGAGGTGCATTGCAGTCTTCACCAAGTCATCTTCATTGCTATGCTGCTTAAATCTATCCAGCTCAAAGCACTGAGATATACTTCCTACAAGCTGCACAAGGTCTAGCAGTCCTCCAAGGTCACCAAATTCATGACGCAGGTCCTCAACGCTGAGGTCCGTAAGAAAAGCATACACATCATCCCCAAGCATGTCCTTGGCAAGAGGCTGCAGACTCTTGGATGAGATCAGCTCCTGCAACAATTTGCATGCATTATGTTCCAAACCTTCCTTCCATTCGCCACGTGTCTGTTCACTCTACAATACATAACCCACATTGTTTTGCTGCTGCTGCTTCACTGTTGCCATTGTCGCATGTGGGGCAATATTAGGAACGCTACATTCGTTTAACTCTTTCTACTCATTTACCGTGGTTAAACTAGTGACGTTGATTCATAGTGTTCTGTGCATAAGCATAACTAAACTTTAGTAATGAAAAATATAAATTAGCCATGACTTACCTAATTAATACACGCGGACAGAGCATAAGTGCATTCAACTCTCGCGAAAAGCATAGCACGCTTAGTGATAGCACTTGCGTCCCTATGGACGTATGGGCAGGATGTATACGGTGTGCACAACTCTTCATGCGCGCATGTGCAAAAGCCGACTGCGTGAACAATGTGTTGGGTGAAAAAATAAATCTGTTACCTTCAGTTTTGTTACTGGTCCGTTCTCCTTTGTCAAAACTTTAGCCCGATCGTTCCCTCGCTCCACACGTGAAGAGCATCGATTATAGAGGACATGGACTCGAACGTCTTGTTCACCTGCAAAAGTATCCCGGAAGGTTGGCAAATGACATTTTGGAGTTCAAATAGGACATATGAAACAGAGTTACAATAGCGGACGTTGACAAAATGGCACCGCTAATTACATGATTGGCCATGATAGTTTCGCATGTTAAAGAAAGCGAGTTGTGGTTTAAGAAAATGACATGCGTAACATGGTCCTTCATTTCGAATCGGTGCCCATCCTCTGTAGTAGCTTAGTCGGTTAAACTGTGGTTCCCAATTAGGGGTCCGGGGAACCCAGGGGGTCTGCGAAATTCTCGGGGGTCCGCGGGAATCATTCACGAAAAAACAAAAACGTGGTCTTCAGAGGCACGCTACGTCCCCTGACAGTGGCGCCTTCCGACTTTTGACATGCTTCACCGCATAATTGATTTGCATTGCGGCGGACTTGACTTACGCTTTCTTTCTCGATGAGTTTTTGTTGCAATATTAAACGACATATAGACGCTAGCACAGACGTAGTTCTTATAGGCTTGCTTATTTGAAGAGCAAATACAGCTAGACATAGGCTTCCGGTGGCTGAAGACCTATTGAGAAGCTGTTGAGATCAAATTGGCATGGCTATTTAATTTTAGAATTGACCTGACACCTGTTTTACGATGCATGCTGTGCTGTCTGCAAAGGGTGCCCCATCGCTTCCACTGGCCCACCGAATCATCCATGTCTGTGAATCATTTCCGCCGGCAGCGGAGTCCCCTGTCGTGGTGCGCCTCATAATGGAATCGTAATTTTTGTACGTGAACGCGCTTAAATGTACTTATTTTTCTGAATTAATACTTCAGGCTAGTGTATAGTGGCTACATCACAAATGTTAAGTGTCGTAAGGAAGAAAATGAGTACATGATAGCAAGAACGCAGAGGACAGGACTATCATAGTCTTAACCCACCCTACAAGCTTCTTTCTATAATTCATTCATTCATTCATTCATTCATTCATTCATTCATTCATTCATGTTTTGAGTTCATGATTTATGACACGGCCTGTATTAAAGCAAGAAGACGTGAAAGATTAGTGCACGCATTGCCTCGAACTAGCTGACGTACTCTGTAAAGGGTACTCCATTGCATGCGTCATGTATGTGCAAAGGAACCAGCTTTACAGGAGTGCTAATACGATTTTTTTAAAACTGCTGTAATCTTGTTAGGTTAGTACCTTTTGTCAGAGAAAGTGAAATAATGCTACTTCTACTGAGATACCAGCAACTTCACATGTTATGTCGGCGTGGATATTTCCGAAACTCACTCTCGTGCTCTAGGGCGATTCAATTCGCACTAGTGACGCTGGTGGCTTTGTATTTTTTTACGTGAAAAAAATTCTTCAGTGTACAGTAAGGTTATAAGGACACATTCCAGTAAAGAAAGTACGTTTCAAATTCTAACGTTATTGGATAACTTAGGTGAGCGATTTTATTTCTTCTTGCAGATTAGAAAATGAACTCAGGATACTAAAAATTATTCCTTTCTTTTTTTTCTTTCTTTCTTTCTTTCTCATTACGCAATCATTCTTCCTGACTGTGTTCCTCTTTCATGCCGGAAATCGGACTTTCATCCACGAACTTAGCAGCGCAACGCTTTAGCGGCTGCAGGCAACAATGAAGATCTTGCCTTAATATCCAGCCAACCATGAAAGGTCGCAACATGAAATGGCAAATCACCTCGGTGAAAGGCCTGATTGGCATGTCAGGAGCGGCTGATCGCAGATAAACACACGAGTGAGAGCATCAATTATTGCAAAGACGGCACGTACAAACACGCACGTGACCGGACTACCTTTGAGGGTTGCATTTCCGTTTGCCGACACCGAGTTTATCGCGTGCTCACCGGAATTTGTGAGTTATGAAATCTTTGCCTAATAATTACAAAACTGAAAACGACTTCAGGTCGACTGTTGCCCCGCAAACAACTGCAAACGTACATCGTATAGTCACGGCAAGCACACTCTACATACGTTAAGACGCGGTACATGATACTCAATTTCTAAAATAAGATATGAAGGGGAACTTCCCTATGTGCATCGTCTCTTTCGCGAAATGTCATTCGATATTTAGGACCCTGATGAAACAAGCTGCCGACTGTGACTGCCGACTGTGACTGCCGACTGTGACTATGAGTTTAGCTAGCGCATATAATGGCCTTATATAACGCGTCAAAAAGTGAGGGCTATAGACCATACCTCTTGCATAATTTGGAAAGCAGCCGGTGATCTCGGTGCATACAGTATCTGGCCTCGCAGAATGGGCTTGAGAAATCCCCAGATAATCGGGCCACCGGACATCCTCATCACTTGTTCATAGCCACGACGACAGAACTTGCCTGTGAAAAAAAGTGTGACGCACGTGGTGACGAACGTAAGCATTATAAAGGCAACAAAGAGAGCTAGATTCGGAATGTTCGTGAAACAACAGACAGGGCATGCATGGCCTGCGTAAACATGACCTGCATGCTAGACAAATGGCTTTGATCTACCTTTTTTCATTCAGATTATTTTTTCGCGGACACAGGAAGATACAGGCACACGAACACATGCAGAACGTAAGCAATTGTAACGAAATTTGCGACTCTGAAAATTAAGCCATAAAACATGTGAAAATCCCGAAATATGATGCGATTGTGACTGTCGTGCCATTTTTGCTAACCATGTACATTTCTTTCTACTTTTGTTTAATTTTTTAAAATATTGTATTGCGTGATATCAAAATGTATGCATTCGTTTATATCCGGCTTTTAAAGAGGTAGTCTTTGCCCGTTGTATTTCTGAAAACCGCTGTCAAGTTCCAATGCTCGTGTGATAACATAACCTTTGGGTTTCAACACGGAGCGTAAGTTATGGTATAACGTAGGGCGAAATCTGCGGTTCCGTGCGAACGAAATTATGCAGTTGTGAATTGCAGTGAAATGACTTGCTAGGAATACATAACTTTCGCAAAAGTGAAAACTGAGGTATTCCACGAATCGTCGTAAAAGCTAGTACTGTTTCTTTACTATTTAGAGCCACATATTAAACTTTTAAATTCGTATTTCTATTTTACTTGTCTCTGTTCTCAATCAATCACGCACACTGACAAGTAACAAAGGGTCCTACTTGGTAGCTCCTCAATTTCCTGCACGTCAAGTGTCGGCTCGCGAGATGACGGTTCCAGCAGATAAAATTGGTCCTCGAGTGCTTTGAGGGGTGAACCACAGAGTAGCTGGCCTACTAGACTCAGTGCTGCGGGACCTGTGTGAGATCAAAAAGAGAAATCGTTAAGCTATCAGGTACAACACTGATGCCATGATGTATATTCTAAACAACTTCGTTCTTTTTTTTTTCTTTCGGTGTTTAAAGCTGCAATGGGGTGCACGTTCATGGCAGAAAGACTCGTGTAATTTAAGCATTCTTGAGGCTTTCAGGACACTTACTTGCTCACGCAGAATGCGTGTAAAGAGTAATGTTAGAATTGTTAAATATTTTCTTATTACCATTACTTTGCCTTAAATACAGGTACACCGCATCAGAGGCTGTCGTACTTGTCAAAACGCTGATGCCGTCTTGGGTGATGTTGAGGTCGGAGAGGGCCTTCGCGGTCTTCGGGTCCAGGGCTTCAGAGAGGAGCGACAACTTCTCTCGTATAACTGGAACGACTTTTGGTGCTGTGCTGAGTGCCTTCAAGGCGGCCTTCACCACTTCCTTGCTGAGGTTCGACTTCCGCAGTACGCCGTCAAACACAGCATCTGCAAACTTCAAGAAGAAAAACAACAACAAAAACGAATGGAATCAAATAGGTGGATTAGTGTATGCATTGCGTTAAAAAAGACATGCTTACAAATAAAACAACTGAATGATTCCGGACTCACATTTTTGACGACCTTCGACATCGTGAGTTCGGGGAACGGCCGGTATTCGATTTCTGAAGATAAGGCTGGAGTGCAACCTTCCGTGAAGTCCTTGTAGCGAACATTTGATTGGCTTTCGACAACATCGCAGATGACAGTTGCGACGACATTGTTGATGCTTTCGTTGCGGGCGAGCTGGTCGAAGCAAAATGAAGGCTATTATATTTAGCATCATCAAAGGCGATATCAGTACATAGAATAAGTATTACTAGAAGACTGTGCATGCGCCTTGTTTTCTTTTTGTTATTCGGACAACGCAAACGTACAGATCTCGTAGATTGAAACCCGACATCATAACTTTCAATATGACAGGTATGCAAGGCGACAGGATGCAAAATTTCTCGAGCTCACGCGATATGTCGCTAAGGATGTGGCAGCACAAGATAAGGTTGGGTCTTACGTAAATGAGTCAAATTTAAGCCGATATCACTCGAAGATCAAGGTGGTGGAACAAAAAGCATGCTTATTAGATGCGAAGCATCTTATGGTCGAACTCAACCTGGCATGCGCCGTGACCACCCTTAGTAAGCATGCACATCCCCTCCTCTTCTTTGTCCTCTCCTACACCCCCCCCCTCTCGCCTCGCGACGCCGACGCAGGCAGCGTCTGCTAGCGATTTTCTTGATTGAAAAAAAGCCACAGTTTCACCGCAAGGGCGCAGCAATGAATGCGATGGCAACAACTTGGAATGTATAACGCTGAGAACGGCAAGCAGATCGACACGTGCAGTGTTCTGCTCACGCACAAATGACGCACGAGACAACACACACAGGATGATAGCAGAACTAACAACGTTTACCGCTCGACATTGAACACGCCGTTTAAACAAAAAACGACGCACGATGCGTAATCACAAGTACAGACCAGTGCAAACCAACAAGTGTCCCAGTTGTTTTATGCGTCGCTGTGCATGAATAGTACGCTCTTTTCGCAAACAGAGCCTGTGCAGCGGAGCGCAGTGACCTTTGTGGGCCCGGAAACTAACGCAGTCATTCCGGTGAAAGCTAAAAGCACACGATTCTCCCCACAGAAGGATAAGCGCGCGCGCAAAAGCATATACCCCCCTCGCCCCCCCTCCCCCCCAATTCGCGGGGCAAAGTAGGCGTAGGAGATTATCAGCATCGGCGCATCTTGACAAGCTGGACTTCGGGCGGCTTCTTTTTTTTTCTTTTTTGAGTTTTAATATATATAGACACGTATACATATACGGTGAATGACGGCCGTGGCGACGGCAAAAAAGTTGCCGAGACCGTCCATATAACTGTTATCGCAAGAAAAAAAAGCAACTGCTCGGGCTGCACAGCCATTCACTGGCCACACCGTATATACAGGGTGTCCCAATTTCCACGCAGCCCGATTTAAAAAAAAAAAGGAATGGTGTTACGTGGACCAAATTTAGTGCATATTGTTTCCAGTATAGTGCGGTAACCACTGATAATTTTGTTGTGACAATTAATTAGTTAGTCCTAAATATACTTGCAACTCAGAAAGTACTCGCCTATTTATCTAAATGTCAATGAAGCAAATGTCCGCATGTCGAAACGACATCTGTCTGCTACTTTCAAGAACGTACTGATTGCGTGCTAATTTCTTCATGTTACTAAAGAAAACCCGCCAAGTATGAAAACAACACGTGACTAGGCTGCTTCGCGCATCTCAAAGCAGCGCCATCAAACAAGTTCACTTTGAGGTGGCCAGTATCAAGGGAAGAAATGTAGCAAAGAAAAACATACGAATCCCGTCAGAAGAAACGCACCGCTGTGATCATAGACAGTCGGTATCTAATCAGAAGAGTGTTCCAGCCGCTTTATCAATGAAAATAGTTGGCCGTGAGATACGAGTAATGATAGTGATGCACAATCAAGCGAAAAGAATCCCTGCAAGATTGCGGCATATGTTGGCGCTTGGCCTGTATAACTTCGCAATGAGCGGAACGCTGCCTCTGGCAACGGGAAAGAACCAAAGCGGTTGCTTGCAGTAAGCTTAAATGAGGGCGCTGCTTTCTCTCACGAGTGGGAGCGCAGTAACGGGCTCTATATATATATATATATATATATATATATATATATATATATATATATATATATATATATATATATATATATATATATATATGTATATATATATATATTTCGCGGGATTTCTTTATCAACAGCAAAAATGAGCACGCAATTAGTATGGTGTTGAAAGTAGCACAGAGGTCGTTTGAACATGCCTCATTGACATCTTGATAATTAGGGGAGTACTTTCGGAGCAGCGAATATAATTATGACTAATTAATCATTCAGTAGTGGCTGCTACAGCATACTGGCAACAATGTGCACTAAGTTTGCTTCACGTAACGCCGTTCCTCTTTTTTTTTTAATCGTGCTACGTGACAACTGGAACACCCTATATAGGCACTAGATCTGGACCTCCAAGGTAGTGCCGGTGGGAGATTTTTCCCATGCGTTACTGAATAATAAAATTTCACGGCATGCGCGTTAACTAAAAGTGGACTGCGGATTTTTGTGTCCGATTGGAGTCTTCTGTCTCTAATTGCCAATTATCAGCGATGGGCATGTTCCAGTAGTAAATACCGGTCCATCACTGCGTGCTTTCTGCCTCCCCAGGTTTCTCTCCTGTGCAACGCTGCAATGAGCGCCAGCGTCAACGCCACCGCCAGTGTAAGCGTCAGCGCCCGCTGTGTCGCATATACACATGGTTCCCTTCGGCTGGAGATTGTGCCATATTTATTTAACCCTAAGTTGACGCATTTCAATCAGTGACTGTTGCGCGTATATAACTACATAAATAATGGTTCAAATCGGGACTTACACAGGTGAAAAAGACGGGACGAAAAAAAAAGCAATGACAGAGTGTAGATCCTCACCGTATTTATGTCCAGCGGTCGCTTTAGCACTTTGTCAATCTCCTCTTGAAGCAAGCTCAGCTCTCTCTTTATGATTTTCTTGGCTTTCTCCTTGTCAGAAAACGTGTCCTGCACGCTGTCTGCATCACACACAGAAAAACAATTTCTATTATGACTCACCTACCATATCAGCCTAATTATTAATTGTACGCTTGCCGACAATAGAACAGCCCTTCAGAGTAACGAAATCCCCTTATTCGCAATATTGCTTCACTGGAAACTTTCGTTCCCCATTCCCTACCGGCGCGGGTAGCGAAACATGACTGTATCGAAGTCGGGTAAATTGAATTATTCGTTACATCAAACGACTTTCGAGCACGATACTGCTTTACCGTCGATGGCAGAAAAATGTATGGCACACCAAACAAAAATGAAAGTAAAAATTAACCAACTATTATGCGCTACACCCAAATGTGAAGTCTGAGCGCATTATATATATATATATATATATATATATATATATATATATATATATATATATATATATATATATATATATATATTGACGTCGCTCAACGTAGCAACAGGAGCCTATATAGCCCCAAGAACATCGCGCGGCAGGAAGAAGTCTGATTTCCCTCCCAATAGCTGTTTTACCTCACAAGGAGTTGGCTTTCTCTCACCGAAAAGAACTTGCCCGGGCGAATTCGGGAGTGCAAAAGAAATGTGTGACAAGTTTGCGCCGCGCGGAGCGAGTAGAAACTAACTGTCGTCACGTGCCTTCTCCGATAATTTCTCGTCGACCCGCCCGTCGTGCGCAGTCGCCGTTCTCTTTTCTACGATTTTCCGCCATCTTTGTAAACACGAAGGCTATCATGAAAAATAAATAATCGAATATTTTTCGCAAAGCTGGCAACACTACACGCGGTCGGGCGTGGACAAAATCAGCCTGACGTCACGGGTGCTTGTACAGCTTCCCAAGAAACACACTGATTGATTGATTGATTTGTGGGGTTTAACGTCTCAAAACCACCATATAGTTATGAGAGACGCCGTAGTGCAGGGCTCCGGAAATTTCGACCACCTAGGGTTCTTTAACGTGCACCCAAATCTGAGCACACGGGCCTACAGCATTTCCGCCTCCATCCAAGAAACACGCTGAGTGTTATATTGAACGACAAAGGCGACTTAAGGACCAAGGTGGTCAAACTGCACAAGAAGGCGCTGAGTCGCTGTTGGCATAATTTAAATACTCTTAATGTTTTGCACCAATTTATGCGGCGCGTTCCAGGGTGCGACATAACAAACTCATTCCCGGGTGTGTGTTTTTTTTTATAGTTCAATATATGCGGGTTTAACCTATATTAAATGAAGTTACTTGAAATGCTGCTCTTCTGGACATTGCGATGAGCGGCGCGAGAAATTCACACCGGACTGTTCGACGCAGCATGCGAGATGAGATCCTGCATTATTCCTTTGGGACTTCTTGGATATACAAAGATAGCTAAGCATCTCTTCTCCCCACACGCCAACTTGATTGAGACTACAGGTGGTTGAAATTTTAGAACGCCGCGAAATTTCCATCTGACAAACGGATGTGCACAAACTTGCACCAATGGTCGCCTGCCCTGGTCTCACGTCATAAGCCGCAAGGCCAGTAGCCTCGCTGTCGGAATACACTTTTAAAACACGGGCGGGGCTACATCATCAATTGCGGTGGCAATCGGCTGCAGCGCTCCGGAAATTTTGGGTGGTATACCACTTCTGCATTTTAGGGGCGAAGCTCCTTAAGGCGTGGGTCTTGTATGTATGTACACTCTAAGCCGAAAAAGACTAAAGTGGGGTATGCCATTGGTCCTTTAGGGGTCTAAATGCGCTGCCACAGATTTTGAACCAATTTTGGACTAACTGCGGGAGTAACTGCAAGGGTTCAACTGTTACCCCAAGCACTTACTCCACTTGGTTTAAATGTTGGCCCCAGTAGAATGCTCCAGCGGGACTAACAGTTGAACCATCTGGACCAATGGCAAAAAAATGGCGACACTGCGTTTGTGCAGTATATTTTATGTTTATTCCAATTTAATCAGCACTGAAGATCATAGTATGTTATTCATGCAACACACACACACACGCACACACACACATACATACGCACTATTATTTCAAAGTAAAACACCGCAAACACTGACTGCCCGCGCTCTACTACAGAGAACAGACTCTCGGGTATATATAGCACAGTATTTTGACCTCCCATCTAGTGCCAGTGGGCGACTTTTACTCGGCTTAAAAAAACAATAAACATTGATACCGTAACGCGAAAATTTACATCAACTAATTCGTAGCACCGATGCGCACCGATCTTTTAATATGGATCCATCTAATATTCAACATGCTTCCAGCCCGAGACTACGAATTATCAGCTGGTATTCGATCATGTCGGCCGAACCAGCATTCGCAGCGCTGGCGCACGAGTCCGCAAACACAAACATAGCAGCGGCGCTTGAGCGGGAAAGCCGGCGAAGCAGCCGCAGGTGCCCCGCCGATGCCATACCGAGTCGGCTTGCCGACGGCGTCGCTAGGCTTACGACGAGTACGGCTAAACGACCGCCGGCGATCGCAACATGCGGCTCGCGTGACATTTTCATCGTCGTTATTTTATAGTCACAAATGAACAATAGGTAAGTGCCCCATGTTCGCTGTGTCTTACGGAGTGATGTAGATTTCTGTATACTTACAGCGACGAGACCATTCGCAGGCACGGTTCTTTCATCGTGCTGGTAAGGCACAACCTGTGTACCACTGGCCGCACGATTAGTCGTATCCGCGATCGCCTACACGTTGGATTTTTGATAACGATTGTCGCATGGATAAAAAGACATAAGTTTGCCTGAGCTACTATTTTCGTGAACTTGTACGCGACGTTTCCTTCGCTTGTGCCGGCAATGCACTCACACCGGCTGCCCGCTTGATACCGATGACGTACGAAGCCTACTTTTCTTATATATCGCTTTGAACTTGTGGTCACTGTGTGGGTACACGACCGCTGATGAACAGCTTACCTTTATTAGCATTGTCAGTGTTCACCGTAGTTCGAACTTATTCAGCACATTAAAGCGAGTTCTCGGCATTGCCCGTGTTTGCGGAGACTTTCGCTTGGCTTCGGCTCGCCCGTGCCGGCATGGTGGAAACGCGAGGGCACTTGCTGTGTGCACTGACAGCGCGTTGTACTACTTTCCTCTCATAACATCTTCTATTCGTTTCATAGTGCTTCACTTTCACAGTGGCGTATAGCCTATCTAACTTGTTTTCATGATCGCCGACCACGCCGAGCATTGCAGTGCAGCATCGACAGGAGGCGATCGCGGCGCAGTTGCCCTCCCCGTTGGTCCCTTCATTGCCGGGCGGTTGCGCAAGACACGCATTGTCACACATTTAGTCCCTGTTGGACGAACCGTTCGTGCATTGATTTAACGACTGCAGTTAGTCCAACGTTGCCGAATTTCGGCTTAGAGTGTATGTAGTGTGTATGTAGTAGTACGTAGCCATCACTGGCACATATCCACTCTAGAGTGGGTATGTGCCACAGGGGATGCGAGATGGGAGATGGCGGTACATGGAGTGTTCACTAGATGAACGCGCGGACGGACAGACAGACTAGCAGACAGACGGACGGATGGACGCACGAACAGACAGACAGACAGACAGATGGATGGATGGACGCACTCATGGACGGACGCAAGGACAGACGGACGGTCTCATGGATGGACGCAAGGATGGTCTCGCGGACGGACGGAAGCAAGAACGAATGGATCGACGGAAGCACAGACGGGCTGATGGATGCTTCGCCCCACTCATCATCATTCACTCCGTGGATATGCTGTGATATTTAACTTGTATGCGATACTTGATGTAGAGGACTATATCAGACATTAATACTGTACCTAACAAAATAAACGAGCCCTGTAATTTATGTTTATTTTAGGCAGACTGCATCAGATTACAATTAGATTGTATCTCTAACTTTATCACGTGGTGATGAGACTTACGATGCAGTTGCCCACGGGCGTCAGCAGAGTTCACCACAGTGACACCACCACCATCAATCGAGGCCTAGTTTCTATCAAATTTTTACAAGAATCCGTGCTATTGGAGGGTCCATCCGGCGGCGATATCTTGCTTTTTCTAGCACGTTCTCGCATTTAACGAAGTACCGCTTACAACAAAGCGCGTTTCCTGTCTTCATGATTTTGTTATAGTCAGGGCTACAATGTGATTTGTGCTATACGCAATGTGCCCATAGATATCACTACCACTTAGAGAACCTTGTGAAAAAAAAAAACGCAGTAAACGGAACAGTTTCATTATGTCTATAATATCTTATATCTTATCATAAGGCGCGATTCAACTTCGCAGCATTGTTAGAGGAGTGACTCTTATAAATGTGAAAAGGGCAAATCAGACTTACACGTCAGATGAAACAGGCCACTCTCGCCCAGTTTTTGAACGCCTTTGAGTCCTTGAGTAATCGAGTTGACGTATTCCGCTATAGAACCTCCAGGAAAAACTGCTTCCGTTAACTCCTGGACTTTTTCCAAGCTGGAATAAAAAAAAATTATTTCGTTGCTTCACTGGAACGCCACAACACAAAGTAAATGTGATGCAAAAGATGTACTCGTCCACTGCCTTTACCTGTTTATGAGCTCTTTAATGACGCTATCGTCGAGTAAAGTCAGAACTGAGGACAGCGTGCCAGCCAAATTATCGCTCGACGTGTCCAGCGAAAGCGCTTTCGTCGACTGAAAAAGCTTGGACATAGCATCCCACAGTGAGGCCGCGCCTTTCAAGATTTCGTCCAGCCACTTCGCTGCGTAGAATGCTTTGGTTTGTGCTTCCATAACCTGTAAGAGGACAGCAATAACCAAAAGCACACTAAAACATGAAATGATCAAAATGATTGATTGCTCGAAATGGAGGTTTGCAATTCACAGGTTATACTGAGGCGTAGGAACGATGTCTCGCACTTGCAACGCAAAATGAAAGTAACAGTGTAATAAGATATGATCCCTGACATTTGAGTTTCCAAGTCGCTCGCTTGCTTAGGACACATCCCCGCTTACCTGCTTCGCAATTCCGGATGTGTTGAACAGAGACCGGGCAAGCGCTTCTGCGAAATTAGGGTCGCACAAGTTTTGTCCCTCCTCTGACTTGTACGCAAGCAGACGCCTATGGGTGCTGCTACATAGAGCCTCTTCGAACGACTTTTGCGAGAAGTTATGACGGACCAACTGCAAAGTAGGAAACATCGGCGTTGTGCGTCACTAATGCAAAAAATAAAAATAATCGCAGCCTTGCCAAATCGGCGCACTTTCTCAGGATGCTCGTGTAAACAGCGTTCTAATGAGCGTGTGTATGCATACATACCCAGTTCAAGTTTATTTCAGCATTCTTGATCACGTCCGCCCATGAGCTGGCGTCTCCGTGCAATGATTCATTCAGCGTCTTCGTAGTAACAATGTTCGACAGTGTTGTATAAACTGCAGATAAAAAAAGAACAAGAAAGATGTGCACATCTAAGTATAATTTCGAGCAGTTTTAGTATTTATAAGTAATTAAACTACAGTCAACGTATTCTTTCAATGAATAAAATATAGGTAGCTAACGGGTACGCCACACAAGGCAGATACAGCATAATGACAAACTTCAAGTGTCATTTACATTATCGCTATGTGGCCATCACGATGTATTATGAAAAAATTGGCCCCGTATCTACATGTAGTCTGCAAATGTCGTCGAAAGACGATAGTCTTGCGGGTGCAGAGAGTGAACAAAAAATTTATTTGATGTTCTGCGCAAGAAAATCGGTGAATGGTACTCAGGAGTCGCTGCGCTAGAGTATCAAGTCACGTCACTCGTAAGACATGAGCGCCATCTGGCAGCTTTTTTGGAAAACAAAGCGCGTGGCCCTGACACGGGCGTGCGCGCCCATCGCAGAAGTGATAAGGTGTAGAACGCAAAGCGATGGGATAGGTGCCACAACCGAGTAGTCTTAGCTAAGCGTTGGAAACACTCGCTGCTTCGAGCAAGCGTTGCATGGTCAGCGCAGTGGGATAAACGCTACGGTCCTTAGAACTACTTATGTATGCCTTTTCTAGTAAAAGACGAACAAACAGAATACATACGTGTTGTTATGGTGCCTCAGATATGCGCAATAATTCATTTTTAATTGACAATCGCACACGTATAAATGCTAATTCTTGAGCAACATTGGTGGGCGCTGCGGTTGGGGTCGGCCGTTTGGGGTATCGTCTGGTGCTATTTAGAAGACCCGGCTCGCGGTAACGGTGGACAAACAGACAAATGTGCAGACAGACAGACAGACAGACAGACAGACAGACAGACAGACAGACAGACAGACAGACAGACAGACAGACCAAAGTTTTTGCGTCGAAGGTCCCCAAGATAGACTATCGTCTTCAAAAAAAATTATAAGCAGTGGTTTAGCTCGGCTATGCCAGGGTGCGTGTAGCGTGAGCTATACGGACAGATGTCACTCCAGCAACTTCCAGGCTTTCTCCGGTGCGTCGGCTGTGCGCCGTGTGACGTCACTGCTCATCGGGCATGCGCAGCACGGCTCTCAATAAGCCACTCGAAACTGCTCAACCTCAGCCAGTGTAGCTTACGCCACGCGATAGACTGCAATCTACAATAGCACTTGAGATACTGTGACATATAGGCTTCTGCAAAATGTGATTTCTTTTGGAGCAGGACTTTACCGCCTCCGATTCAGGCGGTAATTCAAATAAGCTGTTTCTTAATCTGTTCACGAATAAAGGGAGAAAACGCGTGATCAAGCAAACAAAAATAACTTCGTGGCTACAAGAATTATTCGTGGCCAAATTTCGGGGCTATTAAAAAGGCTATAATGTTTGTGTAACTGATTGCTTCCATCAATTTACCTACTCGTTCAATTTACCTACTCGTAGTAAACTTGAACATTCTTATTTTTTTGCATTTCTCGCCCCTCTTGCTCTGGCAACACTGTAGCCTAAAGTTCTAATTTGTATACACTTGTTATCTTTGCTAAACAGTGACAATATGGGCGCGGCAATATATTACATTGCGAACATCCAAGTTCTGGGAACAAATGTATAAAAAAACGGTGGTTACAAGCGTTTGCAGGGTACTTTAATATAAATTACCCTGGTCGTAAGTTTTCACATGGTAATCTGGTTATAAAAGTATCGTCGCCGCTTTACGCAAACAGATCTGAACACAATGCTCTAGAATATTTATGCACATTTTTTTGCTGACACGTACGAGATAACGGATGACCAACCTGGTAGTTCGCCGACGACCTTGTTTACGAGGAACTGAAGCAGAGACTCGTCTTGAGAGCTTCTTTTCAGCAGCAGCTCTTTGGCAAGGTCGAACAGATGTTTTGTTAACGTGACGTATCTGAAAATTGTGGAAAAAAAAGTCATCATGGCACAGTCTTAGCAGGGCCTGCAGGACGAGATCGGGGCCGTATTGCCGAGTGATATGCTGCAATCACAGGCTGTACCTTTCGACGCTGTATTTGAACGTTCCATTGTGATACACATCGACGCAGTGTTCGAGCTTCTGGTAACTATAGTCCTCGGTGAGCTCGCTGACATACATGTCGATGATATTGCCACTGGCCGATAGAACACCCGCAATGGTCTTGCATTGCTGTTGACGTGCCATGTTCGGGTATTTGATGGCCACCTGAAGCTGTAGTGTAAAAACAATGTTCCATTTGGGCTCTTGTGGCGAAATAATGTATAGAAGGTGGAGGGACAGGTGGAAGCAGAGTATGCCGAGATGGGCACAAGCCGGCATTGCACTTGCTGGCGAAATTTAGCACCGAGTCCCCACACACCCTATCCCGCTTTGCGTACCAGTTAACCTCTTCTGCATCAATGGGAGTTTTAGTTCGACGAGTGAAGAGCCGGATATATTGCCAACAAGTCATTTGTTTTTCTCACCTTTGAGATGAAACTCCTGAGGCCCAGTCTCTGGGAAATCCACTTATAAGCGTTGGTGGCAGTTTTGTTTGGAAGCGCACATATCAGCTCTTTCGGCTCTGAAACAGAGTGTTGAACATTGTAGCCATGAGGGTACGATCACGTGTTCGCTGGCGTAGAAAAGTCAGCACTAGGTGTAGGCATTGTTTCTTAGGTGTACATGAAATCTATTTGGATTATTTATTATTACCCGGAAAATCTTGGAGACGATTGAACACTACTGTCTAGAATGGCAGCATACGGAGCGCTTTGGTTATGCTCGCAGAAGTAGACATCTCTGAAAAGAGTAAGAAAGAAGCATTTGATGAGACGTTGCTTGGGCGAGGAAGTTAATTTTGTGAGTATAATTTCGATGTCCACACTTACGTAACGTTAAGAACGATGGATAGGAAGCGAACGATCTCAGCTGGATTGTTAAAAGACTTCTGTGAAACGAGTTGTCTCAAGAGCTCTTGTTTCTGGAAAGGATAATGTAACACGCGCACACTAAGGATGATTTGGTAAATATTACCAAAGGCTGCATACCAAGTGCGTCATAACGTATCATCTGCAGTTTTGAAATATGTTGGAGCAACTTTTGCCTATACTTCACACAACTATTCGAATAAAAGTATACAGGGATTTCAAAAAGGTATATTTTACACCACACCTGAAAAATTTCATAAAATCGGTTTACTCTACATGTATTCAAGCTCATAGTGGTTGTCTAAGTGGTGGTAATGGAAATAATGTTCGTGAAATACAACGACGCGCTGTTCTTTTAGGAGAGAAGCCCCTTAAGGCGTGGGCTGAGCGTCCCGTCGTAATCGTATCTAGCCAGCCATTTCTCGTTAGTTCTTGAACCAACCGTAGAGGGCAGTACTTGAACATATAACGAAATGCATATACGCTGAAAAATGCAAATGGTACGATACCAGAGGTCATTACTTGTAGTATGATAAATAATAAAAATCACAGCATATCCATGGAGCAAATGATGATGAGTGAGGCGAAGCGTCCATCATTCCGACCGTGCTTCTGGCCTTCGTTCATTCTCGCTTCCATCCATCCATCCGTCCGTGCGTTCATCCGTGCGTTCATGCGTCCGTCTGTGCTCTTGTGCGTCTGTCCATGCGCCCGTTCGTGCTCTCTTGCGTCCATTCATTCGTGCATTCGTTCATGCGTCCGTCCTCTCGTGCGTTCATCCGTGCATGCGTCCGTCCGTGCGTCCGTTCGTGCACCCGTCCCTGAGTTCGTTCATGCGTCCGCCCGTTCGTCCTCACGTTAAACAGACAGACAGACGGGCGGACGCGGCCAGCGGATGATTCACGGTTTGCCAATACAAAGTGTGATACGCGCAAGGCGGCGGCGGCTCGCGCTCGAAGAGGGAACCCCGATGTGCGAACGGGCGAGAAAATAGGAATGACGCCACACGAAGACGTTGGCGATCGCGTGTTTGTCAGTGGTGCCGTACGCTAGGGGTCGCAGTGTTGTAATATGGAAGCCGTTTTGGTGCGCGCGCGCGCGCGTTGAGAAGGTTGGCGGATAGACAAGGCTGCAGAACGGCGTGTGCGCAAGGCGGCGGCTGGCGCTCGAACACAGAACCCCGATGTATGAGCGCGCGAGGCAGAAGCGTGCCGTGAAACTGCGCGGCGGTGCCGACAAGATTCCGGCGTGCTAGAACGGGAGGCCGAAGCGGCACGGAAGCGGCGTGTGGACCCAGCTGAATTCGCTCCACTCTCTATCATTCACTGCGTGGATATGCTGTGATTTTTTTCTGTCTTGAAAAGAGAATTTGAAGTTAAACAGCATGAAAGGGAAGAAAAACACTGATGATTCTGCTACTTACATCGTCTAAAATATCTGTTCCAAAGCATCTTGGACATGATGCAGTTCTTCTTTGCGCAACGTAGGCATTTTCTGAAGGCACTGTAAACATAACCATATTGCAAGTGTATTGAAAGAACTATTGCCAAATTATCAATATTGCATTCATTCACTGTAAGCTTACAAGCAGCAATAAATAATCTATTCAATTCATCTATGCTTTACGATTCTATTTATAATACCTACAATATTTTCGTTTTTATTTTGTGTGTATCCTCTTTTCGATCCTTATTTCCCCCCATCCTGTGCAGGGTAGAAAAACCGGCTCTCCCACCAGGTTAACCTCCCTGCCTTGTTTCCTCGTTATCTGTTTGTCTCTCTCTCTGTCTAGTAACTGTTTAGAAAAGAATTAATTACTCATCACCAATGTAGCAAAAAGGACTACAAGCATTCTTCTTGATACAGTGAGAGTTCTGCCTCATATGCCTATATCGTACACGTGGCGTAAGATATGAGCATGAACTGCTTAGAGATGTACATAACATGCACGCATTCAGCGCATAACTGGATCAAGTTCAATAAAGCTGGCTTTTTTGCCACCGGCCACACGGCGTAGTACATTGATACAAATCTCAACATCGGCTTATTCTGCGCGAATGTTGAGGCTTGCTTGTTGCGTATTAAGAGGATTTTAAATCGTGGTATTTAGATGTGGCGTACAAGTAGATCTGTAATGATAGCGTGCAATGAGTGCGATGTGAGCAGTAATCCTGTAATTGCCAAATCCCGAAATTACAGCACTGTGGCTCCGCATTTATGTGACTTTGCGCCCGTGCACGTGACATCTTGTACTGTGCCATTCAGTCATCGCACTTTTTGCTTACGATTGCCTAATGCATTAATTTACAACCCGTTATATATGTCACGTGTTTGGCCCCAATGCACTTGATTTCAGTCGCAGAACCCTGATACTTATAATTATCGGCGCAATTTACTCCAACTACATGCATTCATTCGACGGCGGACATGAAATAGGGTGACAATGACGATGATTATAGTTATGATGATGATGATGTTGATGATGATGATGATGATAGGCGCCGGCATGCGAACATAAAAAAGAATACTTGCATTGCTCGAAGTAGGAATTGAGGCTTGCGGCGAGGTCTAACAGTGTAGGGACCGCGGAATTCCACAGCGGCGAGCTGCTTGTATTCTGATGCACCATCCACATCATGCTTAGAAATAAACGCGTAGCGCTGCAAATGAACATGTCGCAATTAACTCTCGATTTCCATTTACGTTGCAGTCTTCAATTTTCTTGCTTAGCTAATCTCGTACCTGTGCAAAGGTCTGCTCGCATAGCCTTCTAGGACGGTCATCACCGTCGCGCTGACTTGCTCATCGTTGACGAGTCTCACGGTGTCGTTGCCGTCACTGTGATAACCCGCGGCCATGTCTTCGGCAAGCCTGTCCATTTCCTCGAGTGAGAAAGCAAGTTTTGCTTCTGGCATTTGCTCGATCCATTCGGTGTCAGAACTGACGCGGTTTCGGACCTGCCATTTGGAAAAAAAAAATGCATCTAAGAGACTGGAAATGCGTGAAAACCATCATAAAAATATATCATAGAGATAGGATATGATGTGTTACCTGGCTAACGTTGACGGCTTGCATAGTCTCTTCGTAGTCTTTCCACTTGTCCATTGTGAAAATGCTCACTAGCAAATCCGCATCTGAAGAAACAGGAGAAGCCACTTTTATTACTTAGCTTTACATCTAGCTTAGCGTATACAGTGAACGACACATGCGTATAAATTCAGACGAAGGTGCGCCTACCCTGTGTTCTAGATTCCGAGGCAAGCATTGCGTAATGATAGAACTTTCCGATTTCTTCTGACAGTTGCTTTGCGCTGAGCTGACCCGTTGCGATCAACAACTTTGTGAACTTTGACAGGCTGAGGAAACGAACATTGAGGGAGGATAGTTAAACATTTCAATGTACACTAAAGAAGCAGTGTTCTACTATTGCTTTTTTTTAAAGAACATGACAGAGTGGATACTTCCTCTGTGCATATAGTGCTGTGGTTGGAACACATTTTTAGGAGTCTCCAAGGCATGCCATTTAATGCGAAGCGCCTATCTAAGAACGCGTAGAACGTTTTGGAGAACACATGACGAATGTATTTACAACGGACACTTTACATTCAAGCAAACGTCGTACATTCTCACTGGGATGTAAATGTTTGCTCTGTCGTTGCAGAAGAGAGTAGAGATATTAGAGAGTTTTAGTACAGCGGAATGGTGCTACGTACGCATCACGCAAGCGCCTTGCGTTACGTGGCGTCGTTTGCCACTAATCGGCTTTTAGTACGCCGTAGTACCCGCGTACGTAACGAGCGTGAAGCGTGTTGCGCCATCTGGTAGATCAAAATAGAAGCACGTGTTGTTGACAGCCAAGGTGAGCCAATCCAAGTGTCATAGCCAGATTATGGCCATATTTTAAGCCACAGAGCCGGTCGGTGCTTGCCACGGAGGAAGGCTCCGTGGTGCTTGCCTCCGATGCCGCCATTTTGCAAAACGAAGTCTCGCGCTGTCGCGAACTTGTTCGAGAGCGGCGCGATCACCTCATACGTACGCACGCACGCATCTCATGCGTGCGTACGTAGCGGCTGCGTACGTAATGCGATACGTGCGCGTTGCGGTCTGCGCATGCGCACTACGCAGAACGTGGCGTCCTTACGTACGCAACGCTGCCACGTACGCAGTACTAAAACTCTCTATTTAGAAGAATTCTTCATTACCATAACGCCGCGACTGCTTTTCCCATTGGCAATTTCCGAAATCAGAATATTCCGCGCGAGTAACACACCAGGTCTTGCATTCTTTAACTCCTTCAAATCTCATTACTGTATTTTGGCAAGAATGTGCAACGTTGTTTCGTATACAGTAGTGCAGGTGCTATTAATGTCGAATGAGAGGAAGCAGTGAAGCAAGTGAAAGATTTCAGCAGTTCAACCCTGTGCCTGTTACTAGCGTACATCGTTCTCAGCATACGAAAAGTAGCCACCACATGTACCACGAGATAACTGTTCAAAAGAACTCAAACTAGATTGCAAGACTTAGAAGTTCCTTTTACACATAAATCGTTCTTAGTTTTGATGATTGAGGAGCGTACAGAGTTGTATGACTAACTGAAATAGGTGCTGCACTCTTGATTTTTGATTGATATGTGGGGTTTAACATCCCCAAACCACCATATGATTATGAGAGACGCTGTAGTCGAGGGCTCCGGAAATTTAGACCACCTGGGGTTCTTTAACGAGCACCCGAACACTCTTGAATGTGATCCCTATAACAATGTGAGCGAAAATTGTTCCTAAAGCTCATGCACGGCGTCACGCAGTAACATTCTGCGATATCCTGAACGCTCGCAAATGTTACTAGAGCAGTTGGTTACTCGAGCAGACGCATACTCACACTCCGTTTGCAGGGTAACAAATATCAACACAACGATGATGACAGCAAATACTAATTGTCGTGTTTTTTTTTCTGACTTTATGGCAATAATTTACCGATAACGCCAGTCAAACACTCACGTTTTCCACGCAGTCTTGTCGTCCAAGAAACTCAACAGCTTTCGCATCTTAATGAGGGCCACAATTCCTTTCCTAACGGCAGCGCTGTCGGACATCCGTGCATCTAACAGAGCTTTGTTAATGTTGAAGGTCTCCCACGGCGACAGAAAAGTGAACTCGTCGTTCCAGGAATGTCGTTCACTGGTGGAATTCACGAGCGACCCTTTCGTGGTTGTCAGTTTTTTTACCAAAGTGTACATTTCCCAAGCGAAATGCTTCGCTTCTTGAGACGTTTCTACGTCTTTTACAGTCTGCAGAAGAGGGAGAAAAAACGCTTATCATCATTCCTTTCTGTTTTGTACGCTACACCAGCAGAAAGTCACGACTAAAACGCTTACGTTTGAATCTGCCATCAGTTCTTGGATGACGGCTGTGAAGTTTGTGCTGCAAATGGCGTGTGTGAACATGTGTCTCTCCAAATCGTGGTGCACCATGTCAGTTTCGTTCCACTGATTGCATATTTGGCGCTGCACTTGAAGGAAATTCCCGATAGGAGAGTAGTTCTGCGGCGATTTTAATTAAGCGATCGTTACACAGCCGTTTGATTAACTGCAATTTATTACCTTACCTTTGCTTTTGTTGAACGATTAGCGACGACATCATCGTCTCCGCAGCCGCTGGAAGCATTGGCAACCACGTGTTTAGAAAGAAAGCTGTGTTTGTCTTGTTACCAAACACATCGTCAATCGGTATAATGAAGATCCTGAAAATAAAGATTTGATCATTATTAATTGAAAGAACGACCTTGGCATTTCGCTCACTCGCAGGTGTTGTAATAGCAGCAAAGAGGTATTATAATTTCTGAACTTAAAAAAAAAAGATTCGTTGGCACACGCATAATTCAGTAGGATTTGTCACTTAAACCTGTAGAATTTAAAAAAAAAGTTTGCAAACGTGAACTAGCAGCAAGCGTACGCACATACGTGAAAACAACGATAGGTCACATCTAGCTAAAAAATTTAGGTGTGCTTTTGAAAACATATCAATCATACGGAGTTGAATATATATAAACTTCAAATATTTGGGAGAATTACAAAAGAACAGCAAAATCTCACTAACTGCCATCTACCGCTTAGTTATTTTAAAATGTTAGGAGTAGTCTATCTAAAGTACTTTACAAAACGCAGTAGAGAACTAACAGAATTGCTGAGGCCCTACGTGGAGCGGAAATCAACAAAGTTGATGCATTGAAGACGGAAAAAATATCAAATAACGTAATAAAAGAAAAGCTGCGAAAGAATTAAACGTTAATAGAATATAAGGCACGATATATAACATATATAGAAAGTTCTGGTGCATGTGGGGATCAATTTTAGTAATATGAACAAACAGTCAATAAAATTTTGCGAGAACCACCATGGAACCTTATAATTTTGGAAAATCATGTGTTATCGCTGTAAGCATGCAGAGAACAATTCTTAGCTAAAATATTGCCGACACATACCCCCCAAGGCCTTCATATATTTATCGAGTACGAGCCATTCTAGGCATGAAAATTTCGCGTTATCTAGAATTTCTGATATGTCAACTATGCTGAAGCTGTGCCATTAGAAGGGGGGTGCACATAGCGTCTCCAGAGCAGACCACCATCTGACCCGAGTTGCAGGTGCCCGTCGTGAAAACTGCTAGTATCACAGCGATTCGATCGGATATTTTGTAAAAGTGAAATTACCCGCTGTGGACTCTCTCACACGCGCCACAAAGGTAACACCGAAACTAATTCAGAGACATAAAAGCTTAACAATGCATTCAAATCGAATGTCTGAGGACTCTCTGAACAATAGGTCCGAAGAAATGGCCGTATACCTGCCTTTATACTGCCGTGTCATCGTGTGGACCAAGTATTTAAGGGCACTTAGTGCGTGGTGGTAGTTGCTGCGGGCTTCGTCGCTTTCAAACTGGGCTTCTAGGAGCGAAGACCACGTTTCTACCCTGTAAAGAAACAGAAACAAGTAAAATTTTACGTGATATAACGAACTGTTTTGCAAATGTACTATTCCTCAGCAGTGGATGTTGAGCCAATTATCGTCAAGGGGCACACACTGCATACAATATTTATTAACCTTGGAAACATAACACTTCATGTCCTGAAAATTCATTTGCTGACATTGAATGTACATCATAACTTTTTCTAACATTTGGTCATCGATTTCGTACGACTTCATTATTTCTCGCTTCACGCATGGTCTATTTCAGCAATTTAAGTTGTGCATTGTTTGTGTGAAAGCTTCAACTGGAATAGCACGTGGAGGTATAGCCTATCACATCAGTTAAACCTGGATATAACGAAATTGACGAATTCTCGGGAAAATTTGTTATATAGAGGATTTCGTTACATGAAGGTGCGGAACGAAAATTCAGAAAATAAACGCGCAAATTAAGCAAAAGGGGGACTGCAAAAGGCAGAGCTAACCCAAAACACTTATTTTACAGTAAAAAAACTGCGATATTATTGCGATACCAATTATATGGACACAATCGGTGGGGTTTTGCCGTCGCCGCCATGTTCTGTAACAAGTTCAAATTGCTAACATGCTGGCGCGTGGTAACTTTCACGAGCGGGTTAAAATAAAAGTGCGAAAGCACTGCTGAAACAAAGATCAAATGAGTTGGCCCATCCCTATCTCCTGGAAAGTGCATAAGATATGATCCTCCGCGCGTTAAAACTGCTGTCGAATGCTGAAACAGAAAGTAAACCACCCGTCTAGCACGACCATGAAACAACGCGGGGTAGGGTGGGGGGTGGGGCGCTCGAGTAGCAATAATGAACTTAGATATTAACCAGGGCGGTCGCGATCGCTGGCACGCTTGCTTCTTGGCGAGTAAATCAGTGCACTTTCAACGCGAAGAGACTATGCGAAAAGAGCACTTATCCCTGGAGCGGCCGTATTTGCTCACACCAGCGTTTTTTTTGGTAGTTCCGCGATATCGGATCCAAAATAGTTGGCTGCCAGCCTTACTTCTTATCACATTATTTTTTTTTGCTATTGCATTCATTGCAGTGCATTCAACGCGCCATCGTGTGGCCAGAACTGATCGGCCAACAGCGAAAGCTACCAGCTTGCGAATTCGCGGCGCGGTGCAAGACAGAAGCGCTTGACGAGTCGACCTCCGAAGATCCTTCGTTACCGTGGTCGTGGAGAGTTTCGCGCCTAAGCGCCTAATCTGACATTCCCTCGGCTGTGACGACAAGGTTGTCCGAAATCAAGGAAATAAAAGTCACAGCTTCACCGCAAGGGCAAAGCAATGAATGCGATAGCAACAACTTGGAATCATTTGATGACTGATGTGTGAGGTTTAACGTCTCAAAACCACCATATGATTATGAGAGACGCGAACAACTTGGAATGTAACGCTCGGACTGGCAAGTAGATCGAAACGTGCAGTGCGCTGCTCACGCACAAAATGACGCATGAAAACAATACACACAGGACGAGAGAGAACTAACAACGTTTACTGATTGACACTTAATGCGCTGCTTTAACAAACACGAGGCACGAAACGTAATCACATGTACAGATATGAGTGCGAACTAACAAGTGCCCCAGCTATTACTTTGCCGTGTTTGAAAGAGGGCACCTGTACAGTGAGCGGAGTGATCTTTGCGTGCCCGGCAACTAAACAAAATCATTCCGGTCAACGGTCGAAGGCGCACGATTTTCCGCGATTCTCCCTATCTAAGGATAAGCGCACACGTACAAACCATCCACCCTTATCCCCCCCCCCCCATTCACGGGGCAAAGTACGCGTGGGAGATAAGCGCGCGTCGGCGCATCGTGACAAACTCGACGCTGAGCGCGGGCTCAGCGACGACATTGATATATACATATATATATATATATATATATATATATATATATATATATATATATATATATATATATATATTATGAGACCACGTCCGGTACGGCAGCAACCAGGTTAACCTTTTTTAATCCAGACGCACGAGCCAGAGAGCCAGCCCACGTGACATACGATGATGATCACTACAATGGTTTGGTCATACAGATGAAGATGAAGTACATAGTCAGCGCTCACACTATTTTCCGATGAAGTACATAATCAGCGCTCACAATATATATATATATATATCAACGTCGTCGGGGGCCAAACCATGCACGCGCACACGGCGTTAAAAACGAAAAGGGAACGACACGGGCACAGACACCGCGGAAAAATATTCGGTAAAGAGCCCTCCATATGCAACGCGGCCCCACATATGTGACGCTAACTAAAAGCGCGGCACTGCCAACGTGCAAAAGTACCTTTTTTTTTTAGTTTCGAGTGTGTGTGGGGGGGGGGGAGGGGGGAAGGTCCGCGCATGCGCCCGTTTTGGCGAGAACGGCGGCAACGCGGGGTCGTGGGGTGTAGGCCCGCCTGCCCGCCTCGTCTTACACGCACAGCGCTCGCTCTCACCTGGTGCGTCCTGCGGGCCGCCGCCGCTTCGCGCTTGGTCGGGTCGGCGGCGGGGCAGCTTCGGAAGGTGCATGCTCGTACCAAAATGCTAAAATCTGGAGCAAAATTTCTAGATTATCCGTGGGGAAAGTTCGTTATATCAACGTTGTCTCCCGCTGTTACTTTGTTGATTGATTGATATGTGGGGTTTAACGTCCCAAAACCACCTTATGAGAGACGCTGTAGTGGAGGGCTCCGGAAATTTTGACCACCTGGGGTTCTTTAACGTGCACCCGAATCTGAGCACACGGGCCTACAACATTTCCGCCTCCATCGGAAACTGTTACTTTGTTACATAGAGGTCGCAAACGCATGTGCTTCTATAGAGCAACGGCGGGGAATAGAAAACTTCGTTATATTGAAAAAATTCGTTTCATAGAGGTTCGTTAAAAGCAGGTTTAACTGTATTTTATGTGTTTGCTGAGGATGAACTGGTATTATCTTCTGGCAAGAAGTTTTTACCTGTTTCAAATGGTAGTTGATGCTAATTAGGCTTAGGTTCATTTAGACATTTATGAAATACTTTAAGTGAAGTTTCACAGACATCATATCGCTAACATTGTATCCCTACAACTTTACCTAGCATCAATAGCATGCATACGAGTACACACTCATAATAATTTAGCGCGCAGCCTTTTCATTTGTTTTGTTTAGTTTTCTCACCTCCGTGCCATTTGACTCCAATGGCGTCTTCATATACAGATGTAGTGGTAACTGGAGAGACCTTATTTATAAAATTTTCAGCACTATATCTGTGTATATATTTCTATAACTCATAATTGCACCCTTATTGATTGGTATACTTTGTACAATACATATTGGTGCTTTAAAACTGTTTTCTATACTCACTTTTTTAGGTCAAACTTCAAGAGACCGTTGCTCAGTTGATTGACAAAAGATTCGAATAGCTCTTTCCATTTGACAGCTGTCAAAAATGGCACGTCTGCTGTGGAACCTGATCTGTACGAAGCAGCCAGTTCATCGTAAACGTCCATGGCGGCGTCGTAAAATTTGTTAACATCGTCTGCATTAGCTGGATTCACCTGACAAAGACCAAGAAATGAATTAGCTGGAGCAACCATACCTACACATGTTTAATATATTAACTAGAATATATGTACCATTTCAGTTGCATCGCATTCCATTTCTATAAAGAAAGGTTAATTACCTTGATACATAAATCTATGGTACCTGTAAGTGCTGTATCGCTGCACTTACAGAGGACTGGCTGGTTACTATAAGGTGACTGGGCAGTGGTTGGCGAGTGAAAACGAGTTGACAGATTTCACACTTGTTTGTTACATAGGGTGACATAGCACTCAAAACTGACGGTAATGTCGATAACTATGCCGCAAGAACGTCATTTCAGTCCGAAAGACGCAATATTGATAGCGTTTTCGGTATATTATACAACTATACAAACTAAGATTCAGTGGCATCGGCCGTGTATTGCTGTAAAAATTCACTAATTAACAGAAAAAAGAGACGATAACACTGTTACACACGTAACGGAAAACGTGATGGGATGTAATTACACGACTACAGTCCCTCACTGCCACAAAGCTGATTTAATGAACACTGCGGACAGAAATGAGCACACGTATTGCCTCTCGAATCGTAACACTGTCAGCGGGGAGACAGCGCACGCTAAAGTGATCAGCCATCTTCATTCGTTCAAATTTGCCACCCTCTGCAAGATGAGAGCCGCGTACGGCATGGGCTGGCGACAAAGACGCACGTACACACTTGCTCCTAAGTAAACTCAAATAAAATCTTACCTGAATTTGGTCGCACTTTGACTTCAGTTCGTTTACCGTATCGGCGGGGCTGAATTTGCAGGCCAAGTGGTGAATGGAGTCCGTTGGGACAGTGTCAATGTCGTTGCCAAGAGCAAAGTACTTGGTCCATTCGGTCTTTTTTAGAGAGCAAAATCTCTCAAGACCGTCTTTGGTGTTGGCAAAGTCAGTTATTATCGCTTTCACCTGAGAAACCGAAAAGTGCACAGCTGCTAAGCGATCATTTTCACAGGGCATACACGCTGTCGTAGATTATCAGAAATGATGCAGTACAAAAGTAATCTCAAGACCAAGACGTACATATTTGGACTCCATGACCGTGTCAAAAGTGACGTCGACAATATTTGTACTGGCGTTCAGGACTTGCAGAATCGCGTTGATATTTTTGTTGTTCTTGTTATTTTGCAACAGGCTTTTCCACTTCAAGTTCCCTGTCATACAAGAAGACGAGAGATGAACAGGCACGTGTGGATTTTTTTTTTTGTACCAATAGACATCGACATAGCCCAACAATGTAGGTATACGTACAAAATGGAGCCTTCAGTCTGCATGCTGTTTTTGAAGTTGCCTTAAATATGGACTCCAGCGCAGCAGTGTCATTTTCGAAAACAACGGTGATTCCCTTGAGAGCAGCCATTACTTTGAGCCGATTAGCCGATGATCTGAAAGGAAAAAAAATTATGAAAAACATGTTCATTGTTTGAAATACCTTATGTTCTATGATCATTGCGTTTGTTTAATCTCAACTTCGGAGATAGAGCGTAGTGCAGATAACGCAGTCATGCGCCTTATCTTTCGTGCTTATTCCATCGTCTTTTGTTATAGTCTTGAAGCTCTGAAGTATAACTACAAGTATGTAACCCAGGGCTTGCTTGGCGGCACTGAAACATTTTCCTGGCTTATCAGCTTTGAACAAGTTTCTCTTGAAATCTGATTGATATGAGGCGATATAAGTTATAAAACTGGATAAAGTGGTGCTAGTTCGCAGTTAGCAGTGCAACATGAAAGATCAAGTATGGCACAAAAAACAGTAAGGCCGAATGCAGAAATAGTTGAATAAAGTGCATCGAGTGTTCTTAAGGTGCCACTAGTACATGGCGAGAAGTATGCTGTCGCCCCGCCGCGGTAGTCTAGTGACTAACCCCCGAATGCACAGATGTTACTTGACTCGTACTTGACTCGTTCTTGACTCAAGACAGTCTTGCCGGTCGCCATAAATCGTTCTCGAACTTGCGGATGACTTGAAGGCGACTTGGCTCGGTCGAAGTCAGGACAAGTTTCAAGTCAGCTGCGGGGCTAGCTTGAAAGCGACTTCACGCGTTATTCCAACAAGGTCACCTCTCGAATGGACGTCGCGTGAAAGGTGGCCGCTTTTGAATTTGCTTGCCTCGCCATAAGCGTAGCATTTTTTGAGGCGCACTGCCTGCCGAAGATTCTCGGAACCGCTTTACGTGACCAAGGAAATCCGATGGAGTTGTACGACGAGCAACAATTCCACGCTAGGTACAGATTCATGAAGAACGCCGTGGGGCAGCTGCTCGTTATGTTGCCGCTCCGTGAAAGTGGGGACAACCGAAGACAGCCCGTGCATCCAGTGTTACAGCTACTGATGGCTCTCAGGTTTTACAGCGCTGGCACATTCCAACCAGTCCCCGGAAATTTCGTCCGCATTCCGTAGTCGACAATGTGCCGTGCAGTCGGAAAAGTTGCGCTACTCATCGCAAAGCACCTGTACGCGATGCTGGTGCGCTTTCCGCAGCCGGCGGACTGTTATGAAGTGGCTGAGTTCCCTTGCGTTACGGGTTGTGTCGACTACACACACGTGCGTATTAATAGCCCCGGTGTCGACAACGCCGAAGTGTTCCGTAACCGCAAAGGCTATTTCTGTTTTTCTATAACACGACGACATTTTCCGTCTCTTTCGGTAAAAAAAAAAATGACTCGGTGCTGTGTCCGTGTGCCTCGTCTATCCTTTCGTCCCGTCTAGGGCGCTGTTTCTCGCTCAGAAAGGCATCGCTTGTAGCACAACGCTACGTAAAATTACACACACATAAAAAAGAGGTGCCCCTATCACGTGTTTTTTTTTTATCCGCGTCACCATCATGCAGCGATACAATGCTGCACCCCGTGAGACAGAATTCCGCTGATGGCAATGTCCTGACCCCCGCTTTTTCTCTTCTTTACCAAGCTCAACAAAATGATACGAATCACATTTGTTCCCAGAGCTTTTTTTTTTGTAATAACTGCGACCTAGCCCCTTACAGGCATGCACACAGGCGAACACAAAGGCAAATACCGTGAAAATCGCGTCACCTCGTGAGTTAGGTCAGCACAAATACATGCAATAGCGTTTGAGTGAGAAAAAAAAAAACGACGAAAGAACCCAACGCGATGCTTGTTTCACCTCCAAACAAGCAACCGTGGAGAAACGCACCGCATTTGGGTGGCCACTAAAACCAGCGGGCAACGAACGCTTTACAGAAGCAACACTGCGCATCACTGTGACGGCAGGCACCACGTGCCGCTCGTTAGCCGTAAAATGGCCCGGATATGCTTGTGGCCTTTCGTTTTTATAGTTAGTTTAAAACGTACGGTCTTTTTTTGATGTAATGCATGCCTTACGCGAACAACTTCATTATTACCTTCGTTAGCAGGCGAGCAACGTGTTTCTGCTTTGAAGCTCGTTCTTGACTTGACCAAGCAAGACAGCCTGAGCATCTATGAAACGCGAAGGCTGACTTGGGTGTTTTGAAGTCCGCTGCTTGCTTCACGCCGACTTGCTCAAGTTAAGTTGAAGTCGCGAGCCAAGTAACATCTCTGCATTCGGGGGTAAGGTACTCGGCTGCTAACCCGCAGGTCTCGGGTTCGAATCCCGGCTGCAGTGGCTGCATTTCCGATGGAGGCGGAAATGTTGTAGGCCCGTGTGCTCAGATTTGGGTGCACGTTAAAGAACCCCCGGTGGTCGAAATTTCTGGAGCCCTCCACTACGGCGTCTCTCATAATCATATGGTGGTTTTGGGACGTTAAACGCCACATATCAATCAATCAATCGAGAAGTATGCTGTCCACGAAGCTACTCTCGCGTAAACACGTGGTGGTCAGGAGTAACAGCAGTGTAGCTTAATTATCGTATCGACATAGCGTCAGCAAGCGCTTACCTGGAATCCCAAAAGTTATTGGAGAGGAAATGGTTCCACTGAGTGCTGTTGAACAAGCGAGAGACTCCTGACTGCGGTTCTTCGCTTTGCAGCAAGTTTACGATACGATGAAGGGTCTCGAGAAACCATTGCAGCTGGTCTTGTTTTGGAAGCGGCGGTGTACGGCCACTTTTCTTTAAAAAAAGAAAAAAGGGCACACAAGGTAAGTATTAGGTCAGAAAGAAGAGGTTAAGAGTGTGCGATATATGTTTAAGGGGCTCCTATAACAACCTTTGAAAACGCAAATAACGACAGGGTTACTCTCTCCGCGCATTTCAGTCTTGTCGGCACAATTCTTGACGTCAGCGGTCTGCTGACGTGATGTCACGAGCAAGGAAGAGCTCGATTGGTCCGTGCACGACGAATGTCAGTTGTGAATTTTCTGCTGTACCCTGCTTTACCTAGATACACAGGCCCGTTATTCCGCATCTTGAATGACCATAGCGCGCTATCAGATTATTTCACTTCGTTTTGCGAGTTTCAGAGTGTGCGAGTGGAGAAAACGTTGTGCGGACGAGAAGCGCGAAATACCGATAGGCGCAACGCTTCATGCAGACATTGTCTACGTGCTTCGAGAAAGAGTAAGTGGCGAGGAGGGGATACCGCGTATGGGAAGGACGGTGAAGGAAAAAAGAAAACCACTGTCGTCGATAAAATCGGAGAGGTTGCACAGACAAATTGGTATACTGGGCACCTGCAAGACTTCGTGGACACCCGTGAAATTGATGGCACACAGGTCTTGGAGGGCTGAGGTGGCGATCTCTACCTCCTGCATGGGCACCGTGAGGTAATCTTGCACGCGGTTATTGCAGAACTCGTCAATTGCGTACTTCTGCTTCAGGAGGTAGGATATCTGGAGATAACAGAAGAAGAAGAAAGAAACAATTAGTCACAGCTTCGCCACAATGGCGAAGCAATGAATGCGATAGCAACAAATTGAAGTGTCACGCGAAGAGTGGCAAGCAGATCGAAACGTGCCACGCGTTGCTCACGCACAAATGACGCAGGAAAACGTACTCGCAAGTACAGATGAACGCGAATAAGTGTCTCAGTTGTTATATTTCTGTGTGCAAAGCATGCCCTTTTCGTAAACGGAGACTGTGCAGCGAGTGCAGTGACCTCTATGTGCCTGGTAACTACAACAGAATTGTTCCGGTGAAAGCCCAATGCGTATGATTCTCCCCACCGTGAGGTAAGCGCGCGCACGCGTAAGCTTCTACCCCCTCCCCTCCGCAGGGCAACGTACGCGTGGGAGATGAACGCATCAGCGTGCGTCGCCGCGTCGTGACAATCTACCGACGAGCGCTCATTGTGTCATCTGAAAACGCAATAGTGCCTCCGAGATCACCATCGCCAGCGGTAAATGGTAAATATAAATAGATTGCCGTTTCAACGTTGAAAAGGCGCGTTTTCTTGGCTCAGTGGCTAACGCCACGCACTTACAAGCCAAACGTCGGACGTTCGTTACCGCGCGCCGGAGTCGTTTTCTTTTTCTGGATTATTTTTCTTTCTTGGGTTTTCATACATATAGATACTTATGTATGCATATACAGTGAATGTCGGTAGTCACCAACGACGACGCCGGCGGCAAAATTCAGCCGAGAGTGTGAATATAATTCCTATCGCAACGAAACAAGAATATTGTGTCACAATGTTTAAATGAACAACGCTACAATCTTCTTCCGCTGATTCAACAAACATTAGAATCTGAATGCTCCGGCAGAAATTCCTGCCGTTCGCACGACAAATGACACAAACGGCCGACCGACAAAAACTGGGCAAAGGTCACACATAAAACCTTCACGTAAGGCTAACGAAAGATTGCATAACGCTACATGATTAATTGTTGAGATGTCCGACGAATGGCACAATACATCGCGATCTAAATTAAGATGCAGCTGTATATTCCTTCGAAAGTGTCCGTACGAGACGTCACCATGCCAATGCCCGGGTTAATAAGTGCCATCCAATCTATAGGTACAGGCTGTGCAAGACAAGGAAGGAAGCAACAAAAGGGAGAAGGCAGGGAGGTTTAACCAGAAAGACATCCTGTTGGCTACCCTACACTGGGGGATTAGGGAAGGGGACAAGAAAGATGAAAAAGAGGGAAGACAAGAATACATAAGAAAACTAACGACAACATTTTACAAGCATTCTAGTGATTCCGCTCTTGACTGTTACGTTACATTAATCGACAACTTACACTAACTGTTGCATGTTTTCACCCATGCCGAAATTCCGAAATTATCGTAGGTCTCCCTTATCGACGGGAAAAAATCTGATCTAAGTCCAAACGTTTGCTGCGAGCACTTTATCATGTATACGGCATCAAAAAGTACGATAAATCCAGAAAGTACGCTCAAATATGAAACAAATTTCTTCCGTTGAGGGAAATCAGAATTCCCTTTGTTTAAAATTGATCTCCCGAGGAGCTGTAAACGGCAAATCTGTTCTCTCTTATTCTTTTCAAGAAAAAAAAACGGCAAGTAACTATTATAGATGTTCTGGAACTTGTGCTTTTGAAATGCTTAATCTTGATCACGATCTAAAATAGGTAACCTCACCTTTTTCGGCTCCACCGTCAAGGTATGAACGAAGTACTCCATGAGCTTAACAAGGTAGTTGTTGACCCAACGAACCAGCAACTCGAGGTCACTGGCGTTCTCGAAGAGCTGCGACACAGTTGTTTGCTGGCTGTCTGAAAAGAGAAGAATGAACGAACGGCTAATAAAGAGAGGCATTTCAGTCGAGTGGATTCAGATTCAGGTAAAAGTCATTGTTACCCGTGGCTTCGCTCCACAAGCTTTCGCTGGTGGTGAGGAACGAGGCAATCTTGAGCAAGTACGGCATCAGAGTGTGGTTGAGGTTCGCGTCCAATTCTTGGAAGGCGACGCTGACCAGCTGAAGCACTGCGCTTGCCTTCCTGAAACCGTATGACGACGTGTTAGCTCGAGAAGTTTCGTTGAAACGTTAAGAGGCAGCCGTTTAGTCTACTGTGAAATAAAAGTCACAGTTTAGTCGACAGTAGTCACGGATTAGTCTGCATTAGGGACAATTAGACAATTATTCGCACCGGAATTAGATTCAAGAGGCATCTCCTATAATCCATATACAAGGTGCATAAAATATAGCAGTTTCGCCTCAAGTACGAAGCAATGATTGCGATGGAAACAAATGTAAATGTTATTAGTTGGAAGGCCAACGTATAACTGCTTTTGGATGCGATCTCACGTAACTCTGCAACAAGCTGATGTAAGGGCCGTTCCATGTGCTTCCCGCCACAGCCGCAACGCACGTGCCGGGACCCCTACTGATATATATATATATAATATATATATATATATATATATATCTATATATATATATATATATATATATATATTATATATATATATATATGTTAATAGACTAACATGGTGCTGATTCTTCATAGGCGCTTATTTATGTGAACTAAATAAAGATCTGACAACAAAAAATTTAATATTGTTGATGATCTTGCTTTGCATGCACGCCAATATCAACATACACACTTCATTGTTAGCTGCTTGATAAGGAACTACCGCCCCGTGGCACCTGTTAATGACTTCTAAGCAACATAAGCGAGCTGTGTTTTGATATACATTGAATTCACAACCGTCGTGCGTGCGTAATAGGCTGTATTATTATAACGGTAAACAGCGTGACAAGCGGCCACGAATGCAGTGGCACGCTTTATAGCACACGAGTATACCGTCACAGTTACATCTCGCCAACAAAACAATTCAAGGTGAAATATATGGAGGACCAAACACTTCAGCTCGTCCCTATTCATTACATCTTGCATAATCGTTTACGAACTGGCTCTTTCAAATATTGCTCGTGCCCTATGTTAATGAACAGTGCCGCTATCGTTCATCAATATGCGTAACTTGCCGTCTGTGACAAGGGCCGCTTCCAATGAACTTTATGGTAGTAAACACATCATGTCGATCATATTACGCCGTTTCGTGCGCTGTGCTTTGCGTACGTGCTCGACGTCGAGTTCTCTCTCACGGCCACATTAAAGAGGAAACGGGAAAGAAATGACTTTGACACTAAATATGCAAAGCGCTTTCGCAAACTTCAAGAAAAAAGCGTGGCCCTGACGGAATTTCGCAGGTCACATTGCAAAATGCGGAAGCCCGGTAGGAGGCCACATTTCGTGAATCGCGTCGACACTCACGCTGACTGTAACGCATCACGGCTTCTGCTGAGAAAGCGCGGCGGCCCCTATTTATGCATGCGCCGAGTTCCCACTGATCCGTGCTGCTGCGAAGATCATCATCATAATCATCCTGACTACGCCCACTGTAGCACAAAACCCTCTCCCATGTTCCACCAGTCAGCTCGGTCCTGTGCTGCTGCTGCTGCTGCTGCTGCCGCCGCCACATTAGCATACCCGAAAACTTACCAATCTCATCTGCCCACCTATCTTCTGTCTTCCCCTCATCCGCTTGCCGACCCCTCACCCTCTCACCCGCTTGATACTAAGATGTAAGCGTATAGGTTTGAATGGTATTTCGGAACTGGTCTATTCGAATTTTGTAAACCATTTTGCAATCGCGACGCAGGTATGCGGACACGAACTCTTGGCTGTCATCAACTCTGCCACACGGGAGGTAGCAATCCGCAGAGGCTCGTCCTTGGCAAATCAGGTCTTGGCTGTTCACCAAGCCCACGAGGCGGCTGAGGAGCTCGGCATCTCAGTCCCCACGTGGGAGCGGTCCGCGACACAATGATCTGTGTTTAGGAAGACCCGATAAAACTTTATCCAGTCCAATTCAAACTGCATTGAACGCCAACCTATTTTACTGCAAGGGGAATGCATCGCCGAATGACGCCTTCGGTGTCGATGACGTCGAACGTATGCGCTACGTTTCAGGATCAATGGATAGACTACATTGCGGCTACATGCGCGGAAAGACGCGCTGTAGTCCTAATTGCACAACGACTGCGAAATGTGTAACGTGTGACACGTTGGCACATACGATACATCATTCGAAAGCGTGTTTCCTTAGAAAACCGAGAAAAGTACGCGAATAGGTTTGAGGCACGCATGCACGTACGCAAGGTAATCCACGCGCCAGTGTGGTGCCGCGATGAAATACAGGGAGCTGGGAAGGTCGCCCACGTACGCAGCCTTCCTATGCTGATAACATAAGCAGTACATTCATGCTTCGCGGGAACAGGTAAGAATACACCAGACGTGAGCTTTTCGCGGGCTTCGAGTTGCGGCGTGAACTTTTCAAAAGGTATAGCTTTTGCGAGTAGGTAAAGTTATAAGCAAGAAACACCTATACAGTAAGAGGAAACGAAGTGCCGTGTTTGTAGTCAGAGACGGACCACACTTTTTGGTCGGCGCGATTACTTCGCCTGAGCTCGCAAGCTTTGGAAGTGTTTTTCAGTTGTGCATTCCAGGAGCGTATACATATTCTGCAATACGTTCTGGAAGAACTCGTTCACTTGTTTGTCTAGCATATGCGAGAGCATTCGCACGTCATAAATATTTAACTGCCATAAAAGTCGATAGAACGGAGTCTGCAGACAGGGCATCCGTTTGATTTCGTTGCTTTATTAGCTGGGTGCGGCGTTGCCCATCTCTCAACTTTAGGCCTCTATATGCGCTAACCGAGTGCGTGCGTCGTGACAGTTCATTATATCATGCTCTAATACTCTCCCGCTATTTTGTTTTCGTATAACGTGTGCCCCCTTCGAAACGGCTGTGGACCAAGGTTGGATACACACACGCTACTGGCTGCTAGTTTCTTTTCAAATAATTATACGGGATAATGATAAGAAGTCCACAGTCAGGCCAAAGTGTACAAGTGCTCTCACGTTGAAGAAGAGATGAACGGGCAAATTTGGCCATAGTATTTATACGCACCCTTCCGGGGTGTCGTCGGCGCCGAAAGCGGTCCGGGCCTGCTTGAGAGCGTCCTTCATGGCCGTTCCGTGAAGTGCTGAGACGTCTGTAAACGCCGCCACCTTCTTGTCCCCGAGTACCTCCACATTTCTGAGCAGCACATTCAAGCGCGCACCCATTGCGGTCCAACTGAACGGGACGTCCTGACCGTGGTTAACTCTCTGTACCTGGAAGAAGAAAAAATATATAGTTCCGTTACTTCCTTGTTTTATCTTCCTATAAAATGAAGGAGCGGATTCATGTCTTTGAGCTTCTCATAACTCCGTGATCCGTGCAGTGTGCACGTGACGGTATTACCGTTCCTTCGTGCACTTATCTTGCTCTAGATTTTCTTGCACCGCATTTTAAAACGACGGAATTGTGCAAATTTGCTTAATGTTCTGTTGCGAATGCTATGATTTATTGCGACTTTCTACGTCAGCTATATGAAGTTCGAGCGGTAGATTATTCGTCGTACTAACCCCTAATTATACGAGGTCTCTTTTTGATATTACCATTATTTACACAATTAACTCCGCCCCCTCCACTACCAGTGGCTCCCCGCTTACAGCAAGCAATGCTTTAAAATTTCTGGTGAATTATTTAGTTACCCTCTGTTTCGTACGTAAGTAGAAAATATATGCAGTATTTCCCACGTATATAATGTCCCTCATATTTTTTGCAAGGTCTGGTTCTTACAATACTTCTCTTCTGTTTGATCTGCGTGACTGATTTATGAGCCATTTCTTTTTCTGTTCTTACGAGTGATTATTGAAAAATTGCAAATGGATTTTTGGTAGAATTCTCAAGTTCGCTGTGAAAGTAGACGAAAGAATGACTGTACGGCTTCCGAAAAGGGAGCATACCACCTCGGCGGCGGCTCGAAAATGTTCCAACAACAACAACAACAACAAAAGAAAAACCCTTCAACATTTCTTTTCGTCAAGTTTCCTTTTCGTGACAAGTAACAGTAAGCCAGAAACGTACCATTGTGGATATGGCAGCTACATGTCGCTCCGCGAAGAACTCGGACATGAGGAGAGGAACTTGTTCGCACATCTTCTCTTCGAGTCTTCTCAAGCTCTCCGTGTTCCCCACGCTCAAGAGGTCGGCAAACTTACCACTCTGACAGGGCACGTAAAACTTTTTCACCTTGTTCTCTTCCAATTTTTCAATGAGCTGAAGCAAAGAAATCCCACAAGATGCAATGATCGAGCCGTTGTCTCAATGTTAATGTATAGCTGTCGAGATTCGACAGTATCTCTGTAACTAAACTTCTAGAGCGAAAGCTGTACTACTTCACGCCTTTCGAAGTCATTCATGTCGTCGCAATAACCTTGAGCAGCCGAAGCTCTTTCTACTGTTATGAAACACTGACAGCACATTCATTATTTGTGCATAGTCTTTGCAAAACTTATCCAATATTTTAGTCCGTTGTTATTACGTAACGATAAAAAACGAAACTTACAAACCTGTATGCCATATTAAACTCGACATATTTATCGCCATTGATAAAATAATCGCCGATCTCTAAAAGTTTGTTATAACACCAATTCATTCTTGTTGTTTAGCTTTTCGCGAAATTGTGAAGTGGCGTGGTCGTTTGCCATGTCGATGCCGAATTGTAGATTTTCGCGTGATATCTTGGTATTTGGAACGCAGTTCCTAATTGCAATTCGTCGCCTGGAACTGCATTATTATTTAGGTTTAATTAGCATCAATTTTCTCCTAAGCGCTCGAATCTTCAATCCAGTTTAAATAAGTTTATTTCATTTTTCTAAGAATAAGGAGCCGAAACTGAAAGCTGCAGCTTGATAAGGTTCCAACACCATAAAAACAACAGTGGTGCAGACATCGATATATGCTTCATATGCAAAATATTTCACCTCCTTTCCTGCCTGCGGGTGTAAAGAATGATGATGTACAATGCCAATATAACCCACACGGGGCTGATTGATTGAGTGACCGACTGCTTATTTGTGCATCGGCAAATTGTCACTTGGAAATGTTGGCAGAAAACGGAATATGTGGCATTTTTTCTCTACAGCCACTGTGTGGGCATATCTGAGGAATCAAAACCATTCAAAAATTAATGGCACACATGTGTCGCATAAAAAAAATTACAACGCCGCAATCCTATGCATTCTTTTCGGAATCAGTGCTATCGTAATCCCGTCCATTCTACTCAGGCAAACGCCAGGCAGCAAGTGCAACCAGATTTTCTTTCCAGCAAAAGTGAAGTTATAAGCGCTATTCACACCTTATTTCAATTAGAAGGTAGGCATTTCATCCGCATAAACAGCACTAATATTTTCTACAGCGTTACCTTATGCTGCAGGAAATGCGATTTAATTGAATTCCTTCTATTTACTTTCAGTAAAAGAAAAGTTTCAAGTAGATAGCGGAACATATTGTCTTCAAGGTTTATACATATAAATAGGCATAAAGGCAGCTATAGAGACTTACATTTGCCAGGTCAGCTTGCAGGACCTTCATCCCAATCCGTATGAAATCGGGCAAGAATTCCAATATTTCCGTTATAATAACGTTCATACTAGGAACATTCAGCGCAACGTTGCGCACAGTGATCCCGCCTTCCACTGGAACATACAAGAAACAAAAGTCAGCTGAATTTTTATCCGGTCCTACTAAAATATAGCCACCCAAGTGCTTAGGATTTCTCCGAATCACTTCATCTTAGTCTTTTATCTGCATACTGTGAACTAATGAAATGAAGTGACGAATTGCACTGTTGTCAAAATAAAAAAGCGACAACCTACGGGCACACTGTGTTGCACCAAACGAAGTGCGCAATGTATTACGCGGCATTTAATATTTGTGTACTACGCGGAAACAATTGGTGTTAGAAAAGTCGGTATATTACTGTTGCCAGTTAGGTTTTCCATGGATCTAATTTGCCGGAAACAACAACCTCGTGTCCATTAAAGAAACTGGCTTTTCGAAAAAATAGGTTATTAATTTGAATATAGATCGGTCAGTAATCCTGTTTGCTTGCCATTGTTTCTGTATTATTTCTGTATAATATGTACCTTGTTCGAAGTTGTAATCGCACTTTTGTGTTACAGAATTCCACCACTGTCCGAATGTCCTTTATACTGTTTAATTATGAGTGCTAGTTTTTTTATAATATTTTGCACGCGCATGCGAGTGTTCTGTGTGGTGAATGCATGTATGGTGCTGGAGGCCGAGTCAGGGGGAGCTTTTTCTACTTCACCTTTTGCCGCAAGCTCTAGGACAATTTTGTATCGTTGCACAAATGAATCAATAAATAAAATATAAAAAAGTATAAGCAATATGACCAGCGAGCCAGGCATTGCTCAAATTTTCTGTTGTTTGGCCGTACAAATCGCTCAGGCTACCTTGCCTGCTTTAGCTCTCCGTTTCCCACTCCTCGCATAGCACTCGCGTTTACCTTTTCGTGCCGATGTCCTCGTAGCGCATAAAGATAAGAAAGTCGTGAAAGCCTGCTCGTTAGGGCGGCAGTTTTGTAAGTTGTGGCAGGTTTCCTGTAATTTTGTAACACTCTCCTTATCATCGCCATGACGACTGACGATTACGTTTATGCAAGCGCGGCGTTCAGCTTGAGCGACGCGTTTTCAGGTGTGAACAATCTAATTTTTTCCGTGGTCCGACAATCTTTGTCAAATTACGCGCACCTACACACTGGGTGCTTTTTTATTTTTTATGTTATCGAAATACGCCCCATATTTTCCTAATTGAATTGTCAACAGCAACGCTCTGTGGCATCGAAAACTCCTACGCTAGATCGTGCGCTGTAGTTCTTGTGTAAATCCTGATGTAGGTCTAAATCCTACGCTCGTGCAACTCAACTAGCGTGCACGCTAGTTGAGCTGCACTAGTTGTATTGCTCTACTTGCATAGCTCTAGTTACATCACACAATAGTTGCACTGCACTTGTTGCAGTGTATTAGTTTCACTGTGCTAGTCAAATTGAGCACGCTAGGATACACTGTGCGCTTTTTCGTCCAGCGGCCGTGGGTGTAATGGTCAGTGTGCGCGCACGATGACTAAGTGGTTGTGAGTTCGAATCCCGTGTGTTTGCTGCAAATTTTCCAAAATCAATTTTTGAATATGATGCGTGCACATCGATCATACATCTAATCAAATGACAGCAGGCACTTCGAAAGGCTGGTTAAGCCAACCGAACCCTGATTTTTCTTTTGCTAACTGTTGCTCCATGGAGGAGTAACCGTGAGAGCGTAGTTACTGCTTCGCTGTTACTCCCAAAATGGTGCAATAGGTGTGGTAAGTTAGTTACTTCCCTAAACGAGTAACCTCGGTACCTCTTTACTTCATAGAGTGTTGTGTATAGTACGGCCAACCCAACAACTTAATTGTCTAGTACTCTTGCCGAGGCGGTGGCGCCATCTATTGGACGAAGCAGGTATCAGTCGGATGCTCCAGGAGTGTTTCTCGCGATTTTATGTAACTTATTGCGTATAATTGCTGATTATTTCAGTAGTTTATACTATTTTAGACCTTAGTAGTTATTTAATACTGGTGTTGGGAATTTTTAGCCTCCTTCTACGTGTGTACAGACCACTTTGTGACCATGCCACAGTGGATACCCTGTATACTGTATACCCTAAAGCTGTATACCCTAAAGTGCCACGCACTAGAAACAGGCACGTCGCGCGTTGTTCAAGTTTTTTTTTTTTTGTAAGGCAGTGGTGACAGCCTGCACATTGGTCTTTGCGGAAATTGGGCCAGCATCCGTGTATAACAGTGTCCACGACTTAATATGGATGTGACAAGTAACACGCTAGCTTCAGTGCTGTTTCTAACCCTCAGCAGTACTGCCGAGGGATGTCGCCGATAGAAAGAGAGAAAAAAAGAAACCTTCGCCCCTAATGCTACATACGCCATAAGTGATTCGTAACGTCTGAGTAACCCTGTTCACACCTGCTTCATGTAAAAGAACTACGTGGAAAATTGCCGCATTTATCCCTTTTCATGTCATCTGAAGCATTACTATATCATCATCTTAAAATGTTGCACGCTCGCGATCGCTTTACAGCTTCATGCGTGAACTGAGAGAGACCACTGAGAAAACCCATTGTTTAGGTGGATCAACCATAACGGCGTTGTCAGTTACAGTTACCTTCGTAATGAGCCAGCGCGTATTGTCCATCGTTACTGTGGCGAAACATGCCAAGATGTAAAAATAGAGCAGTAGTAAATATTAAATGACACATTACTCACCTAATATACCTCCCATCATCTGGTTCAGCAGATCTGTTATTTGGTCCGCCATGTAAAACACGGCAAGAAAATCATTCCAGTACTTTAACCGCTGAAGGGAGACATAGTTTGAGACTGACTGAACAATCTTCATAGCTGATGTAATTCTGTGAAAAAGAAGCGTTTTTTTTTTTGCGGAATATATAGAAAGCGAAACGATCGTATCAAATTCGATGCATACAAGAAAAAAATTATAGTAATTTTGCGGACCTCTTCGAACCGTTTCCATAAAATTATCACTTACCTTTCCTCTCTTGTTTTTGAGTTCCAGTGGCTCTCAAACTTTGCCGCAGCCTTGGACACGCCAATCCAGTCGTACGAGAGTCTTTTCATATTGACGGTCTTGTTCAAAAGCCCGGTGATGTCAGATATTTTGACATTCATGGGATTCCATCTCGCGTCATCTTTTTCTTCCGCAGTGTCAGATATGTTCCGAAAAGTTTTCAGAAACTGCGAAGGAGAAAAGAGAAAGAAAGAAGGGTACACAAGTTGGATACAAAGACGCGCCGTGTAGATATGCTTCGAAAATAGCCCGTGATATTAAAAAAAAAAATCTTGGTGGAAAATCCAACTTACTGCAGGGACAATGTCTCTCAAAAAGTGGCATGTGAAAACTTGGATGTCCTTTATTTTGTCCGAAGCAGCACGGACACGAAATATAGTTTTAAACTTGTCCTCGGTGCAGGCCACGTTCAAAATTCCGTTAGACGACAATATTCGGTTGACCTTGGGGAAATAAAAATGCATCTTGTAGCTCGGAGGAAGTAAAGATGCCACGAATGCTGGTAGACAGTGAATACAAGAGACGCACTTACCCGTTTATTCGATGAGAAGGTCGTCACCAAGCTTTCGATCAATTGTGGAAACAGGGCGTTCTCGGCGTTTTCTTGAGAATTCTCTAAATCTAAAAAGAAAAGGCAGAACAGAAGACACACGCGCATATTATAATGTATACATAGTCGCAGAATGTTACGCAGAATAACAAAATCGTGTATACCATAAACCCGTAGACAATTTTTTCTGCCAGTGCAAAAATGTAGCTACCTTATAATTACGTGTCATTGTGTAATCACATGCGACTATAAAGCATTGACACCACTGCCAAGTCTGGCTGTTTCAAGCAACCTCACGATCGAGTGGGTGCAAAAAAATTGTTTAGGGAAGGAATATCTGTACATTAGACAGATTTCATATTGAAATTATGGACAGTTCATTTCCTATTCGTGGTTCTGTATATGGTCAGTTCTCGCAACAGAAAATGGCAATTATGTGTTGCGAAACTAGACAATTCGTTTATAGCTCATTTTTTACAGCCGTCGAGATTTACCTGCTCGCATGAACTCCACCACAATGCCGATAAGTCTCGCCGTGTAGTACATTGCATCCTGCCTCGTCCGTCTGTGCCTCGACGATTCCCGTTTCGTCGACATTAAGTCCTCCAAGGCATCAAGCATTTCCTGTCTGAGGGAGCAAGAAAAAAGAACTTTTCTTATTCCGCTATATAGAAATCCGCAGAACACGAAAGTGAAACGTGTCTTTACAAATGTAGTTGTGCATTTATTGTGCAAAGCTTCACGAACAGCGACAAAATGCAGTCACATTACGAACGGCAAGCAGCTCGAAACTTGCAGCGCACACCTTAAGCAGATCAAGCATTTCCTGTCTGAGGGAGCAAGAAAAAAGAACTTTTCTGATTCCGCTATATAGAAATCGGCATAACACGAAAGTGAAACGTGTCTTTACAAAGGTAGTTGTGCACTTATTGTGCAAAGCTTCACGAACAGCGACAAAATGCAGTCACATTACGAACGGCAAGCAGCTCAGAACTTGCAGCGCACACCTTAAGCAGATCAAGCATTTCCTGTCTCAGGGAGCAAGAAAAAAGAACTTTTTGATTCCGCTATATAGAAATCGGCTTAACACGAAAGTGAAACGTGTCTTTACAAAGGTAGTTGTGCATTTATTGTGCAAAGCTTCACGAACAGCGACAAAATGCAGTCACATTACGAACGGCAAGCAGCTCAAAACTTGCAGCGCGCACCTTAAGCAGATCAAGCATTTCCTGTCTGAGGGAGCAAGAAAAAAGAACTTTTCTGATTCCGCTATATAGAAATCGGCATAACACGAAAGTGAAACGTGTCTTTACAAAGGTAGGTGTGCACTTATTGTGCAAAGCTTCACGAACAGCGACAAAATGCAGTCACACTACGAACGGGAAGCAGCTCGAAACTTGCAGCGCACACCTTAAGCAGATCAAGCATTTCCTGCCCGAGGGAGCAAGAAAAAAAAACTTTTCTGATTCCGCTATATAGAAATCGGCTTAACACGAAAGTGAAACGTGTCTTTACAAAGGTAGTTGTGCATTTATTGTGCAAAGCTTCACGAACAGCGACAAAATGCAGTCACATTACGAACGACAAGCAGCTCAAAACTTGCAGCGCACACCCTAAGCAGAAAGCACGCACGAAATCAGTATACACAGACGAACGCGGACTAACAACTGTCACAGCGCAACACAAAGCGCGCTGTTCAAACAGAAAGAAAGACGCACGAAACAAGCGCACAAGTATAACGAGGCAAGCGCGAACAACTGTCACAATGCTCGCTGCACCGTATGTCAGCAGCGCGCTCCTTTTGTTAACGCGACAGCGCAGCGTGCGAAGTGACCTTCGTCCTTTCCCGAATTACGAGTCTGATAAACGCGCGCGCGGGTAAGTGGACACTCCGTGGAGACGGCCGTCGCGCCCTCTTTAACGCGCTAAAGTTTCGAAGCTCTGAGGAGGACTCCCAAACGGTGTATGGTGTATATAAATGGATTTCCGTTAGCAACCCAGACAACGTACGCTCCGTGGTGTAGGGGTTAACGCCACGCGCCTAGAACGAGAGGCTGCTGGTTAGATTTTGCGCGACAAGTGCTTGCCTTCAGGTTTCTTCTTTTTTTTTGCAATCTCGTAGCATATATTTAACATCACTTCCGTGACGGAAGTATATCAGCGTAGCCATGCTGTACCCCGGCATAAAACAGATTGGGGTTTAAAAAAATCGCACATTGCAATGAGAATCGCCGAAAAACTTTTTTAGAACCCGTCCAGTAAGAGCGAAGTTACAAAGATTTGTCACATGCTGCAATTGCATGTCTCTTCTCTCATCCCGGCAAAAGCACTGGAAGCTAAGCTGGCACGGGGAAAGAAGGTATGTCGCACGGCTTTGTGACCTTGAGGGCTTTTCTATCTCTCTCTCTCTCTCTCTCTTTGTTTTTTTTTTTTTGAATAGGCGGTTTTTCAATGCGATCGCACGCGCTCTCGTGCGCAAGTAGCGGCCACCCGTTGACCCCATTAAGACCGAGTGCGCCTTGCTCAAGTCAGCCAATGGCTCATACTGGGCCTGGGGCTATAGTTATTTTTGTGCTTGTAACATCATTTGTCGAGAGAAGAGGAAGCGATTTTCAGCTGACGTTTAGAATTATTGGTGAATTCTAGGCCGCATGCTGCCTATAACATTTGAATCGCGTTTTCCCGGGAGTCTTGACTACCGATCGGCAGTATGCTCAAAAAGTGCTGCAGGGCCTCTTTAAAGTAACTTTAGAAGTCGTAGCATACGAGTTCTGCGGAAACCCGCAAGGTGGCGAGAGGGTTAAGAAAGAGAAAGAAGACAACCCCCGGTTTATAGCACGAACCCACAAGAAGATCCATTTCTTTGTGGCTTCGTGCTACAAACGGGTGGTTCTCTTCTTTTGCTTTCTTAGCTTTAGAAGTCAGTTGAATAATCATGCCGCGTTTCGCGTCACGTTTTCAGTTCAGCGTAATGAGATGTGACGTCAATTCCGACCCATGCGGATGTCGTCACTCTCAAGCCCGGCTACTAATTTACTTCACTGTGCTTCATAGTTTACGAGATCCTTTCCAAACTTTCTCGCCGTTATTACAGACTTTAGAACTAGAAGTGCCGGTCCCTGTGGTGATTACTAGTTATAATGTTGTTGCGCTGCTAAGCCTAAGCACATTGGTTCACTTCCTTGCTACGGAAGCCGCATTCATATCAGAGCGAAATGTGAAAATTTCTGTGTTCACATGTTTACATACGCGTCAAAACGCTCAACTTCGCTACAGTTAACTTAGAATGGCGCGCTTAACGTATACCACAACGCGTCGTAGCAGTTAAGGTAGGGGGGGGGGGTTGCTAGGGGTGATGGTGTAAGCACTCAGAAATGTATAGTGCTGCTTTTAAAGAATGCGAGTGAGGATGATTAGCATGATTACAGAAAACAAAATTCATTACTGACGCGCTCCATTGACATCATTTGTCACAGCTTGATCGACTTACATGGTAGTGGACTTGTCGAAGCCGAAGAGCGCATGGAAGAAGCGGCCGGCCTTTGACTCTGGTCCGCTCGGTGACTGAAAGTCGTTGACAAGCTTGACGGCAGTGTTAAGGACATTCCCTAGAGTGCCCTAGATAAGTGCAATAAGAAAGATAGCGACATGTAAACAACCCACGTGTTGATATATGAGTTGTAAATTTCGTTAAGATAAAAATGTTAGAAAGGTAACGTCCCCAAAAATTAAAAGAAAACAAACTCACCTCTCGACTAGGTGGGGTGCTTGTAGAAACAGGTGTGTCTAAACCGTAGTTAGGAGGACCTTCAAGAAATAAGGTGGAGTAAATTATATTCGAATCACATCATGAAACGTAAAAAAAAAATAACGCTACTACACGTGCACTTTTTTCATGAGTTTCGTAAGACTGTCTGGAAACAGAAATCTAGTGGATTTTCTTTTAACGTCTACCAGCGTACTGCGTAGCCAATGGACGGCGCGGATTACCTATTTGGCCCGTGCTTCCCGAAATCCATTCCATGATGGTGTTCACGAGTTCCCTTTCGGGGCTTGGCACGACCTGCCCGACGTCATCCCAAACCGCTTTCAACCTGAAAGAAAGACGAGTCAAAGTTACTTATATATTTCAAATTTCTCCTTGCCACTACATGCACAAGAATCATCTCTGTCGAGACAAAACTGTAACGTAGACAGACGTCGTTCCCGGATACGTCGTTACTTGAGGGTACACAGTTCGCCGCAAAAAAGGGTCGAATATTTGAAGACGAAGTATTTGAAGTGTTCGGTGGTGAATACTTTTGTGACGGTATGTCGGTAGCTAGTGCGAGTTTACCTGAAGCCTCATTTGCACAAACATACACGAAAGAAACAACCTCATATACGAGCGGCAGGTAAAGGGACCGTCAACCAATTTTTATGGCACCTATTTTCTTTATCCCATTGGAAAGCTTATCGGTCAGTCTGTTTGCGGAATGGTGACGTACAAAACACCGCGAAGTGTGCTGCGGTGGACTAGTGGCTACCGTGACTGCTAACCCGGAGGTTGCGGGTTCGATTCCGGCTGCGGCGGTCGCATTTCGAAATGGTCGAGGTCCGTGCGCTTTGCAGTGTCAGTGCATGTTAAAGAACACAGGATGGTCAAAATTTCCGGAGCCCTCCACTATATGGCGTCTCTCGTAACCATATCATGGTTTTCGGACATAAAGCTCCAGCTATTATTCGTATTATTAAAACGCATAAAACATTTGTAATTACAATTTTTCTACCGGCGGCGAATATGATGGCCTATACATATACCGGGTGTTCAAAATTAAGCTTTATGATTTTTTTAAAATTAGGCGCTCGAAGGCACGTGAGAACCACTTGTGCAAATAAGTTAAGCGGCCAGGGGGACAGAAAGTTAGATGATAATTATCGCTGTCAGCAGCCCAATTAACTAAAATTTAATAATTAACTTTTTACTGGCTGCGGTAAGTTGGCATGTTTATATTGAAAAAATGTAGGCAGTGGTGTTTGTACACAGTTTCAGTTGGAAGATTTTTTCTAGCACGCCTGTGTTCCGAGATATCCGGCTCCAAAGTTTAATTGTCTTTCGCACGATTACGCATGCAAGAGGGTGAGGGTCCGCGCAAAGCTCCTCCCTAAAGTGACGCATCTGTTGCGTGTGGTGTTTAGTGTGTGAAGAGGGTGGAAGCGTAGGCATAGGTGATAGCAATTACCCTTGCCCTCTTCGGCCGGCGAAATCAAAATGTGACAGCGCGGTGCGCCATGAGCCTTACGCATGATCCTGATGAACGCGATAACAGGAGACCATTTTTCGCGACGTTTTTTCGTGACTTTAGATCACACTGAGACATCTTCTTGTGAACGCGTTAGCAGGACCGTCCTGCACTAGGGTGCCTCCGGTTAGAGCACAGCGTCTCTGCATTGAAGGTCTACCAAGGAAATCCACGTGGAGTCCTTTCGAGCTAATATGGCTGCTTCTGGCGTGAGGTATTCTACCAAAGTAAAAGTAGACGTGGTGCTTGCAATGGCTGAAATGAATGGCAACGCTTCGTTAGCAATGGAGCTTTACGCGTCTCGCCACCCACACCGTCCCCTTCCAACAAGGCCCACTTTCACAAACCTGTTTCGACGCTTCTGCACAACAGGCTCTGTCCACCTTCCGAGACGGACCAGGAAGGCAATCGTCGATGAAGACTTTGAAATCGACGTTGTCGCGTGCGTAACCTCGATGCCAGAGCTCAGCATCCGACAGATTGCCGATCAGTGCGGTCGCAGCATCGGAACAGTCACAAATGTTTTAAGAAAGCACAAGTTCCATCCATATCACGTTTACCTTCATCAGGACCTAAATGAGGCGGACTTTGAAAGGCGAGTTGACTTCTGCAATTGGGGCCTCATCAAAACTGATCAAGAAAATGACTTTTTGCACAGAATAATTTGGACTGATGAAGCTCGGTTTTGCCGAAATGGAAGTGTTAATCTTCACAACGCCCATTATTGGGCACAAGAAAACCCACACTGGCTGAGGCAGCACAAGCATCAAGTTCGCTGGAGTGTGAATGTGTGGTGCGGCATACTCGGGGACAGGATCATCGGACCTCACTTTTTGAGGACAACTTGAACGGAAAGATGTACACAGAAGAAATATTAGGTGTTGTCATTGATGATCTTGTCTGCAGTCTTTCCCTGAATGACCTGCGCCAAGGCAGCGCGATCTCTCACCGTACAACTCCTTTAACTTCGCAAACAGCACAGAATGGAGTGGGGCTGGATAATAATGTACATACTCTAACCTTTAGGGCTGATTATGGGGTGACATTATGACAGCATCAGACTACGTGACTACGTACAGCAAAGCGATCGTCTCCGTATTCCAGCTTCAAAACTTTTCCACTAGGCTGTGTGACATAACCATTTTGCTACTTCTAAACGCGATTTGAAAATATAAATCCTAGCCACGATGTGAAAAGAATGCTGAAATATGTTACTCGACTACGCTGTCTTCTCATTCACACCAGCATCTAATGACAATTCTGGCCAGTTGCCGGTTCCTGTAAGGGGACCTTAAAGGGTAACAATAAGTCGATTCAGACTAACAAAGCTTACTCTAAAAACACTAATGTCGCTAGCTTCACCGTCAATAGTATAAATTTGTGTATGTTTGTGGTCCACGGGACGGCTTTAAGATCTTCCATAGCAAAGTACCAAGTACTCTAAATCGTTACCCACTTTTTCTAAACACATAAGCATATTAATCGAGTAGAAAATATTAGGTCAACGATGATTTTTTAAATATCGCGCTGAAATCTACGTGCGGGATTTGGCAGATTTCAAAGTGCATTTCTCATATTTTGCTGACATTGGCTCAAAAAAATGCGTTTAGAATGGGGACAATATGCCCCTGGTCCACTCAAAGCCCAATGTACTTAATGTTTGCCGATTAGGAATTACGTAGGTCTTAGTGAACGCCATCAAAATCTATGACGTCACGGCGATTAATGCGGGGATATCAAAGTGACGTCACCACCCGCACTTCATTTTTGCGCATTTTCTAGCTTACCAAGTGTCTTCTCGAGGCAGGCATGGTGATTTCACTATTCGTGAAAGAGTAACTTACTAATGCGATAATAATTGTTCTTTTCAAAGAGCATCTAACACATTGGCACAATGGCACGCACACACACGCTCGAAGGAAAGAACAGTTGCAGCTATCGCATTAAAAGCGCTAAGGAGTGCTCTAGGCGTAGAGTGAAACGCGAACAGAGGCAAACATTCGCAATGCTATGGTGCACTTGGTTCAGTCATTATGATGGGCAAGCGCGCGCATACGGTTTTAGAGCACGGCGCTTGTGCGCCCTTGGCCATGCATGGTGGTGACTGGACGGCGCGCACTAAGACATTGCGAGTGCTTGCGCTGCTCGGGTTTCATTAGACGCCAATAATTTTGGAAACTTACAGATCGACGTTCAGCTGCTGGTCGGTAAAGTCCTGAATGAGTGCTCGAAGGGCGTCCAGGCTTCCGGAGAAATCGCTGGGCATCTGCTCGCTGATGCAGCCGAAAGCCGTTACCATGCCGCCCACCTTCTCCATGGCGAGGCTGAAGTCGTCGAGTCCCAAGCTTTTTACGACTTGCGACACCTGTTTCCCGAAAAGGTAAGCAGTTCAAGCTCTTTGCAACGACTTCTTAGTCGGCATTTTGAACGAGGAAACTGGCCGTCGAATTAATCGATAAATTAGCTGATTACTATGAGAGGTCACTGAATGAGCAAGGATATCACGTTGGCCTGTGCGTTCGATATACCTCACGCTTAGTGTCTTTTCGACATGGTCTAATGCATAGAAAGTGCTTAATGCTGATGGATTGTACAAAACGTACAGTTTAACTTATTTTGGATGAGTTGACTGCTGGGCAAGTTGGCATTTGGACCAAAGACCATCGTGAAAAAACGCAACAAGACCGGACAACAGAAAGCTCGTCTACTCTTTCCTGTTGTCCTGTCTCGTTGTGCTACTCACGGTGGCTTTTACGTTACCTCCATCTTTACGCTACAGGCGCCGCGGTGGCCCCCAAAAAAACGCGGCTGTCTCGACAGCAGTATGTTTGATCCTGGCCGTGCGGATGAATTCCGATGGACGTGAAATGCCAAAGACCCATGTACTATACGTTGACAGCGCGCATTAATGAACCCTACGGTAGTCGACCTTATCCGGAGCCCTCTACTATACGGCCTCTCTCACAGCCGGAGTGGCGATGCAATGCTATATCTCATAAATCCGGCCGGGCATGTAGCGCGTAGACAGGATAACCGCTGGTCGTTAAGGGTAACTAACTGGATTCCCAGAGAAGGCAAGCGGGTTAGGGGGAGACAGAAGGTTAGGTGGGCAGATGAGATTAAGAAGTTTGCCGGTATAAATTGGCAGCAGCAAGCACAGGACCGGGTTAACTGGCGGAACATGGGAGAGGCCTTTGTCCTGCAGTGGACGTAGTCAGGCTGATGATGATGATGTTTATGCCATGGAACACGTTTAGGTGTCCTTGTTTTGGTGTGTTATTTAAGGTGCCTCGATGTTTAACATAGATGCGGGAAAAGATAGGAGAGCGCACGCCTAGCGTCTATATAAAAGCCAACCTCTTCGAACGGCGCTCTTTCCCTTCCCCCATCTGCCACCTCATTCTCCATACGCTGCCACATCTCCCAACATGCTCCTGATTCGTTTTTTTTTTTTTATGGATGAGCTCCATAATTGTCCACGTCATGCTTCCCTCTAGTTGTTCTTTTTCTTTTCTTCCCCTCCATTACAGAGAAAGAAAAAGTTTCTTTTTTCCCGCTCTTAACTTTTTTTTTCTTTCTCTATGCCTCCATGGTTATCAAGACCTGTCTGTGCACTTACCAGTTTCATGACTTTCCCATAGTCGAACACGGACTGCAGTTCCTTCATGAGGTTCTCCTGTTGCTCGTGGGACAAGGAACACAGGGAGTCAGCGACTGTTTGTAGCACGCGAGCGTCCTCTAGCATGATGTACGACGACAGCGTGTCCACGTTACAGTCTCGTCTGCTCTTCTGTTTCATACCGGATCCGAGAACGTGCAGGACCTGCGAAACGATTGGGAGCCGAATAGTAAATGCTGGGACGGTTACGTCCAGTGTTGATATAAGGTCACTAGTACTATTGTGGCTAATAAAATATCCAGCATCAGAATACGTTGGAATGCGCCCCCAACAGCGAGTTTAACGCCAAAGTTGCTTCTTTGTGTGTGTGTTTCCTCTTACACGCGACGGTTTCAAATGATTATCCGACCATTACAACGCAGGAGTATTAAACAACGAAATCATGGTATAATGGATTCTTTACCGTTTAAGTTCAGTGTATAGGCACGCCGATATTGCATTTTTTTTGGAAGGCCTAGCTCTTTCTTCCTCATTATTTTGTGTTTTTTGACCTTTTCGCTATTCCATACTCTTCTTGCACCTGGATAAAAAATATCCTTTGTAAGCCGCCACTAGGTATCTCGAAATGACAATGAATACTTCTCCACAAAACAGCATACGCAAGGAGCACTGCCATATATCTGGCAATTATGCAGCGCTAGTTGCTCAATTATCACTACTTAATCTGCGTGCGTGGACGTGGACTTGAGACTCACGGCAGGAACGTTGACGCGCGACTCCAGAAGCGCGTCCACCGTTTCGGGCGTCATATTCGTGTTGCTGAGCAGTACGCTTCTCGCGTACCGCTTGTTGGCGACGACGTCCGTCAGGGGAAGTCCCTTTCCTGCGTAAAAGTAAACGAAGTGAAATGGTCTGTTGCACAGCGCAATGACAATGCGACAACCCGATGGACATGCGCGGAGGAAACGGACTCGCGTCGTATGACTGTAAATCGATGCATGATCAAACGTGCATCTCTGTCCGCGACACGGTTCACTAGTGGCCTTGAATGGGTATTTCTTGGAAAGCTCATCACGCGCCCACGCTCCTCACGCAGAGCAGCAAACATCATGCAATGAATGTACCTTCAGTTGAAATCCACTATTACGTCTAGCCACGCAATCCCTTAACTCAGTAGCGGTAAAGAGGAAGTATAGCCTGGTTATGGCTTTGAGGAAACAAGTATGCAGAAATAAATTAGTACGTAGTGGTTGAATAACTATTATCAAGCACAATGCAGGAGACAATAGACGTGGTGTGACGAACACATCATAGCGTCGAAACAAGTTTTTCCGTTCGCCTTCCGTGATTTCTAGTATTGTGACACTGCTCGAAGCCCAAGTAATACATAAGCGATAATGCGTCTGCGCCAGAAAAGAGTGGAAGCTACTCAAATTTTTATATTTTCTGTTACATTGTGATACAACATGGTGATAATATGTACACCCTTATGTCATAAACAATTATAGATAGTTACCGAGCAGCTTTTGCGTCGTATTGTCTTGAAACAGGGCCTCCAGAGGCCCGAGAAGATCGGCCAGCACGGGTAGCGACTTGATAACGGACAATATACTTTCATCTTGAAGCAGCGGCGATAAATCTTGGACTAGCTTGTTTATCCTGCAATGCAGAAGAGAACGGCAACAATCACTCTTCTCGCAAAGGATATTTCCGCTTACGGGCACGTTTTATTTAATGACGAACAAAAAACAAAAATGGGTTCCACTTTTAAACTATATTGTGGAAGATGGGGAATGAATTAAAAAAAGTAAACATTATTTTTTATTTTTAGTACGTCAATATGGAAGGTATATATCAAAACAAGATGATGCAGGACTGAATGCGAACAATTCTTGAGCATACCGGTATGTAGACTCGATGGTCGACGGTGTGGCTAGCTTCCACACGCTTCTCGTTTTACCTGCCTATTTCTACATTGATCTATTCACCGTTTCAAGCTTTCCAACAAGCATTTGAGAAATTTTGTATGCGTGATTGCGGTGGCGGTGCTCTTGCACCGCCACCGCAATCACGCATACAAGATTCGGAAATCGCTCGCGATACCTCTCGTATGTTAGCTCTGTCGAAAGACGTAAACATTGACTGCACGTCGGATGGTCTAGCAGCGGCAAACATGGCGGGGCTTATTTTAAATGAAATGCTAGATTTTTAATTGAACACATGACCTCGTTTTATGAATATGCGGGAATAATATGTCTATTCGCCGGTATGAACTAGTTACTTTCAGATAGACGCTAAAGCCACGACTCTTGTTGAATGACTCGGAACAAGTTTCACAATCACTCACGTCCCGCTTCATAGTCATTCGTCGAATTTTCCTTTCATTTGTCTGGGCATCACGCGTTCTGGCAGCTCGACAGAAAGAAATCGGTTATAGAAATGCATAGAAGAGATAGCACTCGCCTTCTTTGCCCGTGCTCCTCGCCTGTTTCTTCTTTCGAGCTTCAAAAGGCGCATGTTCTAATAGCTAACTAGCTGGTGATTGCGCGTTTTTGTTGGTTAGTGTGGTGGGAGGCAACAGAAGCGCTTGGCATATGTGAACAGTGGTGGTTACGTCATTGCCACAAAACCATTCAGCAACAGTATCCTCTATTGCTTTCTTTTACTCGTTATAAAGTTTCGCAGAACTGGGAGCTGGGAAGGACGACCGCTTTTCTTGTTCCTCCCTTCACATGGTGTAGCTTCATTCAATGTCGGGTGCTGCTTTTACGCGCAACACTCTGGCAATAAGGAAAACAGTGAAGTCTGTCAATGACTTCATCTATATACCCGGCTGTTAGCGTTTCCGTGAATACCTTTGAGACGGATTTAATATAACGTTATAGATTTAATAGCAGTTATATCATCAATTCAACACGAAACGTAATATTGTGCTCACCTTGACCCAGGATAAGTGGGTATTTCCTCGTAGGAAGATTCGTTAAGGCACTTGTTGTCTACGTTGCATATGAGAGACTGGAGCACGGGCAGTCCGCCCGCGCTGGGCAAAGCCCGGGCATTGTAGTAACCTGCGACACAGAAAGACGTTCTCCATGCTCTAAATATCGATATATGTATACATAGTTCATGATGATGCATTTTCCGCTAGCACTCCCTTCTTTTACTTCTATTCATTTTGGACAGTATTGTCGAAGTGCAGTCTTAGTATTGTTCACATCTAGGGTGGTGAGAGAAAGGGGAAGGGGAAGCGAGGCAGAATGATACGACGTCTGGCCGTTGCCCTCTGTCTTCCCTTCGCGTTGTTTTTTCCCCGTACGATTAACTTGCTAACCAGCTCACGTGAACTCAGTTTAGTATCTTCCATGTTTTCACGTGAAAACATGGGAGATACTATAAACTAAACCAGCATGCACCAACTTGACGCTTCCTTTTTCGCAGGGTGCATACCGGGACGCGTGTTTTCAAAACATGGTGCCTACAATGCACGGGGCCATTTCTGCGATCCTGTCCGCCACATTCGGCCATGAGATTTTCTGTACGTCTCCGGCGCTTGTTTTATTACTCGGTGGCTGCCAGGGTGTGGGGGCGCTGGCTACAGTATGTATGCTACCTCTGTGAAAGAGGAGGCATTCACGGACTCGTGTTTCTTCGCTATACACAACATTACTTCGAACTTACAAAAAAGAAGCCCAATGAAAGCATAGGGGGTGTTGTTTGTAGTAATTACAATGTAAATCTGATGAAACTAAAGTCCGCCAGCAAAAATCAGTAGAAAGTTATCTGCTGGTAGGAAGTTATCTAAGCACACGTTAATAGCGTCCAATATACCCTATCGGAAAAAAAACGAATGGTGGGCATGGTGGAAACCACCACCCACCATTATAGTGGATTAATGTAGTGGGTGAATGGTGGGAAACACCCACCATGGCGCATGGTGGGTATGGTGGGTGCTGCAGTGCCGGCAACACTTGAGCGCGAAATGACGTCAGAATCACCGTGACGAGCTGCCAGAAAAAATAAAAAAGAATTCTATAAAAACGGTATAAAAAACACCCGTCCCGTAAAAAAAAAAAAAAAAAACAAGGTGCCACGGAGGATTGAACGTGCAACCTGCGGATTCCCATTCGAAGACGCTAACCACTGCGCCACACCAACATGACGGTGATTGCGTGTTAAATACTTAGTTAGCATACAAGCTTAAGGTTCAACTTAAGTTATGTTTGTCGTGTACACAACATAGACAAGATCTACACCTGCTACTAAAAATTGCACATTTATTAAACACAAGCAACTGCGGCCTGTAACGATTGTCACTATGTTATTGGCACTAGTGCTATTTTTTTTACAATTCAGAACTTCAAGGAAAAAAATCCAAGTGGACTGGGGAGCAGCAACAGTTTACCGGCGGGGTCTGCCAAGTTTAATATCCGTTTCGCGCTCGTTCTAAAGGGCGACATCTGCTCACGCTTTATGACCCTTCTAGGCTCATTTCATAGATACACCCACCTAATTTATTTGATTGAGTATTGGGATGCTTTTCGCGCAATGTAGAGGGCGGTCGCGCCAGCGCAATGCTGTAGCTCTTTCGCTAAAGCAACAACTACATAACGGCTTGCCCAAAATGAATGCAGTGTACCGGAAACATTACGCTATCATAATGGTTCACCAAGCACACGAATTGCCACGTCTGAGTTCTCGTACAAAAGCTAGAGAAGTGCCGGCGAGTGCGAGCGGCGGCTGTCGGTGAGAAGACACCTATTTACGTTCTCTGGGAGTGCTTTAATCGCGTCACATCGATGTTTGTTGCTTCTTGAGCGAACACGTACCATACACAATGAAAAATGCTTCATTTAGGTTAATTGATGCCATATGGCTGCGCTGTATTGTGATACCTAATCGTCGTAATCGTGTATTCTGAAACCCGGAAGCACGGATAACACAATTGTACGGGCTCGGTCAGTAGGCCTAACCTTTGGTGGAAATCATGATGGTAGAACATGTAGTGTAGAGATCCCAGCTTGGTACACTATATAATTTGCCCGCCATCATAAGCCCACCCATCATCTGCTTACTGCTTCCCAGCATTATCGCGATGGTGGGCAGAGCTTCTTAGCTTGGTACACCATGTGGCCCACCATAACAAGCAGCACCCATCATCTGCTTAGTGCTTCCCAGCATTCTCGCAATGGTGGGAAGAGTTTCTCAGCTTGGTACACCATGCAGCCCACCATAATAAGCACCACCCACCATATGCTTAGGGCTTCCCAGCATTATCGCAATGGTGGGCAGAGTGTCCCATTATTGCCACTATCTAGCCTCTGCTTTCCACCATCATTTCCACTTTACCCATCATCTGTACGCCATACCACCCAGTATGTCCCGGCATAACCACCATATTTTCCACTACGTCCCACCATAGCCATCATGTTTTCCACCATGCCCACTATTATTTCCACCATGCCCACTATTATTTCCACTACGCCGACCATGTTTTCCAGTATCCACCATGGCAATTTTTCCAATAGGGTAGCCAGTATAGCTTGGTTAGTCGGCAATAGCACTTAGAAACAGTTGAAGAACTGCGCATAAAACAAAATCATATTTGTTTTAACTGCAGGGCAGAGCAGGATACATTGCAAGGACAATATATGAGCGCAGTGTACGCTATGCATTCGTTCATTACGGTTTTCATAGCAGCCAGATGATGTTAACAATCGCGTTCGCCCGAGAATCCTTCGCAGTGACAGGAAACAGAGGCCCGGCCCTTGACGAAAGTTGAACGCAGGTGTGTTACCTTCACGGCTACGGGTACATCGTTGGTACACACAACAGCGACTGTCCATTGACCGTGCGATGAATGCAACTTACCTGTAAGCTAGAAAGGACAGAAGGCCTTCGACCGATGTAACTCAGGATGTCACGGCTGTATCTTGCAGGGTTTATTTATTTCGTTTTATTTTCTTTTTTTACTAGCGTAATTTCACACGTGACGGTATACCCCCACATGTGAAGTTACATTGGGGTGTTGTAGTCCCCCATCTTTCATTTCAGTATCTTCTTCTACTACGTTCATGTCGATCTTGTACAAATTACATGGGATATTAAAATGAGGTTATGTAATTTAAACATGTTTGTTTAGCACAGAAGCTTATCACTCATGAGATTGACTAACCTGAGCATGATTAAGCTCACTTAAACTTTAAATAGTGTAAAAACGTGGAACTCAGCTCAACGGCAATGCTCTCATGTAAACTTCATGGGAACGCAACAGTGAAAAATCGTACGGACGCAAATATTTCGCAGTGTCCGTAATATGTACTGACCATATGTCTGCTGTTGTTCACACGTACCTGCTAGGTCAAACTATTTAGGCCAGCTTTGGCATACATACAGCCATGAACAGCGAGCTTTCGTCAAGTGCTGTATTGCTATGGAAGGCTAACTTACATGTTTCTTGGCTAACTGGAGGAACGACCTTCCGTAGGAATAAAACAAGAAGAAAAATGGTGAGCGGCCACAGCAGCTCTAGGGCGAGGATCACCTGCACAGAAATAAAGCTGTCTTAGATGCGTGACTTGCGTTCATTTCATGTATCTTTTAATAGCAGGTACCTCATGAAGCATCACAAAAGCAAGTAAGCAAGTGCAGTGTATATATATATATATATATATATATATATATATATATATATATATATATATATATATATATATATATATATATATATATATATCGCAACAATTTCTGAAGTGATGATGATGAGTGGGCGAAGCTCCGGGGGACAGTTCTGACAACCTTGAATATTCGTACACACACACACACACACACACACACACACACACACATATATATATATATATATATATATATATATATATATATATATATATATATATATATATATTGCAACAATTTCTGAAGTGATGATGATGATTGGGCGAAGCTCCGGGAGACAGTTCTGACAACCTTGAATACCCGTACATTGCCCCGCTTTAACATGCAAGTTATGGCCCCCAATAAAGTTTCACCACCATGGGTTGGCTTGCCGGCGCTGTCGTTTCGCCGCAGCTGCGCGAGCCTTCGCTGTCTCTGCCCCGCCGCGGTGGTTTAGTGGCTAAGGTACTCGGCTGCTGACCCGCAGGTCGCGGGTTCGAATCCCGGCTGCGGCAGCTGCATTTCCGATGTAGGCGGAAATGTTGTAGGCCCGTGTGCTCAGATTTGGGTGCACGTTAAACAACCCCAGGTGGTCGAAATTTCCGGAGCCCTTCCACTACTGCGTCTCTCATAGTCATGTGGTTGTTTTGTGACGTTAGACTCCACAAATTAATCAATTCGCTGCCTCTGGATAGACTTGTCGACGTTCCCGTGCTGCTGCAGCTTCGCAGGCGAGAGCGCGTTCACGTTCGTTACCATTCGGGGCAGAAAGTTCATATTCATGTTCACCTATTGCTCGTGGCGCATACCCGCTGTGCGGGATCGGCCAAGAATTGTGTGGTTTGATAAAATAGTACTAAGTATTAGAATAAAGAAGGTTATGTAATAGAAACGTTACAGATAATCTAGGAAATTATGGTGCTTGATGCATGTAATTAAGTAATTCTTTAAATTAAAGCAGTATACCCTGATATTTTAGACGTATATAATGTTGCAGACACGTTAGAATAATAATGCTAATTATTTAGCCAACCGATTAGTCTCATAATATAGTCCCGGACAGCTGCGCATACATTCGCAGCGGAGAACCCAGAAATAGCGGCTCCAAAAGACAAAATAACAGGCACAAATAAATCCATACCAATACAACGCAAAGACATTTCCAAAAGGGTGTTTCGTACTGCAGTAAACCGCCTGCAGGTCAAAAATAAATTATCTATTGTTTCCAGTTCCCTACAGACCACAGCTCAGCCTCGTGATAGCTACTTTAAGCTTACGAGTTTGTCAAAAGGCTCTTCGACCGAGATATAATAAATGTCTATATTTGGAGTTTGGCAGTGATGTGTCTCCAAAGACTTCCGTGCGCGCGCCTGCGGAATCGAGCATCAGTCACATAAGCGGATGATGGAAAGTGCGGTAAAATCGGTCCACTTATTGACGACTAAGCTGAGGAATCGGCCATTTCTTCGAGAAGCAACGCAAAATAATCGTAGTTTTCTCAAATGCGCAGGTAGTAGTGCCCGGAACGCCTTTATATTACTTGATATTAAGCATTAACAGAAAGTGCGCACAGAGAGATAGATAATCTGTTTTTATAACGGCTGATGTAATTGCCGTATTCAAGTTGCTCAAGGCGAGCACTATACTGTCAGAAATTCAGTTACGAAAACGGGTATGAAATCGGGTATTCAAAGGGAATAAGTCCAATCTAAATTCGGGATAAATTTGCCAACACCTGAATTTTCGTCACATGGTGATGCGTCTGTGGCAATAATGACGCAGAAAATGAATGTGTTGTCTGGAACGCACTTATTCTTCATCGTCATCAGTCACAGTGCAAAGTACACATAACGCTTTACAGACGTGTAGCGGGCACCTCAATCATTAGCAGAATTATGACTGACATAGTGGGTGATTCATGGTGACCGTCATTGTCATGACGCAGAGTGGGTACCTTGAATGTGCTGTGTCGTGGTGGCAGAAATAGAATGTGTTGTCTGTAACGCGCTTGTTCTTCATCACCATCAGCTTCATCGTCATCGGGGGATGACGGCGGATATTACTCGACCCTAAGGAGTGTCGTGTCTCGATAAAGAACTCGCAGGATGCCTTATGCGTTCACGAAGGTCGACTCAAAAGTGCAAGCCATCTCCAAGCCAACTCCCTCCGAAAACTATCTGCACCTAGCGTGCTTTCGCACTGCCTCCGAGATCGGCTCATTTTGACCAAGCGCGAAGCGTCATGTGATGACGTCACGTTTTGCCACGTCATATGGTGAAAGCATCACGTGACGATTATGCACGCCATTGGTGTTAACGTTTAGTTTTCCCGCTCGACGAGGCCCCGAGGGTTTATGCTCGAATAAAGGTGGTTTAGAGCCCTATGTAGACGAGCCGACCATGGAAGGGCACTAAGTCGTGCCTCACGGTGTGGCTATACTCCGTTTCATACATCAGGTGCAACGCTGTGAAGGCTAGGCAAGTAGTCCGTAAAGAAAACACGAGGTGTTGCTCCGCGCGGTTTCGTAGCCGAGTGGTCTGACGCGTCGCTCCGGAGAGTTCACCGTATACTATAGTTTTGAAGGGCATGGGTTCCAATTTTGCCATTTTTGGTTCCATTTTTGAAGTGCATGGGTTCCAAAGTGCCATTTTTTTGAAGCTGCCACAACAAGTAAAAAAAAAACGGCGGCGCGGGTCGCGCGGAGAGCGAAAACTTGATACGAAAGCGACAAACATAAATTACCAACTCGCATATTTGGATTGTTTATCCGACAACACATGCGTTTGTTTTTTAACCTGATGACAAATATGTATGCTTAGAAGTTTCCCGAGAAGCATTTATTGATTCTCGTACACCCCAAGCGACGCACTACTTTTTGGTCGCGGCAGTACACAGCGCAAACAAGAGCGCTAGCTTTGACAGCGTTGCACATGATGTATGAAACGGAGTATAGATCACCACGAATACTCTGCTACGGCATAACGGGATGTTCACAGCAGTGTCGAAAATTGGGTGTGTTTTGCGCAATTCAATACGGGGTAATGTCCAGAGAAATGGCAGACATGTTTATAAAAAAAGTGTAGACGATTCAGAGTAATTATAGTATGGGCGAGCTCCCAGCCACGTGCCGCGGTCCCGGGTTTAGGGCACAAATCGCTATCGTGTTTTATGTTGTCCGAAAATCCAAGTGCACAAGAGCCCACTTAGCTTGAGTAATTCTTAAGAGACTCCCTACTGGATATGGTTACGCTGCAGAGCTTGGCGACCCGGGTTTCTTCGCCAAAATGTTAACAAATGGACGGGCCATCGTTCCCACGGCGAAGCCCACCGTCGACATCTTCTTTATTCGAACACACCCAAAACTCAGTCTATACTCGTCCTGCCTCGAGCCCCACTAACCTTCTTTATCTTTATGTCGACGACGTACATTATTTCCAATACCATCTAAAGCTTCGTTCTCAAGCTACGCGATAACAAGTGTCTAAACAAACAAAATTAAGTTGCTGCTTTATTCTTTAAACAAACGACAACGTATATCAAAAAAAAGCATAGAGGAAACTCGAGTTTGTCCTTCAAGAGTAAACTGTGATAGCGTAGTCTGGTCCCCTTCGTATCGCCTTCTATAAAGAAAAACAAATCACGCATTTCCGCGAAGCTAATGATGACGAGTGGGCGAAGCTAGGTCGTAAGGTCCATAATATCTACGTTTAAGTCGCCGACTAGTATAAAGGGTTTGTGTTTGTAGGTGTTTTATATTGCTTTATCACAATTATGATTGAAATTAGTGTATTGTTAAACCTTCTTTTTGTGTCTTACGTAAGTTACTCGAGCGTTGCCCCCAAACAGGTTTTCAAAAATTGCTGGAGTGGGAAGTATTGCCCCAGAAATAAAGCCTTACCCACCGTAAGATGACGGCTGTGGCTGCCATGTTTCTAGGGGCATGATCCTCGTACGTCCAACGTAGCAACTTTTGCGGGTCAGATAGTGCTCAAAGTACGCCTTTGTGCGACTATAGTTTTCTTCAGTTAGTTTTTTTATTGCAGATTACGTCACCGAGACTTGTTTTTATGTGTTATTTAATAAGAAACAACTACCTTTCCACTTATAGTTAACGTAGCCTTTAGACTAACAGATCAAAGCAACTTCATCTCTAAGTGAAAACCACTAGAAGAGAGCATGTTTCCAAGATCTTTGGTGGGCAAAAGCTGGCTTTACTATTCTTGGCAAGGCTTTGCGAGAGCTTCCACTCCAGCAATTGTTTTAATCTCCTTGGATCAACTTGTATGTTGTCTGGCATCACTGATATTTAGCGTGTGAGCTCGTACACATCGCTCCAGTACAGTGTACTAGAAGGGGGCAGTGGAGTGAACGAGGCGGCCGCGCCGCATCTTGGCTTATTCTCCGGCGGGTGACAGTAGCGGCGGCGCTGTAGTCGCATGGTACTGAAGATCTCAGGAGCGTCTGCATTGGGAGCGCGCACGCCCGAGCCTGCGAAAGCGTGTAATTGCTCGTTTTTAGCGCGTTTAATGCGTTTCTGAGACTTTATTTGTGGACGCGCCACAGTGCACGAGTGAATATGCAGGCACGCCGAAATTGTGTCGATACATTCACTGTTTTAAAAGCCTGCCGACCCACACAAAAAAATGTCAATCGGAATGCGCACGGATCCGCTTAGCTTCGCCAACTGTAAACTATTGGCGCAGGGCTAACCATGGCACATTTTTTTTTATGGGGTGAGGTGTGCAGCAGAACGCCTAACTTCGGCACTTGGGGGTCACTGTCAATGCGGGTAAATATTTTAGTATACCCTGAAGATTTAAATTACAGAAACGTTTCGTGGTGTAGGGGTTCCAGCTTCCCTTCCACTCCCCTCTTTACTTATGGCTT